TCCTTTCAACGATATATATCTATACGAGTAAATAGGTTGGTACTTAAATCAAATTTAGTGACTTTATTTCCTGGTATATAATATACTTCGAAATAAAACGGAACAGCCCTCGCTGAGGTCTTATCGCTCTCGTCTAGATAATATTTTAGTAATACATAATAATTTACAGTTATGTGATGTATTGCCATTTGTAACTATACTGGTAAATATGTATACAGGGTGGTCCATTCATTTCATGGATCAGCGATTTTCTCGGGGGATTTTAAGTGAATTTGATTTCGAAGAATTTTTTTCAACCATTATAATATGGAATCTTATAAGATTTATTTTAAATTTACCTTGAAAAAACCGTACATGAGTATACAATTATTTTGTTTTTCAAATAATGAACTCCATTTTTAATTTACAGATTCAAATACAGAATATTTTGTTTAAGCATTTTTTAACATATTTTGCATAACACTTTAACAATAATACAATGGTGTCGTTTGGGAAGGGGCCGAGTGTGCGGTTGCACCTCCTTACTTTTAAAATATATATAATATATAAATAGCCCCGACTGGTTTGCTGAAATTATGCACCAGTATTTGTATAGTTACAATTGAATTGTATTTTTATAATCATAGTATTGTAATTTTATTGTCAATCATGCTACACGTTACATGATTTATTAAACAAATATCACGGTATTAATAGATTGAGTATACAATAGATATGAGTATGTCTAAAACCGTTGTTTATCCTACTGAACCACGGGTTAAATTATTAGAATCTCAGCTGTATAAGTTGTATTCACTAAGATTAAATATCACCGGTGACAGATTATTTAAAAAAATGATCTGCATATGATTATGTACATATATATATTGTTTTAATAGGGTTTTGCTCATGCAAAAGTAATACACAAAACGTATAAATAATAATTTATAAATGTAAATACTAAACATCGTTTTTATTTTATTTTTTGCTTAATTTGTCTTCTTCAATCTTTCTAAACATTAAATATTGGTTTTTACAGGAAAAAGTACTTACCTGATCAATAATTTATTATTTTTTAGTTTTTAAATGGCTCTTTTTACCTTTTATGTTGTTGCGGTCCGTAATCTATGGACAAAATTAAAAGCAGGAAAATGCACATACAAGTAGGTATATCTATTTTCATATGGTCTGCTCGAACTTCGAACACCCGACAACAAAAAACTCAAATAACGCCCCCGTTATAATACTCATCGCATCCTTCGTTTATGAGTTATAAAAGTTAAACAAATATTTAGACCGATAGCGGGAGGAGGTTTAACATAAAAAACGTATAAACTTCATGTGCATTTTTAAATGATAATATCCCTCCAAGAAAATTGCTAGTAGGTACATAATAAATAAACTACCCTGTATATAGAGCTATATATACGCTTTTTTCCCCGGTATTAAATTTATAGAAAAACGTTTTCCGGATAAATACCATCATAGGAAGTTATATACACCGAACCGATATACTTCGGTAATAATTTATCGGCGGCGGTAGCCGGTAATAATGTTCGCGTTTTCGTTTCCGAGAATATTTCGTTTTGGGCTTACCTACATAATATAGGTAAGTACACGGTAATCGATCTGTAGAAATGCAGTAAAAAATAAAAAATCAGTACCTGCTATAATATTATCTACTAACATACCGACACAATAATATTTTAGTTTTATAATGATGTTTATTTTTAATTTTCTGTGAACAACTTTCCTAACAGACATTTTGCTCCGATTTTTAAGTATAGTAACTTTTCTGAAAAGACATTTTCAGGTTTTTATCGAGGTGGTACTCTAAGGAAAGTTTTTTTTTTTGATTTTCACTTAGATTTTCATAATAAATAGGAAAAACGGGAAAATGTACAAAATTTATTATTTTAAAATTGTAAATTGTACGACCTTTTAAAACATGTATAACTGAACTATTGATTATTATCAAAAATATATATAAATAGAACCTATGTAAATATATATATATATATAATCTATTTAAATAGACCTATGGTCTATTTCCGTTTAAAACGATAGGTTTTTCTTGTCGTTTTCAGCGTGATTAACGATTATGCCGATTACGCATTCGTGGAATCCGCCCCCAGGCCAATCGACTACAAAAAATACTGCCACTTTTAAACAACATATTTACGATTTTTTTTCTACAAACTCACAAACCGATGTCATGTACACAGATTTTTGAAAGACATTCGACCTCGTAGATTTATAACATAATATAAGTTTGACAATAATCGACGTACATATAATGTTTTAAATTAACAAAAAAATACCGCTGGAAGTTGAAACACCCAAAAGGCACATAACTCTTGATACTCACACCATGCATGCACACAATTTTATTCCTTTGGCTTCATTTTGGGAATCTGTAGGCGTGTACAAGTTAAAAAATACCCTTCTTCCATAACAATACGGTAGCGTGGAAAATATATACATGATTGTGTTTGATAACAGACATAATACAGTGAAATAGTCTTTACTTTTGGCAAAAATTCGACAAAAAGGATACTGTTTATGAAACGCGTTACGAACTTGTTGTAGTTTAAAGTTTCATAAAAAGAGTTAAAACCGTTTTGTTCGTGTAATATACTTACGTACGTACGCACCTTACATGTCAAAATGTCACATAGGTACTTCCGGTCAGAACTGTTTTTATACGCCGAAAAGAATTATACTCCGAACAAAGTAAAGTTAAAGTCCGTCGATATAATTTAGGTAGTTTATCAACAATGTTAACGCCAACGCTTGGCCGTGTTGTCGGTGTCACATTCGTAAGTTATTTGTTACTTTTTATACATAAATACATAATACATAATATTAAATTAAATAGGTATATACACTCAATAAACTAAAAGAAAAACGAGAACTTTGGTATAGCATTAAAGTCAGGAGGGACAAACATGATTGGGTATATTGCATCACGATAGTTTGACGAAAAGCGTCGTAGAAGAAAACCCAAAAGGCCGTACTGGAATAGGCAGACAAAGCATGAAGTATTACGATATACATAGATAAGAGGATAAAGGTATGGGGATCTACAAAAATTAAGCAATAGAGTAATTGAAGACGAGAAATAGAACATGTATTTTAACATTAATAACAACGATTATTTGTTTATTATTATAATATTCCTGGTGATACGTATTCGTAGATACTTATTTTATTTTGGAAAATATTGATCTAAAAATAAAAATAGCTGTGTTGATCATTTAATTTTTTTATATCATTTAACGTAAAATTGGGGAATTGTTATATATAAATGTAAACATATATTTATGTAAAAAATATGAAATGTACCTACTGCCTTTACTTTCCCATCAACCATTGTACCAAAAGAGATACCAACAAAACACTAATGGTATTTATTATAATAAGTAAGTGCTAAAATAATTAATAAAACTATTAGAACTAAATGCAAGCTAGTATTCGAGTATTAATTTGCACTTTACACTAATAAACAGTAAACACGTATATTCTAATTTCTATGTAAATGTTCAACACTATAATTATTTATCCCGATGAAACTATATCATTATAAACAATATCGTAATAATTACTACTATTAATCGAAACCGTGAAATATATAACTACTATTGTTTCATTTCAAAAGTTTCAAAGATACTTCACGGTCCAAACCATAAAATTATCAATCCTCGATATGACATGCATTATCTCGGAAAAACTTTTTTCGGAATTTTATTTTTGGACAATTTTAGAAACAAGCAGCTCTAATAATACATTTGTATTATTTTTTGCTACCATTATTTTACCTTATTAACTCACTACCCACTTTTGATTTTCAAATTAAAACAAGTATTTTAAATGTATTTTAAATCATTTTTAGTTCATAGATTTTCTTTTATTTCCATCTATTCGTTGATGAGATATTCCACTTTTAAGTTTGAGTAGAGGGAGAGTAGTGAGCATCATTTGTGTATCAAATTAAAATTTTCAAAACTAACATTTATTTAAACTCAAAGTTTATCTTTTTATGGAGTTTTTAATTCGAGTTGTTACTTAAAAAATCAAGGTATGGTAGTGGTTTCATCTCCAAAAACAAGATTACAGAAAAGTCAGACATACTCCACAGGATAAAAGAGCCACTGTTGTAGGTGAGATGTTTGAAAGGTAGAATATATAGAGAGGAATTTAATGAATATCTGTATGCAACGATTAATCATTGCTTACGAAAAACGGTTCTGAGCGGAGTTCGATTATACATGTTTTAAAAGTCTATAACATTTACGACTTTCATCAAAATTTGATATTCGAATTTTTATAAAAAACAAAATACTACATCAAACTCAACTCTTTCTTGTTAACCACTAAATACAACTTATAATTAACCTCCAGTTAAATGTTCAAGCATTTCTATTTTATCTAACAATTTTATTCACAGAGTAGGTGCGTACCGAATAAAAATTGCATACAAAACTCATAAAATTAAAATACCTATGAATAACTTAAAAATCGTTTAAATATTTTAAAAATTTAACTACGTCTAGAAATAGCAAATATCAAGTCTCTACGATCATTTTTATCTGAATTACATAAATAAAACAAAATTCAAAATAATAAAAGCATTATTTTCCTAAATCTCCCTGTTTTTCATACGTTTTTCCCTGGTTTTTTCATTAGCAATGATTTATCAGAATAAATTAAATTACTCTATATATTTTCCATTTCATTTTCTCGCCTATTTCTCGCCTAAAACAATGGCACACCCACCAAAAGTATTAGTTTTTAATTTTTAATATTACTTTACATGCATAACAAATATTAAGACTTGCATTGAAAATGCATAATACCTAAGTATTTTAATATATTTTGTATACATATTTTTGCTATTATATTGCTAAATACTTTTTAATTTTTAATACAACTTTTATATGTTGAGCGTGGTTTTAAATATATAATTCAAAAATCGATTACATATTTATAACGCGGGACAAACAAGCAGAATTAATATATTATTATGAGCTCATATTTTTCGTTGAATTGTATAGTACGTTGAGTCCGGCGTACGCAGACCTCATGGTGACCGCAAACGTGAATAACGATGCCGAATACTTTGATATGCCCATTGCGGTCAATTGTAATGGTTTCTGTGTTCGTAAAATTATCAGGACGCTGACGCGCGACAACTTTGGATTCTTGCATTTGATAAATTTGAAATAGACACAATCTCCGATTTGTCTGTTCTATATTGTGTAAAGTTGGGGGGAAAAAAATTACATGATTATTACATTTTAAATTTTGAGTAAAGCGAGTAGAGATGTATTAGTTTTATAATAATGTTTTTTTTTTTATTTGAAAACAACTTTTCTACCAGAAATTTTGCTTTGATTTTCAAGTATAGCACTTTTTTTGAAAAGAAATTGGATTGGGGTGGTACTTTAAGATGGTTATTTTTTGATTTGTCTAGAGGTTTACATAATAAATTGAACAACCGGGAAAAAACGTAGGAAAACTGGGAAATTTATTATTTTCAAATTTCAAATCGTAAATATTACGGCCTTTCAAAACATATATACCGAACTCCCCTCAAAATCTTTTTTCGTCAGCAATGGTGAATCGTTACATAAATGGAAGAATATATTTCCCCTCTATCTTCCCAACTCTCACCTACAACAGTAGCCCACCCATCGTGCAAAGTATATCCGTTTTTTTTTTTCATTTTCTTTTGTCCAATATACACTTCTTTATACTATACAGCCAAACGGTCGACAGTAATAATATATAGAAGAAGAATATTATTGATTGACACCATTGTCGATATTACTATTAATACAGTATTTATTTTATACAGTGATCCACTTACACGAACCAGCAATTTTTATCAGTGGATTTTAACTATTAAATGAATACGATGTCTGTTTTTTTTTTCAATCATTATTGAAATCTTAAACGATTCGATAATTTATTTTAAAATTATTTTTAACTTGTCACCACTATTTCTCATATCATAGTATAATAAACAGGGTGTTCTACGAAGATACATGTATTACAATATCCCCTGAGATAATGCAAATAATACAATATTATTTTTCTATATTACTCGCAAGGTTAAGAATTACAAATTTTTATATTTGAGTTAATTTTTTATGTTTCGGTAAAAAAACTTAAAACAATAACTTTTTATTTTTTCAAAAATTTGACGATAGCCATTTTATTGAGTTTATTCTTCTGCAAATGTTAACGTTTCAACATTTTATTTTCAGTGAATTCATGATTATTAATAGTTTTTAAAGTTCAAATTAAAATACCTATACAAATGCAGCAGGCTGTAATCACATTGGCTAATTGACTATTATTATTATTATGGCTTAATTGAATTTTGTTCTTGGAATTTTAAAAATTATTAAAATCACCAGTTTAATGAAAATAAAAAGTTAATATTTTAAGTTTTTTAACCAAAACATAAAAAATTAACTCAAATATACATATATGCAGTTTTTATCCCCGTCAGTAATATAAAAAAACAGAATTTATAATTAATTAATTAATTTTTTTTTGATTATCTTCATTATACCCTGAGATATTACAACGGGTATATCTTCGTGAGATACCCTGCATGTTTTTGATTTTCCAATATCCCCCTTCCTTTTGAACACACATTTGAATATTGAAAATGAGGATACAATAATATTTTTAGAAAAAGTGTGATACGTACGAGTACATAGGTATAACAATAATATCGGATTTACTGTTTATGAATTAGAATATAAATAGATAAAAAGATAAATTCATAGATAACTGGTATTTAAAAATCCAGTGCATACATCTTATTACAGGTATAAAGTGTAATGATACAAAATTGAAATAGTGTTAAAATAAAGCTTAATTGATTCCATAATGATTGAAAAATGAAAACAGAAATCAAATTTACATACATTTCTCTGAGAAAATAATTGGAATATAATTAGCAGATCGCCTTGTATTTATTTGAAAAACAGATAGGGAGGCCCGAATTTCATAGAAAATAACAGTTTACCGATATACAACAGTAATAACAGAAATTCAGTTGTTATGATAATAATTTTACAATGGGAACTTGAAAATATAATACAAAGATGTTTGGCAAAGTTTGCCAGACAAAGTTTTAATATTTAAAATCACAGTTTCATGGTTTCTTATTATAAAATATCTAAACGTCATATTAACGTTGATGCGAATAGAAATTATTTCAAAAGAAAACTTTGAACCGTACCTACTGCAATATGCTTCGAAAACATATTATTTTTCTTTATAACTGCTGAAAAACAATCTAGATCGTATACAGTAAGTTATTATTGTCTTATTTACTTGTATATTTATTGAAATACGTAAAATAACAATAATAGACCGTACGAAATGACGTATATAACGGCATCATGTATATTATGTAAATATAAAAAATAAAAAAAAAATAATAATAATAACACAAAATTCAATAGTTATAGTTAAAATGAATATTTACCATCAGTGAGAATTTTTCGCCGATCAAACAGTAGAAGAAAAATTGAGACACCACGATTATGAGGAGAGACATCATTTTTATGTGAAACGCTGAAAATCCGTTAGCCAACAACACGCTGCTGGCGCACAAACACGTCATGATCATAATGTACACGATGTCGACCACGAATAACAAATTAAAGTACGATTTGAAATGGTCGAAATACCTAAATGAAAACAAAAACCAAACGAATTTTCAATATAACTCTGTTAAATTGGTCTTTGTTGATTAATCGTCAGATAAATTAACGTGTTCAGTTAGAAGTTAACTTAAAAAAACAACCTAAATGGAACCGAATTATTAATTTTTAACGATTTTACTAAGTTCGACTGTTCGATATACTATCGTCTGAATGAATCAGAATTTAGTAATTGAAATTTAATCCCCTTATTCCCAACCAAGCTGAATAAATTTTAATTTAGTGACGATAAAATGCGGAAAAAAAATACATTTTTTTTATAATTTTGTAACTTTGTAATTTATATGATATACGAGTAAACATCATATAGTATAGAATATTAAAATTACTGCCCAGATTTGTCTTAAAGTTTACTCAAACTTTAACTTTACTTCTTACTGTTCGAAGAAATTTAATTTATGAACAGTGACATAAAATACAAATTGGATATAAGACTGCGAGTAATGAGAATACGACGCATCGCAAATATTATTAAAGAAAATATATAATGCCTATTTAATTAGTTTACTATAATATGACATATATATATTGTTGACAAAGTATCACTATCAACTGAACTCCACTCAGAATCGTTTTTTTGTTAGCAATGGTTTATCGTTGCCTACTGGTTTACGTTAATTGTTGCATACAGATATACATTCAATTTCCTCTCTGTCTTCCTAAATATCTCACCTACAATAGTGACCCGCCCACGTGCGAGTATGTGTTTATAACGTTTCGTTACAAATACAAATACAAAACTCACATGTGAAGCTCGTAAATAATGTTATTTTCTATAAATTGTATAATTGTATACACAAATTTGTTCTACCTTGAAAAAACTTCAGGTTGTCTATCTCTTTTATTAACGTGTTGGCTTCAATGTATTACACGTAAAACGGTCATCTCCCCTGATTTAGTATATGTTTATGGAAAAAATAGCCATTGATTTTGTTAACACTCACGTAATGAGGGTCTGATGGTGTTTAACGCACTTGACGAGATTATCGAATACGGCCCGCGGCCGCTGACAGGCGTCCCGCACGTTCAGGTCACGGACCGCGTCGGTAAGCATGTCCACCTGAACTTGCATCTCGTTGACGAACACCACCATGGCGAACACCATGCCGGAAATGCTGGTCAGCACGCTCAGTGACACGACGAACTGAGTGGTGTAAGCGGCCGCGTACTTGGAAGGCGTCAGGCGCGTCCACGGCGTCCACATGCGGAAAATCAGAGCGGCCGGCGAATCCATGTTGCCGTAGTTGGCCACCCAGATGATGGGCGCCATGCACATCATCACGTTGGCCACGGGCATGACGGCGCCGTACGTGCGGACGAACCGTGAATACAGCGTATGAGCCGCGGCCCGGCGCTCGTCGTGCCAGAAATCGTGCCGGACGATGTGCAACATCCGGTTGAGCTGCGGCCTCTTGTACACGCCGATTGCGAACAGAGCCAGCGTGCTCGACGAACCGGTGATGTACGTCAGCATTTCAATCGTCTCCTCGTAACTGGTGCGCTGGGACACCAGGGACGTCAGCACCGACGTCGTAATAAACATCCAGAACACACTTATCAGCCACGGGTACACGGCAGCCACTTGTTTCACGATCCCTTCGAAAACCAGTTTAATTTAGATTTAGTTTATATTATGTGGTTAGGTTATTATTACTAGAGCTCCTTTCACGTGTACATGCTTTCACGTATCCACGTGAAACTAACATTAAAATCTATAAAACCGTATACTTGAAAAATCTGTGTACACGTTTATTCACGTATTTTAGTGTTTTAATATTTACTTTAAGTTCATAATATTTATCCGAGTTTCATCTCATTGCGCTACTATTGCGTCAATGTTAAGGGAATCCACATACTGCGTGAAAAGCTTAAGACTTAGAGAAAGTACAATGGCATTTTTTTTTCTTTGCAGATCATGTTCAAGGTATTCAGTATCCTAAACTTAACTATTCCAGTATCCGATACTACCTTGGGTTGAACATCTGAGCTAATAGAATAGTGTCCACTAAAACATAACTTTTTTAAGTAAGTTAAATTAATGGCTCTATATAGGTACCATCACTCTTATTCCAAGTGGAATTCAAGGCTTCTTCAAGCTCTTTACGAACCCACGCCTCCTTTGCAGTCCTGGCAAATACCACGAACTATGTTCGTTACCACCCTATTCACCATGCGTCTTGCAAATGATCACCTTTCTAAAATGTTATTATATATTTAAAATTAATATTCTTGTAATCTTGTAAATATTGGGCCTTGGCTAGTTTTTTCTACAAATAAATCAGTAACAACAATAATAATAATTTAAAATTTGACAGTAAAATAAATTAACATTATACAAAATCAACAATAAATTTAATATACTTTATTTAGTACGTTATCATTTAAACAAATATCCGTGAATAAATTAATAACACTAATACACGTGAATACGGATACTATTCATATGTATTTAGTATACGTGATAACAAATTTTTCATTCGGGTGTATACGGATCCATGTTCACGTACATATACTTTACGTTTTAAATCTATTCTAATAGATATAGGATCCTAATCCTAAATACTAGATCCTAGATACTAAATCCGAATCTTACAAATAATCAGGGATATGCATTATGTATAGATTTTGAGTATATGAAGAGTTTGAGTATCTGGGGCCACAATCTCCATTGACAATTTTGAGCCAGGGCTCAGTCCACAAACGTTTTACTGATGAAACATATCTTTTATGTTAACGGTTATGTAAAATATTCGAATATTTATTCTAAAATATCGAAGTTTTCCACCATAAATTAAAAATGTTGATAAAAATATTATTTTTTGATAAAATAGTTTATGAAATTGTACATAGTTTTTTAAAAATGGTTTATTAGTACCTGTTATCAGGAATATCAGATATCTAACGTTTCACGTAATGTCAGTGATGCACTACACAGATTGCATATTAGTGATAAATGACAATAGTTTCATGACTATAGTAAACTGTCTCGTGTTACCTATAAATTAAGTTATTATTGAACGACGAAAATCTATTAAAAATAGGTAGTGCAGTTTTTCCATTTTATGTTTTTGGAAAAATCTTTAACATTAAAAATGCTCAAAAAATCAAAAAACAATAAGTCGTCAAAGTCCCCTAAAGTCAATTTAACAAATCGGCGCTTATGGTGATACGTATTCTTGTGGTTTACTATACTGAAGATAAAATAATGTAAAAAATAAAATAAATTATTAACGGACCGCCACAACGCGTACCTATGCCACGAATACTCTTCAAATTTATAAAACAACAATAACACGTCCGGTGGATCCGGACATAACGGTTCGGTGGGCCAAAAACAAACAATATCGACCTCTTCGAGCATCTACCGCAATGAATTATCTTTTCAGTTTTATTTAATCGTTATAAACTCGATTGCGAAATATTTACCTTTATTCTCACGACCCGGATACACGTTGATTCCGTTCAGAAGCAATAACGTTAGCCAGTACACGGACATTTTCCGCGCCGTAACGTCCTCCGACGTTTTCATGTTTTCCGAATTATTTTTATTTCTAATTTTTCTCCGAAACACAAGTGCATTCGCAGATACTCGCCGACCGTATAGTAACGAAAATAAAATAATAATTCGCACGGTCATTCGGCTTTTAGACGTTATGGATTATTGTATAACTATACCTACCTAATATACATCATCACCTAAACTTACCTATATTATTCGTATATATATATATTTCAAACGGTCGAATCAAAAAATGTATAGGTAGGTAACGAATAATTAAATCTAAAAGTTTCCACGGCGGCAGAACAGTCTATAATCAACGATTATTAAAAGTTTTTAGAGATATGATTGTTAAGTATAATATAGGTAGTATAATCACTTGATGTCCCAGTAAAAACTTTTAATTCGATTTTGGCCACTGGAATTTATTATAACAATAGACAAAGTTCTACACATATTATGTAGATCTCGATAAACTCGTTTCTCTTTAATTAGTCCCGCTACAAGTATAATTTATAACTATAATACTTACTTATTTATTCAATATAGATAGCAATAATTATAATATAGCTGTATAGGTAATTTTATAATAATATTACAATACATAAAAATGTAGTTCTTAATTCTTAATTAATTCTTCGTCTTCTTTTCTTTCACCTTCCCGGCTTCATACCAATTATTTAAAATTGGTCACCTTTAAGCTTCTATCTCGCTAGCACACACCGGCTATCCTCATATCACATCCAACCACTTCTTTTTTGATTTTTCTCATCCCTCTCTCCTCCTACGTTTATTTTCATTGCAATTCTTACAATTTCAGATTCTTCTCTCCTCCCAGATATATTCAAAGTATCTCAGTTTATTTTCTCTAATTTTGTTTACTATCGAAGCCACGTCTAAGCTCCCACTTATGTACTCATTTCTTTTCTCGTCTTCTATTGTCACTCCACTCGTCTACCTAAGCATTTTCATCTCTGATACATTCATTTTCTGTTATATTTTTCTGTCTATTGCCCAACACTCCACACCATGTACCATAGTTGGTCTCATCACACTTTTATAAAAATGTAAAACTTATCTTTAAATCTTTTTGAAATTCTTTTTTTACCCAAAACACTTGACGCTTCTCTCCACTTTATCTAAACACACTTAATCATATCTTTCACATTCTCGTGTCAAAGCTACCGTTCTTTTATACAAACAAATCTTAAATACACAAAACTATCAACCTCACCTATTACATCACCACTTATTGCCATTCGCTGTCTTGTACTGTTCCACACATTCACACTCTATATACTCTATATACTCTATACACTCTGTTTTACTTTTACTTGTACTTAGTCTTTTTTCTTCAATAAATCCGGTGTTCGTAAATTTAATCTATAGAACGCACGAGTTCACCATTTTCGAGAGCTCTTCCCTATTAACGTTTTCGTCTACCGATAGTCTATAGCTATACATAATATAAAATAAATATTTGCTAAATAATATAAAAACCAGATGACCCGCACATACGATATCAAAATAGAATATTTATTATTTCTCTTCTTTTTCTTTTATCGAATAGCATGATTAGTCTATAGACAATAACAGTTTTGTTGTAATTATTACACTTCACCACACGTTTCAATCTTGAACTGCCTCTTTCTATTTTTAAATTCCTTAGCTTTTCAAATACACTTCTACCGTAACAAATTATTTTTGCTTGAGTCATTTTCCTAGAGATTTCCCCTCCACAGCTGCTCTAACTGTCTCGTCTTTACCTCTTCTCATTATGTGGCCTAACTATTAAATCACATAACTTGTTATTGATACTATTTATATCATATCGTTTATTAAATAATAAATTATATAATAGAACATAATTATATTGTTATCTACAAAAAGAAACGGTATACTTAGAGTGTTTAATACGTTTACTATTACGCGATTACCTTTGAACCGTTATTTGTTCTATAGACTAAAATTAAGTTATGCATCCAAATGTAAACGCGTGCTAAACATTAAATGTTAATAACACATACCGCTATGCTCATTGCTCATACACAGGACAAATAGATGTATCAATGCGTGTATACATTACGGACGCTCGTCATCATACAAACGAATTGTATATACGGTACTTGTTATAGACGAAATATTATAAATTTCTCTTATCTATTTAAAATATTATATTATAATAGGCATTCTGTTTTTGCAAAGCATCAGAGCAATATTATATACTTACAGCAAGAGTTTTTATTTTCCCCTAGCTATATACGATTTCATACTCAGTAAATCAAGAGAACAATGTATTGGTTTTACAAAGATGTTTATTTTTATTTATTTTAGATTCCGAGTGTAGCGAAGGAGCTATTAATTTTACTAATATGTTTTTTTTCTTCTTTCTTCTAGTCTGTGAACACGTTTTTTCCTAGTAAACTTGCTCCGATTTTTAAGTGTACCAATTACTGAAAAACTGAAAGCTCAAGTTGTCTAAATGGTACTTTAAATACGTCATTTTTTGAGTTTTTAAATAAAAGCACTTAAATGGGAAAAAAACGTAGAAAAACGTACAATTTCACGATTTCATTATTTCATAAAAACACGGATAACATTTTCTATCAGAAAAATGATTTAATCGAAAAATCACAAGACACTTTTTTTGTTGCCTTTTTGATTTATTTTCTTACGGTGTATCATTGCTAAAACTTTTAAGCTTTTAAGGAATTTTAATTTTTGGGTAGTTTTTTACTGTAATTCGGTTATAATACACGTACAGACTTAAAACTTGGTAATAATACTTATATTGAACTTATTTAGACGTGGTAAATTTCCAAAATCATCGGACAACTTTTTTTTTTTAATAAGCGTTTTGAAATAAAATTCAAACGAAAATCGCAAAAAAAAAATATGGCACTTTAAATTATGTATTAGCGAACAGCGCTCGGAATCGTCTTTCGTCAAGCAATGGTTTATCGTTTCTTACAGATATGAATGAAATAATCTTATGTATCCTACATTCCCAACTTCACATCTATAACAGTGGCAGCTCCCATCCCCAGTATCAGCTCTTTTTTTATATTGTGTACAAAAATTCTATCAGAAATCTTTCTCCGAATTATCAAGTATAACATCTTTTCTGAAAGGGAATTTTGTCTGGGGCTGTACTTTGATGAGGTCATTTTTAGTTTTTAAAAACGGAAAGTGTGTGAAACGTAGGTATTAGTAAAAAAATATTATGGGCTTTTTTTTCCTGTAGACAACTTTTCTGCCAGCAATTTTACTCCAGTTTACAATAGCACTTTTTTTGAAAGAAAATCTGACTGAGATGGTACTTTGGGGGTGTAGTTTTTTGATTTTCTCAGGAGTTTTCCCAATAAATGGGAAAAACATAGGAAAAATCGGGAAAATAGATACAATATTAAACAAATATTATTAAAGAAAATATATAATACATATGTAATTAGTTACCATAATGTGACATATATTGTTGACAAAGCAACACTATTAACCGAACTCCGCTCATAATATTTTTTTGTTAGCAATGGTTAATCGTTGCCTACAGATATACATTAAATTTCTCCTCTACCTTCCCAGATTCTCACCTAAAACAGTGGCCCACCCACGTGCAATGTATGGCCATCTTTTTTGTTTTAATTTATAAATTTTAATTATCTTTTTTTATATTTCACGAATATTGTCAAAAAAAAAAAGGAAAGAAAAAAAAGAGAACTGCATGCTCTAAAATTAACTGTGCCCTCCGAAATTATACCTACCGCAGTGAAATCGTTTCTTTAATTGCTTTAATAATTATGTTTTCCGTCGTGTCATTAGTTAAAGAGTGGCACATTCTTTAAATGTTTCACGGGTAACGTCGAGCTATTTAAAATTAAAACCACGCATTTCATGGAAATATTGAAAACAGCGGAAGAAATTGACAAATAAGGACTTCACAGCTAATATAATGTTTGTATACGAAAAAACAAAAAAGGTATAACGTCTACAATTTGTTTGGGCAATAGAAAACAATATTTAAATATCTGATTATTATTCATTTACTTAAAATATCTTTTTTGTTGTACGCAGTGGACCTTTTATTTTTATATTAAACTTCAAGAGTATAAATTAATTTATAGAGCACTATTATTATCTTGAATATAACATATTCATACATATAACTTTCGTGAAAGTATAATTGTGCAGCAGTAGTATATTTACTACAAACAGTGATGTGTATTTTAACTGTTATAGTGATATTATCATCATCAAATGCATACATTATTTTCAAGTTTATAAAATATAAAAAAAAAGAGTATAGGTAAATGTTTTGCAGTGTGCTGTAAAAACAACTTTATTCTAAAAAGTGAATAATTTGCATGTAATGAAATCAAACATAACTAAATATATATAGTTATAATAATAATATAATTATATGTGAATCAATAAGCTAAACATTTTGGATTCATTATCGGATTATAATATTAATTTATAAGTGCACAACTAAAGGTTGGTAAAGACCGACGGATACTGTAGAGATGGGCAAATATTCACTAACGACGTTTTTTCTTTCCAAGTCCTGTCCATAAAATGCCCGGGTCATGGTTGTTGGTACCACGATACGATTCCCCATCGTCATGTCGTACGAAATTTCTTACATTATCGGATGGTTTTCGCCCTCTAAAATAGTTTCCGGGATAAGAGGTATCTGAAACAAATACATTTTAATATAATATAATAATAATAATATTATATATATATATATATATAACAGTATTTATTTAAGGATAAACTTTATCTGAAAAAAAAATTGAAAATGTTTTAAAATTGGAAGGGATAATTAAAAATAAATACAAAACCTAAACAAATCACAAAATAGTACGCGAATTCTATATGTGTTGTATATAGAAAATTAGTATAATAATGAATTGGTAATATATTACACATACTTAGTTACACATATATACACCTACAGCAGCAGTGCAGAGTTAGTTTTAAAAATGATATAGTCATAGTTTTCATTTCCAGCACCAACCTATTAAGCCATAAGTATACCTTTCTTTCTCTAACGTTCATTTACATTTATTAAAATTTGTCGCTATTGACTATGTTGCAGTTTCACTTTTTTTAAAAATATTTATCAATTTTTGAGTACCGAAATCCTATTCTCAACTCAAAAAATAATCGTGACTTTATATTATCTACATCTACTTTGTACTAAAACCACAGAATACGACTTTACAAGTAACTATATCAAATATTATAATAATATTACGTGTCAACACATATAAGCCAAAGTTCAAACAAATAATTTTAAAAAACCCATCAACCAATATTATAATATCAACTTCAACACATTTTTTGGTAATACCTATAGGTATAATCGTTTATCATTTTAATCGCATATTTGTATAGCAAAAACTTTATAAAAATCATAATTAAATTCGTTTAGTCATCGTCCTACCTAGTTAATTATTACTCAAAACCATAACGCGTGTGAATTTAATTATACACTACTTACCTTACTACGTATTATATTTAATTTATTAATTTATTCACGCATCAATATTTTAATAATGAATAGAGTTAACGATTTGTGCAAATGGTCTTATTAATTATAACAAGCGCCCGAATAAACTAAAAACACGCTATATTATACTATTTGAAGCTCTTGCTCTATATTATGAATGGTTAGGTAATATTAATGATTTCACATTGACATTAAAACTTATGATTTAGTAATTATTCAAATGCTATAATATTAAGTTTTAGATTCTGAGTGGAGCGTTTTTCGCTTATGGTTTTAAAAAGACGTTTATTTTATTTTTTTTCCTGTGAACAATTTTTCTATCAATAATTTTGGCTCCAAAATATAAAAATATCAATGTTTCGACTGGAGAGGTACTTTAGAGAGGTAGTTTTTTGGTTTTCTTAAAAATTTTCCCAGAAAATGTGAAAAACCGAGATAAAACATGGGGAAACCGAGAAAAACGTAAGAAAACTGGGAAAATCGATAATGTTGTAACAAATATTATTATAGAAAATATATAAAGCCTATTTAATTATTTTACTATAATATGGCATATATATTATTGACAAAGCATCACTATCAACTGAATTCCGCTTAGAATCTTGTTTTGTAAGCAACGATAAACCATTGCTTACAGATATACATTAAATCACATAAACAGTGGCTGCACTCGTCCCCATTATCCTAGGACGTCTTTTTTGTTTTTCAGTTTTGATCAAGTTTGATTAATCGTAATTAAAAGTAATAAATGACATACCCAATTGTATAATTATGATTTTGACGGAAACAAAATATTATTGGAATGTATTAAAAATAAATGTTATCATTTATAAAGACGTTAAGTTTACATTTAAAATTAAATAACTAACACCTGTGGATAACTGAGAAATATACTCAAATAATGTACCGATTCGTGTCTTAAAAGTATAAATACGACATTTTAGGGGAGATTATACCAAAGAGTTTAATGCAATTTATATTATTAAATTTTCGAAGAAGTTTTGTTTTGAAATCATTGTCTAGTAGATTTGCTTTAGTTGTCCGAAAAATGAAAATTATAAATTAGTATAGAACTAAATAATACTGTAATCTTTTAACGTGCTAACTCGATTAAACAGGCCAGTACTACCATTAAAAACAACCTATATAGGCATTTAATTAAAATCTTTACCATCTAAAATAATCATAATAATCATAATTCATACTATATTATAATTTTTCATTAAAAAATTGAAATACTTGTATGGAATTATTCTTATAAAATTAGCTGCTATCTCGAGTGTAAAAGAAATTCGGCTTGACACAGTTTGAACAGTTAATTTCTGAATTGTATAGACGCCTACCTACAGTACAGTACATTAAATTATAGATGACTAATTGAAATTTTTAATAAAAGATGATAGGTAAGTAATTTAAAATTATTATTGAAAACCGAGACTTTGTATACGACCTATCTTTCGGTAAACTAATATATTATTTTTATTTTAAATTTGAAAATTCAATTTTCAAACATAGTACTTGAAATTAAACCTGGACACGAAACTGAGAAATTAAAAAAAAATGGTAGAGTATATTTGATAAATTAATTTATATCTATACACGCAACGATAAATTATTAAGTTTGGTTAAAAATGTTTAGAAATGCAATTATTTTTACGAAATTTATCAAAATTTAAACTTTGAACCAATTGAATTGAACATGACGCTCAACTTTTTCATCACTAATATATAACTTTTATCCTTCATAAGTTCATGATGCACTAGACAAACTTAATAGTACTTTGTCTAACTAGACAAAATTTGAGTAAATTTTACGATAAATAATTGGAACAATATTTATTTCTAAAAAAAGTGGTTTACAAAACAAAAAAAAAGGCGGACATACATCACACGCTGGGTGGGCCACTGTTGTAGTTGAGAAGTTGGGAAGGTAGAATATAGAAGGAAATTTAATGTACATTTGTAAGCAACGATTAATCATTGTTGATGAAAAACGATTCTGAGCGTAGTTCTGTTATACATGTTTTGAAAGGCTGTAATATTTACGAGTTTCGTCAAAATTTGATACTATAATTCTCATAAAAAAAAATTCTACATTACACTCAATTTTTTTTTAAACAAACAGTACGATTTATAACGAACTTCCTGTTAAATTTCAAGCATTCCTATTAGCAATTTATTCACAGATAAAAAAAAAAAAGAAAAAATAAACACTGTAAAACCAATAAATTCCCGCTTCGCTCAGAATCTAGAGCACAAATTATAAAATTAGGTATAGTAAAACTATAGAGTATATTATATATTATAATATAAGAGTAAAACCACTATAGTACTTGCTATGCTCAGAATCAAAAACAATTCATCCAGAAATTATCATCTGTTGAATACTACTTATTTATATGAACTTTATATAACTCTATTATAAAGTTACTTGTTTACATTTCGTTGAATATTTTTTTTTTACCAAATAATAAAAAAGTTTTTTTTCTAAAATAACACATCATTGCTAAAACTAATTTGCATATAAAATAATGAATAATGATAATAATGATAATGACTACACTATCTTATGAAGACTTGTTCCAAACAAAAAGTTTGGAAAAATAATTAACAATTTTTCGATTAATTCGACATAACTCGAGTTAACCGAATTTACTTTTTGAACGAAAATAAACAAATTAATCACTATTGTAGGAAATTATTTACAAAACTTGCTTGTACACACATGGTCAATTTGATTGAATAATAAATTGGAGTATATTTTAACATTTATAACCGTAATAAGGAAATTGGCAAATAAGTAGGAATACGTTAGATACATTAAGAGCAACATAATTTTATATAGTTATTACTGAGAATTTAGATTAGAGTATCAAATTAATATCAATAAATAATCAATATGTAATAAACACATACATATGTTAGTTAAATACCTTTATTATTAACTAATTAATTAGTTTTACCCGCCTACTTTGGTTATTAATTCCCGTTGTTATAATTTAACGTGCGCATAACGTGCTGAATATGTATACAGTTTAGCAATATACTAGGACTATAAGGTAGGTAATAATTAGAATACATATAGAAAAAGCTATTGAGTTATTCAGCGACGTTGAACTAAACAATAATTATATCAAATAATGTGTAATCGAAAATTATTATTTTAATTGTTAATGATCGAAATAAGATTTAATCAACATTACAGACGAGAACCGCCAGTGAAATAGCAATCACTACTGCAACCTAAGCGGATTATTTAGATCAAATCATCGTTTTCATAGTAACTTCTGTATAGGTAGTGTAATAATTTTGGTAATAACCCTGAAATATATGCTTTGGTCCAATAACAAACAGAACGGTGAATGAGAAAAACAATTATTTCAAGACTGATGGGTCTCTCTGGTGTGCAGGTATTAAACTTGTAAACCACCGGTCATTCGCTTCCTATATATTATTATATTATACACTCACCACTGCGGCGCGACCGTGGCTTATTTGAAATCCGATTAAATATGACAGATTAACCTTCAGCGAGGAAACAAGTTTCCAGTTCTGTTTTACCCCAGCTGCGTAGGTACATCACGGCAGCAACAGCAGCAGCTAACTCAATGTTCATATTATTCATATAACATTATTTATTCATTACGGAAACGCATCGTGCAATGTATACATAATTATTATTCACTATGCAAAATTGTCGGTTTAACATGCGGTTGTATTTATTATTAGATATCCTAAGCATATATAATTTATAATAGTAAATATAAAATACAGTGATATAAAAAAAAAAACTGCATTCCGTTACTAATGGAACCGAATATTCTCCTTTCATATATTGTTTAAAAAAAAGAAATGTGCTCTGCCAAACAACAAATAACTGATTATTTATATTATAATATAACACTAAAATTAAACTTATTACAAAAAGTAATGGTGAAATTTGATTATACAATTACAATGCCAGTGGGGTTGAAAGTTTAAATCATCAAAAGGTACATCTTTGATATTTTAACGTCATGTGTATACAAAAATTCACCCCGCTGGCTTCATTTGGAGAATCTGTATGGGTGTAAAAAGCTATACGTACTTCTCCCGAATTTTTCCACTTTAGTCTGTGTACAAAATAACGTTAATTTCCGAATTTAAGCTAATTTACTCCAGAAGGAGCAGCTAGAAATACACAAAAGTAACGAGAAAAAAGAAATAAATACATATCTGTTATACTTTTGGACATAAATATAATATTTCACCATGTTTTACCGATGACAATAATAAAAATGTTAACATTCAATTAGTTTTATTTTTTCAATCGAATTTCGTGTTAAAAGAACATATTTAGAAAAAAAATTTTAATTTTTAATTTTAACTCATAATCACTAAAAAAAAAATAACTTCTTATTCGTTCATTTTTCTAAACTTTCAAAATAGCCACTTTTTAATAGATATTATTCTTAAAATGTTAATCTAACATGCATATACGTACAGGGTGCTTCACTAAGCGTGCTCACTCCATTTTTTTTTCGTTAAGTTTTGCGTGTATTCAAATTCTGATTTTTGGAATTGTTTAGTGTAGTTAAAGCCTATATTTTCGAATACTTCAATTTTTCATATTATTTAAGTAGTATTCTCTGGTGATACCAACTTTGGTTTTTCAAATGAGAACCTAAGAGTAGGTATATTGAAAATTCCATAAATAAACGGAGTATTACTATAATACATTTTAGTGTTCATATTTTTGATTTTCATTAATCTGTTTACGAGATATTTCATTATTAAGTTTATAATAGGGAGAGTAGTGAATCACTAGTAAAACACCGGGCACCGTGCCGCTACATAAATTATACTCTGTCTATTTATGGAATTTTTAATGTAGGTTCTCATTTGAAAAACCAAAGTTGGTATCAACACAGGATACTGTTATGAAAAGTCTTTAAAAAAATCGGCTTAACTACACTTAAAAATTCTAAAAATCATAATTAAAATGAATGCAAAAATTTAACAAAATAAAAAAAAAAATGGAGTGAACACGCTTAGTAAATCATCCTGTATTTATATATATACGATGAATAGTTTTAAAGAAGTAAAGGTAGTTTCAATTTCTAGAGAAGAGATATTAAAAAAAATGCCTTCTATAAGTTAGTACGTTATTTGCGATAATGAATCACAGCACTAATAACACGAAAATTCTTCAAAAATTATGCTTTGAGGATAATCAAGCACGAGAATATTCTTAGCATATTCTTGAAAAAATATTATACTCCAGCATTAAACAATTCTACACAAATATTTAATGCCTTTCAAATAGCAACACTGATTTATTGTGAATTTTGATAGTAAAATATATTGATACTATTTGGAATATTGAGAGTATAGACATATTAACTAAGTTCATATGTCTGTGATTGACAGTAATAATAATTGGTTTATTCGAAAAACTTTATTGTAAATTTGTAAATATATTAAACGGTCATACTTTTATGATGTGATATACTGATAAGTCGGCATTATAATAATTAATAACATAATATTATTGAATAATTAATTTTTTTTATTAACATCAAGTTGGTTTTAATATTGAGTTGTGTACCTGTACATAGGTACTTTATTTTAATATATATTACAGTAATATAAATATTTTATTTATCTTATTATTCTTATTACTACTTAATAATTATAGCTATGCATATTTACATAAAAAATACATTACAATTGCAATACTTTGCAGATTGCACAAAAAAAAACCAAATTCAAAAACTCAAAAATGACCATGTTTTGAGAATATACTCCAAAAGATTATTCTCAGACATTTCACATAACCACCCCTTCTATATAGAAATTAAAACAGCTATTATAAACTATATAGTTATCGGATATATGGTATGTATCATACGATAAATTACAATTTTCAGAATAATATCAATTACAAAGTGGCCATTTTGAAAAGTGAACCAATATAGTAATTTTTTTCTAAATATAATGACCCAAAATAAATATTCATAGATATTAATTTCAGAAAACACGGTGGGGACACCTGTATAAAACAGATACAATACAACGCAATCGTCTCTATATTTGGGATAAATTTGAAAAAATAACGTTTCAAAATTAAAAATGTATAGAGAGTATGTTATTTCCACAGCTTACAGCTGACTTTGGTAGGTCATATAATATTATGTGCTGCCAGGGGCGAAATATTTAGAGTTGTATTCAAGATAAACACAAAATAATCCGATGAAATTTACTTTACGAGTATGTATAACTGCAAAATCCAAACTTTTGCGTTGTGTTAGTTTATTATTGACGTGTTGACATTTATTGTAACATTACAATATAAACGGGTATTTATGGTGTTTACTATAAATATATATATTCTATATAGTAAATATATTATTATTTTATTTAAAAGTGGGTGTAGTTAAAATGTCGAGCTATATAACATAAGAGCTCTACGTGAAATACATCGTCAAAGATAAAGTTTTAAAACATAAATATTTCGTAAACTTATAATATGTGCATATTGTTTCCGTTTAACTTTTGATATATAATAATATCGTTAATTCCTCCTACGGAATGCAATCATCCAATAGCGCATACATGAGAGATGGGATGGAGGTACTAGTGGTTTCCGCCCACCTCTCCTACCAGAGGTACACAACTTCTATAATACTGGTGGGCTTGGTAAGATTTAGGTAGACTTAGCCGTCTAAATTGTGTTGATGAACTTCTCCATGAACGAAAATTATATTATATGCACAACTATATTATTTTTACCCTTTCAAGCGCAAAACTCAAAAGTCTAAACCATGACAATAATTATAAATAAAACAATTTTATTGCGACTGCGAAATGTCTGCAGCATATAATTACACGGCTATAAAACCGACATATTTGTGATATTGTATATAATAATAAAAACAAAAGACTTCGCACGGTGGGTGGGCCACTATAGTAGATGAGAAGTTGGGAAAGTAGGATGTAGAGGGAAATTTAATTTAAATGTCTGCATAAAAATAAATCATTATTAACAAAAACGATTCGAATCGAAGTTTCTTTTAACATCTACGTAAATTTCTCCGTGTTTCCTACGTTTTTTCCAGGTTATTCCCAATTATTATAAAAATTTTAAAAAAAACATCTTTTAAGTACTAAGTAGATAAAATTTCTTTTCAGAAAAAGAACTATACTTAATAGATCAGAATAAAATTTCTAGGAGAAAAATTGTTCACAAAATAAAAACAATAAACACATTGTAAAACCAATACATCTCGTTACACTCCGAATTTAAAACTACAATAAAGGCGGACACAAAAATGAAAATATAAATACAATAGATTTGTTTAAATTTTCAATTATATTTATGTATCCGAATATTTGTGACAATAAATTGTGTCGACTTTTCTAATAAATATAGCATATAGATATTGAACATTTGAAACCGATGGTGAAAATACAAAAAAACTAGGTATTATTATATTTATATTTGCTATAGATTTTGGTTTTAAATCCGATCAAGTGTATATTTAGTCAAGGTATTATGTAAACAACTAGGTAGATACTCTAAAATACGATATAGGTAACTAAAAACGCAATTATTTACTTTTTGCCATTGTTTTTGTTATTTTTCCATATATACAATGCTATTATACTTATACAGTATACATATATATATATGTATACACACATAGCTACCCTAGTGAATTCCAATATATTTTTAGAATATTATTTTTTCATTTAAAAAGATAGTATATACCTATATACTATAGACATGTATAATGTGTATTTTAGAGTTCCGTAGCCAAAATAAAAAAAAAACGGAACCCTTATAATTTGTCAAGTCAGTTCGTCTGTATGACACAATAAGTTTTTATAATTTTGTCACTTTTTTGTCATACAATATTAGCTAGTAAAATGCATTTATTAAGTTATTAAGAAACTGAGTAAGAAAATGTTTGTCAATTATGAATTGGTATTTTTGTTTGAATTTTTTTTTTTTTTTTTTACATTTTTTTATTCATATCAATAATTAAAATCAATAAATTACTTTATAATTTTTATTTTCTATCTAATATATTTTTATTTACTGTAAAAAAATCAAAGAGGCCTTCAAAAAATAAAATCAACATTTGATGACAACAAATAATTTTAATGTTTGATTCTCGAAAATATTTAAATTATATATATATGTACTGTTCATTAAAGTTAGAGAATTATTCAATTTCTATTCCAGTATAATTATTATATTAACTCTATTTTAAAACCTGATATTTAAATACCTTTTTATAACTTATATCAACTACAATTAAATCGATATTTTCGAAAAAAAAGAAGGTAGGTATTAGTCATTTATAAATAATATTTTCATATGAGTTTAGCGTAAAATAATATGAAATAAAATTTGTTGAAACTGAACAACTTGAGTTATTAAAAATATTAAAAAAAAAAAAAAAAAAAACAGACATACTTCACACGGTGAATAGACCACTGTTAAAAGTAAAAAGTTGTAAAGATAGAGGAAAAATTTAACGTATATCTGTACGCAATGATTCATTTTTGCTAACCAAAAACGATTCTGAGTGGAGATCAGTTGTACATGTTTTGAAGGCCGTGTTATTTAATATTATGGAAATAATACATTTCTTACATTTCCCCGGTTATTTAATTTATTATATGTAAACCCATTGAAAAATCAAAAAATTACTTTTTTAAAGTACCACCCCAGACAAATTTATTTTCAGAAAAAATATTACATTTGAAAATCGAAGCGAAATTTATGGTAAAAAAAAAGTAAAAATTAATATCATTTTAAAACCAATATATTCCTCGTTCTACTCAGAATCTAAAAATTGGAAACAAACAAATTTATAGTAAATTTTCATAAATATAGTCACTTATATTTCATAAAATTTAAAGTACCGACTTATATTACAAGGGTTTTTGATTGTATTTATCTCGTTACCAAGTTTTTTTAATTATAAGGAAGGATAGAGGATGAAAGAGTAGGACAAAAATGGGGGAGATCGAAAAATAGGCGGTTGGATGCTATTGAAAATTATATGAGAACGGTGAGTGTATGGGAGGAAATTTTGGGAAAATGAAAATAGAAGTTTAAGACTTGGGTGGCCAACCCAAATAACTGGGATGAAAACGAAGGAGAAAAATTATAATGAAATAACTATCTTACATATATCAGTACATAACATATCAGTACATATCAGTACATAACATATTTACATTTTACTTACTACATGTACTCGGAAAATATAAAACCACCAATGTTTTAACTTATATTATTATTCATATTTAAAGTTTAATTTTCAAAGCTACATCCGTATTTATTGAACGATGAAAAATTGTTTACATTGGATTCTATGAAACAATAATTAATTAATTTGAATTTTTAAAGTTTTTCTTACCATATTTTCGCTGAATGTTGTACTTTGATTGCTGTTTTTCTTTCATTTGTTTTACATTAGCACTAAGATTATCAAAAAACAGCTTCAAATCACTCATAACATCTAAAGAAAAAAAATATATAATCAATAGCTAATAACTTTTCATATCACAATAATATTTTCCTAATAATTAAATAACCAGTATTAATAGTATTCATTGAAATGTTTATCATGATGATTTTTATTTAGTTCAACAATAATTCTCAAAAAATAATTTTGTTTTTCCATCATATTTATACAAAAAATACATGTTTCGAATGCTTTATAAAAAAATTCGAATGCAGTTTATATCTTAACATGCATCATGTGGGTTTAAAACATATGATAAAAAAACAAGAACCCACTGAATACTTGAAAATATTCATATTGAATATATGAATTTGCATAATACTTCATTAAATTGATTCATGAATAATATAATTAACTTTGAAGAGTTTGCGAGAGATTGACTCGTGTTCATTTCCATTAATTACATAAAAGTAATCAAAGGTAGCAAAACATTTCTGAAGGATATTAATATAGGTACATTATCTGTGGAAATTATTAAATAAATAAATACTTATTTACATAAATCAGACTTTTAAGTATATTTTTATAAAAAAAAAAAAATTGTTTGTATATTCTAATAGCTACGTAATAATATTTACTTACCAACACTTTCGTATGGTGTTAAAGATGATTGTGTTCGTTTTACAAAAGAGTTATATAAGTCAGAATTTTTAAACTTCTTTTTATATACTACAGCCGTAGTAGGAATATTTCTTTCGAATATTTCTTTTGGTGATATTAGATCCCATAATGATTTCCGATTACTTTTCTCAATATCTAAAATGATAACAATACAATATATTAATGCATACATCATAGATATCTTTTATGCAATAATATTGTAAACATAAAAACCCATAGCTATAACTAATTGACCTGTATTAGATTATAATGCCTAATATTCTGCACTTTATATGCAAAACGCGTTCCTAAATTTCAGAGTAATGACAATTGTTTTTACAATGCTGTGTGTGTGGTTTTATTTTAATTTATTTATTATTTCACTTTATTCTTCCAAACGAATACACCTTAAATATTTCATATACAGCAACTTTATAAGTGTAAAGATAATTAAACACATATTTTGGAGAGGTGATATCCAGTTTTCTGTTCTCTACACCCCCATCACATTCACCTTCATTTCTTCGACTACTCCCCGTGTCTCATATTATCTCTCCTAACCGCTTTTTCTTTGACTTACTTCTTCCCCGGTTTATTTAATGTACACTAAACTCCGGTATCTTATTCTTGAACTGTCTCGCATCGTTTTTTTTTTTATCTCAATTTGCCATCTTAATCTCATCTCTCTCATTTTTCTTGGTGTACTAAACTACCTCATATATATTCAATCTTAATCCTAACAAACCTGGTAATCTACTCACTCATTTTTATTTGTCTATTAGTTTTGTTTTATTTCGTCATCTATTTTGTTCAATGTTCAAAATTCAGACTCCCTTTTGATAATTTTTTTTATATACAACATTCTTTTATTTTTTGAGGGGGGGTGTTCCCAAAATTCATGAACAATCAAAAATATTTTTCGAATATTATAAAATGATAATAAACTTTTTCGAAAGAAGGATATTTTATGTATCGAGAGACAAGGATCAATAACGTGGTAGACAGAACCGAATATCACCAAATTCGAATAACGATACCTTACTGGGAGAGGCGTTAAAACCTCCTCCCCTGCAACAATTCGTAACTACATGATATGATAAATTCTACGAATATTAATATTATTATACGGTATCTTAAAATAATGCTATTCATCGAAGGGCTCATCGTCATCACAACTGAGAGCTGGAGCGCGATTGCATCAGAACGAGTTTCAGACGGAGTTTCGTGTAGGCAAAATAGGTACACGCGTGCGTCAAGAGACCGCGTTTTCGTGTTATTCCATGATACATAACAGTATAATAATAATATTATTATTATGATTGCCAGCGATAACATTATAATAATCCTTCCTTCCTTTCACTCCAGAAATCATTATCGTTTCCTTGTACCTTTTTATTCCACTCAATGTGGTCATAACCATTTAATGGTTTTGTTAGTTGTGAGGAAATATATCAACATTAATATTTTATAAACGAATTAGGTATAAAAATTAAAATACGAATTAAAAATATTAGGTATAATATTACATATTACTAGCATTTCAGAATATTATTATTAAATAATACAAACCGAAATTATTCAAAACCAGTTTCTAAAACAATTATCACTTTATTGATGATACAGTATATAATATATTCGCGGAAAAAAAAAATTTTTTTGTATTTATTTTATATTATTATTTTTAGATTGCGTCCACTGTTGTTCTTAAATTTAAAATATATTTTTTTATCCAATGACCTGTCTTCTTGAAAAATACATATTTGTTTTGATATTTTTTTTACTCAAAGGTAGATTTACACAATAATACAAAAAATGAAATTCGTACGAACGAAAAATATACTTTCTTTTTTCTCCTTAAAAATATAAATCAAAGAAAATAAGTTGACGTAACTGCAATCTACAGTGGGTGTATTGTTCTGGATAGGCTATACACAAATAGAAGTGTTAAAAATATGTCTATAACCCATTGCGTCATTCTACAACCTACTTTTAGTGTAGTTCTTTTTCCAATTTTACTAATTTAAAAATTGTGAAATCGGAAAAACTACACTTTATTAATATTGTATAACTACATAAAAATAAAATATTATTAAATTGAGAAAATCGTAACTTCGTTTTATAGTTTAAAAATTGTATATTATGTACCTCGAAGATATTTATTTTTTTTTTGTAATTAATTTCCACAATTTAACTTAATTAAAACAACTTACTATTCTTCAAAATAACTTTACTATAAATTACATTGTTTTTTCTATTAGTTTTCATAGTTTTCTAAAAACTATTTACTAAATTCAATAACATTTATAAATTTATTCTTAAGTTTTGTAAATTCCAAACAATTTAATATGGGATTTCGAAATATGTTTCTAGTTCAAAAATTTTCACTGGGGAAAAAAATTGTACAGTTTATATGAAAAATAAGTTACCAAAACTCTAAAAAAAGACTAATTTGTTTTACATAATCATGGTATAAAAATGTTTTATAATTTTTAGATTCAGGGGAAGCGAGGGGGATCCATTGGTTTTACTATTATGTGTGGTTTTTTTTTCTTTTTTTCTATCTGTAAACAACTTTTCGAAAATAAATCTTAATCCTATGTATAGAGTGTAGCATCTTTTCTGAAAGGAAATTGGTGCATTAGAGAAGTCATTTATTGATTTTCCAATGGGTTTTCAAAATAAATGGGAAAAACCGAGAACAAAATTATAGGTAAAACGATAAATATTTACGGCGTTATCAATTTCGTTGTTTTTAATTTTTACTAACTATGTATTCTACTAGAAATATGGCGCCAGTAAAAAAACGATAAGAGATCTTTTTTGTAGCATTTTAGTTCTAAATGTTCACGAAGAACGTCGTTTTTTGATTTTCCAAGTAGTTTTCACAATAATTGAGCTACCGATAAAAGACGAAAAATGAAAAACGAACAAATTTACGGCGCACGATTTATTATTTTTAAGGCTGGGCAAGTTTATGATATTGTTTTTAACTCGGTTGAGTTAAATATTTTTTTTTTTTTAATTAAATTAAAATATATCATTAAATTAACTTAACTTCAATGAAAAAGTTAATTAAAAAAAAAAATGTTGTTCCAAATTAAAATATCTAATGAAAGAGAATGCAAATATGAAATATTACCTATGTATATATTTTAAACCTGTGGAGTTGTAAAATTTATAGAACTATAATCATAATTCAGACTCAGGGATTACTTTAATTTGGATATTAGTGTAAAAGTGGTTACTGGGTCACTTAGAATTAATAATTTAGGTACTTACATATTTATTTCAAACAAATTTTTAAGAGTTTTATGGTACTGCATTGTTTAAAGTTTTTTTGTTCTCAAAATACTGATAACATAATAGTATATCAACTTGATATTTTCAAATGATAAACTTTTATTGTTTTAAATCAGAATTAATTTCTCGAAAATGTGTTTATCATTATCTAACACTTAACAAAATAGTTTATTAACTATAATGATTTATTAAGTTTAAATAATAGGTATATTAAAAAGATAGAACAGAGACGGGACATATTTATTTCCAATTCTTACCGCGTTGTTCAGATTCTTTTTACCCTAAATCGTAACCGTAATTAGCTGTATAAACATTATTTAAACATTTAAAATTAAAAGTTTCACCATAAACACGTATATAATATATACGCATTTAAACACGAAGAGAAAAGATAAAATTTGTAGAAAAAATAAAGAAGAAAAAAGTAAAACGTTACACAGCATAAAGCGTTAAAAATTAAAGCTGACAAAAAAAATTAATAAATATTTCCAAAAAAATAATGAGTTTTTTTACGTTTAAGAGAATCGGCTTATGTTAATAACATAATAATAATAATAATAATAAAAACGAAATGTATTTTTATTTATAAACAGTATTATATCGAATTTTCTTGAAATATGGAAGTGGGTTTGAAATTATCTCTATAAATTAATTTAAAATATTTAACCAACTACTTAACTGCTTACATGTGATGTCAAAACATTACCAATCAACAAACATAGCGGTTAAAATAATATTACAATAAATTGTTTATTCTATGTTTTATAACTAGATAACTAGACATTTATATTATTTCATATTTTAAATAAATTATATCTAATGTTAATAAACAAGTCAATTAAAATTGATTAACAATTAAGGGTATAGAAACTAGATAAATTATCTTGTCATTTCTGTAGTTATGGGAGGGGAGTGAGGGTTGTATCATAAATTCAACTGTAAATTATAATTATTTATATTAAAATAGTTATTTTCATAATTTATAATAATATCAATAAAAATCTAAAGGGTAATTGAACTCTCAAATTCCCCTAAGAACATTTTTGTTTTTCAAACACAATAAACTTGTTAACAAATACCTACACAACCTCAACGAAAACTACACTAATGTAAACTTAGCTTTTGAAATATATTTAGAATCTTAAACAATAATATACCTAGCTGGAAAATAGTATTTTTATTCTACTGTTTATTCTTAAGGGTTCCCCGCGAATATTATGGAAAAGTTTTCACTAATAGTTTTTATTTTTTTTGTTTAAAGACGACAAATATTGTTTCTCTTATTTTATTATTTTGAAATTGTAGTTTTTATATTACTACCAATTTTAGATTTTCTTTTTAAACTCATGTGATAAATTTCAATAAAGATCCAAACATAAAAATCACTTAGCCTTAAAAATCATCCACATATCCGTCGGCCTGTATAATAAAATAAAATAATATTATCCTTATAAGTTATAATAAACAAATATAACAGTGTTATACGAAACATTTTTATTCTCAGTTACAATTCTTATACCTGCTATATAATGTATATGTAAGCAGCCAGTAGATACCATTAATAGGCATAAATTATCGACAAATACTCTATAATTCTATATGTGATACTATATACGAGTATCGTAAATATACAATCTTTGCATTTTAAAAAATCTAATAAACTTATAAATTCCTCTCAATTTAATCATGTATTATCAAAATGAACGTAATTTAAATAATAACTTCACTACTTATTGATAAACAATATTCTTAATTAAAAACTATAAATTATAAATATTATTTTACAATAGAATTTTATTGTTTGCATTATTGTGTGTTATTAGTTAAAACTATTCAACTATGTTTGTCATAATTTATAACTACATATTTTTAATTATATATTTAAAACTTGAATCAATTAATAATTTAAATATTTTATTTGTATTATTATTAGTATTATTACTGAATATTCAAACTTTTCTTAACAACTGTAAATAATTATGATTATTAGAATTGGAACATTTATCCGTAAATAAATAAATATAATATGTTTGAAATCGTGTGAAAGATATTTGAAAAAAAATTTTGATTAGTATAATATCATTATGATATTTTATTTTCATAATACGAAAATACTACATAAAAAGAAATTATTTTATATTTTACAACATATACATTTATGCAGCACAGAGATTTCTCTAAATCGACCATGTCTGACGGATGCGTCTTTTAAAATAATTATCCTGGCCTAATATAATTAGATATACTTACGAGATTTTTCATTAAGGAAAAATAAATGTTAGATGAAAAAGAGTTTTTAGAAACACACCTAGCTTCATTGGGTGTCCGATGAAGATGTATTTTTTTTTTTTAATGACTGGAGTAATGTGAAAACCATTATCCCACCACTTAAAAATAGTAATAATGTTTATGGGGCAGGATATAATTATAAACGATTCCATTGTCGAATGATTAAAAATATTAAGACAAGTTAAACGCATTGGCTATTTGGACTTGTTAAATTATACTATGTTATTTAAATGGACTAAACATTTTAAAACAATGGGTGATGATATTGTAGGAGAATAATGTAAAGGAAAAACATTATTCACGCATCATTTATCACCACTGTCGAGTGATCAAGGTCTAAAAGCATTATTTTGTTCACTGGGGCGACTGAAACTCGAATTTAATTTTATAGTTGGTATTTGTATGCCTATGTTAAGGCATACTAAGGTTACATAACAATCTAATGAATCTAATAATTAATTAAATAATATAATAAATACATTAATTTATTTGACTACATCTATAAAATATCATCTGAAATTATTATAGATTTGTAAAAACTAAACAAAATAATTTCTAGTTTCGTATTTCAAAAAATTCGTAATTCGAATTCGTGTAATATAAAATTAAATCAACTAAATTATAACAATACGATTTTTAAAACAGTATTGATAATTCGAATTTAACGAAAGCGCTACATCTGCATTAGCCTTAATACTTAATTTGAATTGAAAACTTGTGTTTCCTGTTTTAATTTTTACAGTATAATTAGTTTTTGAAACCTTGTGGTTCGTATTAAATAAGCTATTTAGTAAATTAATCTGCAAAATAAACACAATGGCTTATATAACTTTACTATGGTTTTAATATTTATTGTTTGTCAATTAATTGAATTATAAAAACGATTTAAAGTAAAGGTGAAATGAAAAAAAATACGATATAATGTGCCCATCTATTCATAATATACCTACAACAGATAAAAAATCAATGCGCAAATATTTGTATTTTTGTGTATTTTATTTTAAACTTTGAGTGAAACTATTGAAGTATAAAATATAGTATTTATTTTTTAAATGATAATTTTAAAAACAGTAAACATGACTAAAGATTTAATTCAGTAACTACCCATCTGATTCATGATTCCAACGAATCTTGAAAAACTTCTAAATCGATAATAAAAAAATCTTAAACAAGGGTTTAATTTCTGCACTTATAATTATTTTTAATAGTTATATAATGTAAATTGAAAATAAGTAACAATCACTAAACGCTGAGGAGAGCAAGTGGGGGTGACGATCCAACACTGGAATAGTCACTTAATTGTTTGTAAGTATCCTAGTTTAATAGATTAATAAATAAAATAAGGCATTGCATTCGATTACAATACTTTCGGCCTAGTAAATTCACACAAGAACAACAAATAAATATTTTAAAACAGATTATTATAATGTGTTTTACAAGCATAAAAATGCATGTAGTCAAATTGTATGTCAAATATTTAGTAATTTTGGACATAAATAATTATTCGTTTGTTTTTTATGCCCATACAGTTTTTCTGAACGTTCAATTAACTTTTAAAGTTACATTTTCAACATATACATACAATAATTTGTACTTATTACAGAACGCGAAGTTCAGATACATTTCTTTTACAAAGATAAAATTAATAATACCTAAGTAGTAAAATAATATTCATTTTAAATTCGATTTTTCTCCCTATAAGTAAAACGATTGATTTTATGTGGAAATTATTCAACAAAATGTAAACGTATTAATTAATTATTGTGTTAAGAGTATTATAGTCAGAATAATGTTTACGTTATCAATAAATAAATACAATGCTATGTACACAGTAATTGCATAAGTTTGTAAGTGAACAAAATATACAAATAATACGAGTGAACATTACTAAAAATAAGAAAAAAAATATTTTAAAGTTATTGAGAATTTATTATTCACATACTATGTACAGAAACAGTAATAATATTACATCTGTCTGAAACCATTTATGAAAGGTTTTAAAACCAAATTATATTCACCCAAATATTATATTACTACTATAGAACTCGATTATTTGACATCAGTAACAATATTTTTTTTTCTTCTCCGTCATCTACATGCATTTTACTCCATTAAAATTTACTACCCAAAATTTAATATTCATACCAAATAATTTAATATGTATTTTTGAAGTATAGAAATATTTCAAAAATTATTTTTATTATTTCATTTAACGTTTACTAATATTAGTTTAAAACATTCCAAGCATTTTTCGAATTAATTTAAATAACTTTTGTTTGGAATTATATAGAACTTGTCCATGTTTTATTTTTTGCATTTTAACATCATAGATTGCAAATAAATAACACCTATAACAGTAAGGATAAAGTTGTTGGATGTTAACGTTAAGCACCCGTGTTGCTATAACTTCACATCAAGACATTATACAATTTATTTTTTAAATTTAGAGATATAGATTATTATTGTATTCAAAAAATGATTACATTTAATTTATCGGAAATGTTTAAGATTTTTTTTATATACCTACCTACATTAAAACAATATATATTTCTTCTATTACGCCATAAAATTATTATGTTAATTTTCTATCCAAATATATTGAACAAATATGAAAAAAAATAAATTTAATATTTCGGCCTCAAAAAAAAAAAAAAAAGGAAAAACAACATCACATAATTATAAAATAATACAACCTATATAGAATATGTACTGCCACTCTAAAACTTAAAAATAATAATTAAAAAATATTTAATCGATACAAATATTAAAATACAATGGGCTATCTGGAAAAAAAAATTCTCGTGTACGAAATCGATAGAAAACTGATTTCAGATGTAAAACCTAAGAAATATTAATTAGGTACTATTATAGCATTATTAGAAGAAAATATGGCCCATCCGTCTCGATTTTTATTTTAACTGTTCATAAAATTATTATTGTAAGACTGGGAATAAATAATATTGAACTATTACAGTTTCTTCCTTTTGTGTACTAATTATTAATTGTGAATAAGATGAAACCTACTTAAATTGTATTCTGTTGCTTTATATGACTGACTTTATTAGGTAACAGTAGAAAATTGTATAGTATGTTATTATTATAAACTTGTTTAAATATTCAAAAAAAATAATTTCAATAGTTTGCTATACTTGAAAAATGTATTTCATTCGCAGGTATCTTAAAAATATTAATGTATAGTAAAATAGCGATAGATTGTACAAATTATAACTATCATATTTATTTATCATTCGGTACCTATATTAATTTATCAAATTATACCTACTATAAAATGTATTTAAAAATAAGGAACTCGTCTGTAACATATCATTTTTTATTTATTATTAATTTGTAAAACCTTAATGGAAAATAAAATCTCTTAATTTGCTGTATTAAATGTATATAGTTACTTAATTTACATTTGCAATTGTATTAAATGTTAACAAATATAAAATATCTCAAAATAACAAATATTTTAATTAGGTATATAGAAAAAAAAACATAATAATTACACGGTTTAAATTTCTATAAATAATTTTCAAAAATTATTACCTTCAGAATTTTTGTTATTTATGGACCAAGCATTGTTTTGATTGAGCAAGAAAACCAACAAAGCCAGTGGGATTAGGACGTTCATGACTCGACGGTTGAACACGAATGACTTAATCTTCTCACCTAAGGGTCTGTGAAACACTAAACTGCACAAGCACACAGCCCATGCTTGTGTCTCCCACTCCCGGTCTCGCTGTATATTCTTCAATACTATATTCCGTTTTCATTGGCGTTGATAAAACACTACAATAATAAAAGAAAATATGTTCAACAGTTATTACTAAATTACTATATAATTTAATGGAAATAACACATTTTACAAAATGTATTTTACCTATTTAATATTTTAAACAACTTCATTTTTAAATTATTTATTATTTTGAGTATAATTTAATATTTTCTTTACTTAATAAATACAATAAAATATTTTTTATATAGTTAGATGAATAAATAGGTATATAAAGAATTATTTGTTCAGTTATTCTTAATTCTAGTATTAATATTTATACAAGGTTATTTAATTATATTTTTAGTCAAACCAACGTTGACTAAATTATAAATTAAAAATTACAATTTACGATTATACCTAATTATTTATTTAAAAACTATATTAAAATTATAATTAGACTCCTTTATATAGTCATATTTAAAATGTATTATTAATAAATACCTAAATTCATACAAATTATAACAATCTGATATATGTGCTTCCATATACATAATTATGTAGGTATAAATGAAAAATTAATAAATATTTTAAAACAATATATCTCTTACTTGGATTTATCATTTACTAAATATTAAACATTAAAATATTTTACAGACAATACTGCACATAAATATTAGTTATCAAATAGGTACTGGCATATTATATTATAACTAGGTATAACAATAAACCAATTTACTATTTCAATATTATTTTATTTTAAATCACATTATAATGTACCAAAAACGACTTATTAAAAAATCTAAACGTCGCATTTATGTTGTACTTCTATAAGAAGTTAACTATTATTTAATATTATTATTATATACTATTGTTGAACTATTTATATACTTTATAATTTTGCTACTTTTTTACGTAAGTTTTATTCGATAGGGTACTTTGTAGAAACAATTGTTACACCAAACAGAAATACTTGAAAATTTAACAGGAAGTTTATTATAACATTTTTTTTATTTTGTACATAAGAATTTTAATATCAAATTTTGACGAAAATCGTAAATATTAATGAGCTCCACTCAAAATTATTTTTTAATTTTCTTTTGTAGTTTATTTAATAATTGAGTAAACCCGAAAAAGAAACTTAGAAAGAATGGCAATATTTACGAAAATATCTTTTTATTTTTTTCAATTTTGTTTTTTAGATTCTGAATGGAACGAAGATGCTTATGGTTTTACAAAGATGTTTATTATTTTATTTTATTTTTATCTGTGCACAACTTTTCTATCAATAAATTTGCTCAAACTTATAATGATAGCAATGTTTCTAAAAGGAAATTTCACGAGGATGGTACTTAAGAGAGATTATTTTTTGATTTTCCTAGTAAATTTTAAAAAACCAGGATAAAACATGGGAAAACCGGAAAAAACGGTACAACATTAAACAAATATTATTAAAGAAAATTTATAAAACCTATTTAATTATTTTACTATAAAATGTTGTAATATATATATTGTTGACAAAGCATCACTATCAACTAAACTCCGCTTAGAATTGTTTTTTCGTAAACAATGGTTTATCGTTGCTTACAGGTATACATTAAATTATCTAGAACAGTGGCTATACCTGTCTCCATTATCCTAGAACTTCTTTTTTTGTTGTATTTCAGTTAAAATTATTCGAAGACTTAAAATTTTTGAGGAAAACGTTTTGTTTAAAATTTAAAAAATATTTGAGCCACTTTTTTCCTGATAATAATGTTTGAATAACATAATATATCTGGTGATCCATTTAAGTGGGTACAACATTTAAGAAACAAGCTGCTCTAGAATTGTATGTGTTATTTTTGTTACCCTTAATATTGGGAGTAAATCCACCACTTACTTTTGATTTTCAAATGGCAATCTATATTAAAAATTCCATGAATAGATGGAGTATTAGTTAAAATATTATTATATTGTAGTAATATTCCACTTTTAAATTTGAGTTGGAAGTGAGTATTATTTATGTGGCAGTACAGCGCGCGGCGCGTTATTAATGCAACACTACTCTCCTCCAACTCAAACTTAAAAGTGAAATATCTCGTCAACAGATAGTGGTTTTCAACCTTTTAGGTCCACGGCTCTTCTGATTTTGAGATTCAAATTAGCGGCTACTTTACGAATAATGATAATATAAAAATGTAAATAAATAACTTTACTGTATTACTGTACTATATTTACTTTAGCTGCGGCTCCTCCGATACTAAACCAAGACGGCCCTGGAAGCCGCTACACACAGGTTGAAAACCACTGGGATAGATAGTAGACAGAAATAAAAAATGTCAACACTAAAATTTATTTTAACTAATACTCCATCTATTTATGGACTGTTAAACATAGGTTGCCATTTTAAATCAAAAGTAAATGGTAGTTTAACCCCCAATAATAAGGTTGATAAAACATAACATAAATATAAAAGTCTAGAGCAGCTTGTTTCTTAAATATTCTAGAAAATAGATTCTGGAAAAAATTAATACTTTCCGAAATGAGATGAGTGTAAACATTTAAATGGATCAGCAGATATTCTTATTATCATTACTAAAATTAGGACTAAAATAGTTTTAATAATAATAATTTTAAAAGAAAAATGAGAATTTTATATATATACATGTAGTACCTACTTTCAATGATGCATATTGTATACCTACTGTATATTCTGTTTCAATATAATATGTATTGGAAATCACATCAAAATGTCTTGTCAGATATTGAAAAAGTTGACAGTAATCATAAACATATTCAATTTTCCTCGATTAGTTAGTACTTCAAAAACTAAATTGCGAGGATCATATAATAAGTTATTATTACACCTTGTAGCTTGTGTTCAGTGCAAATTCCCTTTAACGGGAAAAGTTTAAAATTAATAAGTTTTAATTTCAATTAATAATTAATTAAATTATTAAATGTTAATTTTTTGTTTGTTTTTGTTTTTGTAATTCAGTGAAAAATAATCATAAGAAATCTAAGGTACAATACACACTACTTGTTAGCATTTTTTAACCTGGTACAAAGTATTTTTAAAACACTGGCGGTTTTTGCCATATTTATACATTTTGAAATATTACATAAATTAACCAGGTATGATGATTCTTGGTTTTATACAATTCATAAATAAGTACGTCTAATAATTCAATAAAATTTATTTATTACAATAATTAAATATATATTTTTATTTAATTATCGGTTTATTTATTAAACCATTATTATGGTTATTAAACCATCATATTGGAGGAGGTTCACTTCCAAAGTCATAGAGTATGATTGTTGAATCATTTATATCAACAACTGAATCAATTTTTCCTTTGCAATAAAAACACAGTCGTGAATAAAGTATATGATGATTTATACATAATCTGAAATATATAATTTATAAACACTTTATGAAGGTAATACAATAAAATTACAGTTAAGAAAAATATCAACATAATATTATTTAAATTTAAATTCGATCATTTTTAAATTAAAAATAATTATTATAAACTAGAACAAAATGTGAATGCTTTAATTACATATTTTCTCTTAAAGTTTAAAATTAATACCTAACCTACGTTATAACTACAGTCAATGTTTTATTTCTTATCCAAAAAGTTTAAATTTTAGAATTTTATTTTTGTAACTGCAATTTTGCAATTTTGCAACTGAAAATTTTATTTACTAGTGAAAGAACAAAAAAACAGAAATAAGTAAACTCTTTCACTTTAAAACAAATAGCTTGTTTGACCAGAAATCAAACAAAATATAGTTTTGCAATTTTAAAATTTAAACGATATTTAATTTTTGTTATTAATAATTATAGTTTAAATAACTCAAACTTCAGATATTAAATAGAACATTTGTTTTTTATCATTTATGCAGAGGTAGTATATTTAAAAGGAAAATACATTGAAAAATTAAAGATACGTATTTTGATTGTTAGTCTGGTTAATATATTATTTTCAATGAAAAATAAATATTTTAGAACTATGTTAAAATTTTAAATTCTGAGCGAAGATAGGATTTTTATAATGATGTTTATTTTTGAATTTTTTTTATCTGTGATCAACTTGTCTACCAGAAATCTTGCTCCGATTTATAAGTGTAGCACTTTTCTTGAAAGGAAACTTTATCTGTGTCGTACACTTTAAAGAGGTTAATTTTTCATTTTCTAAAGAGTTTTCATAATAATAAAAAAACTGTCAAAAAATGTTGAAAAAAGGTGAAAATTTATGAAATATATTATTTTCATATTGGTTTTTTTATTTTGATTCAGTTAAAAATATTTGTAGAAACTTGAAATTTGGACAAAAAACTTATATATGTTAGTCATTATAGAGCTATTTATAAACATTTTAATTTTGTGAGTTTTTAAATAATTTTTTTTGGTAGTTACTCTGTAGATAATTGTAGGTCCAAACAGAAATACTTGAAAATTTAACAGGTTTATTATAAGATATATTGGGGTAAAATAAAAAAATTGAGTTGAATGTAGAATTTTTTTTTACATCACATTTTGACGAAAATCATAAATATTACGGCCTTTTAAAATATATATAACGTAACTCCAATTAGAATCGTTTTTGTTAGCAAAGATTAATTGTTGAATACAGATATACATTAAATTCTCTTTCTCACATACAACAGTGACCAACCATCGCGCGAAGTATGTCCCTTTTTTTACATTTTTACCTATTTTACCTATATCTAAATGATAAAATAATAGAGAGCCCTCTATTATTTTCCAAACTATGCAAATATAATAATAAAATTCTTTCATTAACAAAATATGCTTAGAACTACATACTAGACACATTCAAATTATTTAAATTTATGTGAAATATCATAATGTTAGTTCACAACTGTGGAATGATAATAAAAACTTGAATAAATCTTGTAAAACTTATATTTATATTAAGATTATAAATAAAATGTTACATCAAATTTAATCCATATGAATAATTTTATAGCGTAGGTACTATTATATTACTATAATAATAATAATAATTATAATATACTTCCCATATCTGCAGTATTTGGTAGATAAATTTAAGGTAACACAGCGGGCATCGAGCGTCAAGGTATTTAATTTTATTATACGGGAAAATTTGAATCCTAAAACGTTGTATCTTTGAAAGTTGAAAATTAATGAACAAACCACCCCCGTGTTGCAGTGCATCATGCTGAGGCATATTTATTTAGATATACCACTGTATTTTTCAAACACACATAAGAACACATAGGGAGCATTTATAATATAAATTACTTGGAATTGATTTTTGTGGGAACTCTAATTTTTTCCATGAATAGCTTAACTTACAAGTAGACATAATAATAGGCGAAGTATTATTTCTTTAAGTAAATCAATTATATACCTATATATAATTTAATATACTAGTATGTTTGATACACAATCTTTCTGTGGATATATATTTTACTACCTAAAACTGTATAATTATTGAATTAAATAATAATAATAATAAAAATAAAAAACTATAAGCATCTGGAAACAAGTTAATAAACTCAAACTATTCTCACTTGCAGCATTGATGTCCACATGGTACTAGAGTAATGCTATTTTTATTCGAATAACATATTATGCATAAAACATCTTCATTTATGCTAGAAGCCATTGACTTATGCCGTTTCATATACCAATCTAGATGTTGGTACAAAACAATCATTTTTTGAAGTTCTTTTTTGGTGAGATATTTTTCATCTAAAGTTCAATAATTAAAAACATTTAGCAATAATTTTATATTAATACTAATCCTGAAAATAGATAATTGAAAATTCATCTATGACTACTGACTATGTATATCAATGTGATAAATCTAACTATTTAATTTAACACATAATTGTGAAATTATGTAAATGTGTTACAATACTTGAATATATTATCATTTACATGAGTTGAAGGAAAATGGTTCACCATTTTCGTTTGGTGGTAAAATAATAAAATCGAATGATGATAAACTAAAATTTGGATCCGAAATTAATACATCAGTAACTTCTGGAATACTGGAAATCTTACTATCATTCTCAGCAATATGTTCCTCTGTAATTAATATTTAATATAGTACACAATATGACTATAATATACCTAATATATGCATCAGATTAAATTATTTAATAATTTACTTATAATATGTTAACAATTATTATTATTGATATTTTTATTATCAGTTATTACTAATAACTAAATTTCATCAAAAAATCAACTTTTATATCAAATTAAATGATTTCTGAAAATTAAATTTACTCAAATCTTTACCTACAGTTAGATTCTGAACGGAGAGAATTAGACATTGGTTTCCTATGATGTGTAGGGTTTGGAAATTATCAGAGGTAAAAAAGGCAAAATATGCATAAAAAAAATGTTAAATGTAAAAAAAAAAAATTATCAAAAATATATACATTATTAATATGCACACAAAAGATAAAAATTAAATGTGAATAGTACTTTTGTCGTTAAATTAATAGTAAACCGAGACAATAATAAAAAAAAAGAAAAAACTATGTTTAATAATATTGAGTTTTATATTCAATATTATTTAAACTACATTGATGAAAAAAAGAACAATTTTTTTTAACAACTATTAAATGTTCATAATATGTATACAAATATACGAAAATCTATGAAATATGTACTTTTTCTCTAAAATTAACAAAATATGCATTTTAAATGCTGGATTTTTAAAATCGCCATTGTATAAAAAGATTTTCCATCTTGATCTGCTATAAATCCATACTGAAAAATATGCAACTCCTATAACTTCCGAGTCCTAATGATATGTATTTTATTTTTTTAACTGTAAACATTTTTTTCATCAGAAAACTTGATTCATCTAGTTAGTGGGTAAGTAAATCATTTTCAGATTTTCCTAGCAGTTTTAATAATAATTAAAAATAACCATAAAAAGATGTAAAGGAAAAACAGACAAATTTACAACATTCATAATTTTATTAGGTAGGTAATTTTAAATTTATTCCAAATATTCTTTTCTACTAAAAATATTGTTCTAAATTTTAACAGTACCAGCTTTTTTGAAAGAAACTGTTGTCTAGTTGAAGAGTAAGATACTATTTTTTTTATTTCTCGAGTTGTTTCAATAATAATTTGTAAGTAAAGAATTACAAAACCTAAAAATATAGTATTAATGGTTTCACTATTTTTGATTATTTTTGTTGATTGGTCAATAATAAAAAAAATAGATAATTGACATTATTACAAAATACTATTGTATTAACCTATTTTAGATGCTGTTAAATTTTTAAAAAATTCAAGCAATCTTTTTTAGATATTTATTGGTATTTTACATTTATATTTTTTTCGTTTTTATTTCGAAGATAGGTACTATGTGGAAAAAATTGCTTAGCCAAACAAAAATTATTAGTTAAAAATTTAGCTCGAAATTCATTATAAATAGTATTTAGTTACCCAAAAAAAAGTCCAGTGTAATGTTGTAGATTTTTTTTTATTTTTGGAAGTTTAAAAATCAAATTTTGACGAATATTTGAAAAATGTCAGGCCTTAAAAAACATGTAGAACTGAACTTCACTCAGAATCGTACTTCATTATTTATAGATATAAATTAAATAACTTAATGTATCCTACACTACATTCCCTACTTCCTATTTACCACAATAGCACATTTACAGCAGTATCAAATTAATAAAATTAGATTGGGTTTTTCATAAAAAAAAATTACATTACTTTATAATTCAAATTTTCCTTTTACAAATTATTTAATTTAATTATATTATATTTTAAGTAAAACATAAAATTAATATTAAGTAATAAATTGTTGAGTCAAAAGACAAAAATTAATTATTGAAGTTTTTATTGAGATAATAAATTACCTTTTTCATCAATTTCGCTATCTAATATTGATAATAAGAAACCTATTGTAGCCGTAAGAATTATAAACTTATGTACACATTCTAGATGTGGTAATGACAATAATAGAACTTGTTGAAACGTAGAACTAGAAGAATGTATACGATTAAGTATTTGACATATTAGCTGAAAAAAAGCAAAATAATTATACAAGTGACGAAAAAAAAAAAAAATTGTTTGAACTAAGTACTTGAAAAACTCTGCCAAGTGATCCTTCTTGATCAGTTATTATATTAGAGTCAAAATAAATCACCATTTCAATAACTCTGAGTAAACATACAGTCATAATAAAACTTTTACCGCACATTTTTAACTTATTTATTTCTTCTGATGTAATAGAAGATGTATTATTAATATCTTTTACCTGTTATTTTTGTTAAAATAACAAATAAATCATTTTCTTAAAATATTAAACAAAATAATTTTTTGTCTAACTTTAAAAAATTATAAATAAAACAAATAAATGCATATTAATATTAATAGTATATATAAATATATATATATATATATATATATACTTCTTGAAATAAGCTTATGAATTCAGAAAAGGCCCAGTTTAGATAATTCAAAGAATTATTCATAAAATTTGATGCAATTTCTCTATTGTTGATTATAACAGTTCGGAAATCATCTTGTAACACTTTTGCAGGATTCCGTGCTATAATTATAAAAATATAAATCATGAGTCAAAAGTTATAATTATTTATTCATTTGTTTAAAAGCTGACCAATGCCCATGTTAGAAAACACTATTTCTTCAATTGTCCCTTGAATAGATATTTGTTGGTTTTCAAGATGTGGTGGTCGTGTATATCGAAATGCAAATCCAGAACCATGCCAAATTAACATTAATATTACATTTGTTTTAGCCCATGTATTTCGTTCTTCCGGTTTTAAAATTGCTTTAATTGCATTTGTTCGTCTAAAATTAATATTACAATAGATAATAATAATATATTGTTACAAAAAAATATTCATTAATATAAAGTCTTACGATATTTCTGAAACCAATTGAAGAATTTCAACTGTTTTAGGATGTGTCAAATATAAAATTATTCCTTGCGTAATTGATTCTTTTGATTTTGGATGAACTATTCTAATATCAGCAAACATTTTAAGTAATAATTCACCTACTAATGAGGCTAACCATTTTTTTTCTAAATCCAAAAAGTATAGGTATTTAATATTTGTACACTTATAAATATTAGGTATGTACCCATTGTTGGTAGCGTTCTTTTAAAAATGAATTCGTTTCTGTTCCTAATATAAAAAAGGAACTCGCTCCTTTAAGAATTATTTTTTTATGAATACCTTATGCAGTTCAAAATTATTTTCTTATATTCTTAATCTGAACATATCACTAATTAATTTGATTCGGAAATTTATAGATATTTGATATTAAAGATTTTCATGAATTATTCATTAGTCACTTAACACTTGTATAGACTCTTAATTTGCATAAAACAAAAATGTAGTGTGAGTTAATAGTCAACTAAAATTAGAAACTATTCTTACTTCTAGGAATTGATATGTTTAAATTTCTAATAAATTAAATTAAATTAATTCCCTAACCTAAAAATTAATATGAAAAAAATGTATATTTTGAAAATAAATTCCTGTAGGTATCCCGGTAGGACCGCCAGTCACCACGCAATTTTAAACAATTATCACCGTCACCGTTCATATCAGTTATCTAATTATAAAATCGCGTGGTTTATATGATAATATGTACCTTGTATGTTTATAAAAATGGAGAAATAATTCATTGTGCCATTGCAGTAATTTATTAGTAACTGACGAAGTGATACCAACACTAAACATTACTATCACTAAAATAGTTTCATTTTTTTTTTTCGTAATAGGATTCCTCTTACAACTTTTTCCTGTTCCTCCTGTTTCCATATTTGAAAACTAACGAGTTCCTTCCCAATAATGTAGATACCTATAGGTCTATCCAATAAAAAATAATTTAAAACAGGTAAAATTACCAATTATAATATTCTCAAATTGTTGGGTTGTGTTTGTATAATCGGGCATTAAAACCATTAAGCCCAAAAGATTATCTACATAAAACTCTGGAACGAATCTGAATAATTCTTCTTCGTTTTCTGAACTATATTTTATTGTATTAGAAATGATCATAATAATCCACTCTAAGATGATTTGTTTTGAATCCAAAAATACCATGCTCATCAACCAGGATATATGCCTCAATGCTAAATTGATTTGTGTTGTCATTTCCTGTGAAAATATGTATATATATTATATGTATGATATATTGTAATATTTCAATTTCTTATATACCTAATCATAGAACATACCTATATAATATAAAAATACCTACTTTTAAATTATCTTCTAAAGTTTCATTATTATTACTAGTAGTTCTTAATTCATAATCTAGTAAGGCATATTCTATTGATAATTCCGTTAATCTATCTTTGAATGATACATACTAAGAATTTAAAAAATTATATTAGGTTTGTACAAATAAGTTAAACATTTTAAACATATTTTATTAATCTTACTTCAATTAATTGTCTATGACCAGCTACGTGATATAAACAGATTATATTATTTAATAACACAGAAAGAATATGTATTTTGTTTGTGGGTAAATGATCAAACGAAAATGTTTTAGTCATAGCAGTTCCCACAGGAAAAATATTATTTCCATTTCCAAATATTCTATTCAACACGGTAGCTAAACCAACCGGTGAATTTATTTCTATAATTTCATTATCCATATCAGCTTGAATTCAATAATATTAATTAATAAAATAAAATATTAAACCAATTATTATTTTTGGATGGAGATTTAAATTTAATTTTATATTGCCATAAATTAATCATTATTCAGCGCGATCAAATATTATATTATGCAAGAAGAGTCACTAATCAATTAATAAGTGAAATTTAACTTTTAATTATAAGTTCCACTGCATCAACATACGAATATCTTAATATTTATAATTTTTTGAACAGTTATTTGCTGATTTGCAACAGAAACTATACTCATTCGATTATAATAAAACTCAAAACAGAACTTAATACCGACTTACACATACTTCCCCTAGTTTAAATCCACCTACCAAATATTTTATAACTTATGCAAATTTTAAATCGGGTTACTTGACATACATTTATTTATAGGTACCACATGTACAGACAACAAATGTTTGCTTATTCATCACCAGATTAAAAAAAAATTATATTTGAACGAAAAGTTTTTATAGTTATAACCATTGCTTCAGGAAACATATATTTGAGAAACTGAAAGACGAGGAACAATTATACAATTTTTGTAAATTATACAATAAACAGAACGAAATCTATCGTTGAACAAGAATAAACGACTAAAATGATTTGGTCACACCTGTAGAACGGCGGATAGCCAATTGATAAAGAAGGTTTTTGATGGACAAAATGAAAAAAACAGGACTCCAGATTTCAGTGGATTGATGTAATTGCTAAAGATCTAAAAGCAATTGAACAAAATTTATCGTTTAATTCGACTTATAATAGAAAGAGATGGTGAGATCAAATGAAGGCAGCAATGGTCCTTAAAGAATCGGTAAATTTATTTGATAATAATTATAATGTATTTATGTCTATAATAGCCCTATGAATTCTGTATCCAAAAGCAAAATAGCAGTCACATATTTTTGCTGATTCACCACTAGCCTCGTAAAAATAGTCTGATCTGTTTGAAATTCGGCACACAATTTACCCTGTAGTATGTTTAAAAACCTTCAAATTTCTTTGTTAATCAGACGACGAATAAATAAAAAAATTCTTATTTGAATTCGAGACTTCAAATATGTTTTTGGGCATAAGAAATTCACAGAGTATTTAGAGATACTATCATATAATAATGTCGTATAAATCATATATCATGTCATATGCCCATATTGGATCCAGCAGATTGGATCCATATCGTTTTGGTGAGTTTGCAAATCAGTTAAAAACTACTGTCTGTACAGTGTACATGTGGTATAGATTAATGTGTGACGGGAACCCGATTTAAAATTAGCTTAAACTATGAAATTTTTTGCGGGTGAATTTGAAACTTGGGAGTATGAGTAGGTTGGTATTAAAAAAACTACTGACAAGACTGTTTTGCAAAAAATCAGCAAATCGGTAAATGTGTCCCATTTTTTAACTATTTAACATTTTCTAAATTTTTATTGTCCTACATAAATATATTCCAATTGATTGTAACATTTAAATACTTTTTCACTATATTATACTCAAAGCACATAAGTACCTAATTATTTAGAATATGTTTATAATAAGAATTTATTATTTTACATTAAAGTCAATAAATCGATTGTATTTATTTAAGTTCGTTAATATTATATAAATAAATTTATACCACTCACAAGAAATACTCTCATAATCCGGATTATCTGCATCTACACTAGAAGAACGATTATCACTTGGAGTATTAAGTTTCGGTTTAATAATTTTTTGATATTTAGATCTCAAATACGAAAATGTGCCTCCAATTCGGTCAATTCCAAAATAGTTGTAATTTTCTAAATAAAAAATATTAGAGTGTACTTTTACTTCCTTTTCATCTTTTAATTCTTCATTCCAAAGTTCTCGTATCAAAAATGACATACGAAAAAACGTACTCAGTAATACTGGACTCGGTAGTTTAAACATAGGATCGTTCTAAATAGGTAAATTGAATTAAATGTTTAAAACAATGTTTAACAATAAAAATATATTATAAATAAAACGTATTCTTGTTTTTTTGATAAGCTATTGATTTTTTAAAAACCTAATCAAAAATTATTATTTATTAAATACTGAATACCTATTTATTGATATAGTCGAACCTTTTAAAAATCGGAAGAATTTAAAAATGTAAAATAAATTGGAAGTAACACAAAATAATTTGAATTTTTATCTTTACAGTAAACTAGTAATTAATATTGTAGAATGTATATAATACTCAATAATATTCAAACTATTAAACTAGTAGAATAATAATATAATGTACAAACAGAAAAACTTGACCGGCTAACAAGTAAAATCAATTATATAAATTACAAATATATGTTCAATAATAATAATAATGTACACTTAATAATATAGTAAAACGAAACTTCTTTGAATATTGTTCAGTATTAGTCTTAAAGTGATTTTACATTATGATACGAACACGAACAAATACAAATATTTTCCCCAAAAAAATTTGCTATGTAAATAGGTTAGTAGATAGATCTATTTCTATATCATATTTATTCTACTACACAGTTCATTAAACCAATAAATAAATACAATTAAATGATTTAATTGATATTCAATTTTGCTTTAAATTAGTTTGTCTAATTATAAGTTTAAAAATATCAATTAAATAAAAACGAATATCTACCTAGGTAACTAATTTTTACTTAGAGTTTAACTTTTTTCTGATATAATATGAACACTGAACAGCTTAAAAAAATCAAACAGTCACAATGATAAATATAAATAATAAACAAAAGTATAATATTTACTCTCCAGTAAATCATGTTTTCTTGAATAAAACTTTGGAATCGTCTACAAAATAATATTCTTGAGCTCACTTTTGTATCGGTTTGATCGTTGTCATTTAATAGAGTTCTTAAAAATGTCATTTGAAGATTCTCTAATTCTTTTATGAAAATATGAAAATATGAAAATATTTACAAATTTATTATAATTATGTGCATAGGATATATGGTTATGTTACACTGTGATTACCACCAACAATTAATTAGTGATTTTAAATTGTCTTATTTCTACAAACTATTAGTTTAATAAATTTAATTTTATAAACAAATACAAATTATTTTAGAAGTTAGTGCTCAAAAAAAGTGCTGATATTGAGGACGAGTGTGACAATGATGTAGATCGGAAGAAAAAGTATTAAAATTTAATGCATTTCTGTTTAGTCAAACAATTTTATCCACAGAGTGCCCCTATAACACATAAAAATTACGTAAAACTCACTAAATTTAATTTTCTATAAACAGCTTAAAAATAGCTAAAATATTTTAAAAATATTACCACGTATAAAAAAAGCAAATATAAGTTGTCTGTCAACATTTCTAGTCTCTACGAATATATTCAACTGTATTACAATAAAAAAACAAAATTGATAATAATAAAACAATTATTATTAATTATTTTCGTAAATTTTCCAGTTCTTTCTACAGTTTTTGGTTTTATTCAATTATTAAAAAAACTACACGAAAAATAAAAAACACAATTTCCTTACTCAACAACTAGATTAAAAATACAAAAAAAATGTAAATTGTTGTTTTTTTATTAGAGCAATATTTCTGAAAACATAAAGTGTCTGTGAGTATCCTTGTATTATAGTAGTAATTATTTGTTATATCATACGTTGTTTCTAATAAAATTGTTATAATATATATATATATATATATATATATATATAGGTAGTGTTAATATCTAAGCAGGTAGTTTATGAATTTTACACTTTTTTTCCAAGCAGCTTTGACATTTTATAAAATATCAGGTCGTTACAAAATACAACCATACATTTGTGGCTGTACAATATAAAGTAATGATTTGTAAAAATAGATAGTAAAGTTGCACAGTAATTTATTGTTTATTGACAGAGTACAAACATAGTACAAATATTGTATATAATATAAGTAATATAAATAACATACCGTTTACTAAACGTTTGATTTTGTCACATGAATTCTTGTAAGCTGATTTATGGCTTTTGTAGTCACGAGGAAATTGTAATAATAGTTTTTTTTTCAATTCTTCATCTAAATCTATATTTTCTATACTCCAGTATACTACTGGCACCATGGTTTCAAACATTTCATCAGAGGGAGCAACAATATGTAAAAAATGTGCAAATCTGTAAAAATAATCGTAATAACAAAATTAGTTGAACAAATGAACATGTACAATTTATAAAGTTTATGGGTTACAATAAATTCCACTAAAATTTTCTAATGCCTCCATGCAAACATAATTTTTGAATATAACTAATAAATCATGTATAGTTTAATATATTATTTATTTTATTGTACAACTATTTTAATATTTCACTTTGTGTTATTAATTATTACATCATTTAAAAAATTACTTGTTTAGTTTAAATTATAATATGATTAGCTAAATTGTGATTTATTTATTTGTTTATACTGGATTTAAACGACTATAATTACTTTATTGAAAAAATATTTACAATAAGGCTGAAAAACTATTTACTAAGAAGAAAAGTTGTGTACACATTTAAATCTGGAAAGGAAGTTTATGTTTAATAATTCATCGGCAAAATTGATAGAACAAAATTAATTATAAACCGTCAAAACAATATAATAAACTCACAACAGTAAGGCGAAACATTAGGTTGGTACAATATATTTCTAACCATAAAGTTCAACATTGCTTAGCACTAATTTGTGGTCCCATTATATCTAATTATTTCAAGTGATTTTAATACTTCTGAAAGTATAATAAAAAAAAAAAATTTGTTTTTTTTCAATTTAAGTTATTAAAGAATGAATAAAAAAATCCATAACATCGTATTTATAAAATTGGTAGGTGCCTATGTATTTTATAAAATTATTAGAAGTAAGTAATACTTTTTTTTTATCAATGGTGAACAAAACTTCTACTACAGAAATTCCTTATACTTATGATACTTAAAACAAGTATGAAAATTAAATTTTTTTTTAAAAAATCAATTTCAATAGTTCGTAATTAAATTAAATATTTTTATCAAAATCTTAATACCAATAAAACGTTTTCTCTTAAATATGCCCATAATAAATATTACTTGTTATTACCTATTTTATATTAGTCAAATTACCTATACATATATTTAACAATTCTGTAAATATTTAGTTTAAAATAAATCAGTCAAAAAAATTTATATTAAATGACTTAAAACAACACATACTTAATTTTGTTAAATATAATGTGTACAATCATTTGTTTCCTAGTATTTGTTTCTTGGAAAATTTCAATTAAAAGTTTGAGTACCATTACTTGATGTGAAATGTCAAATTTATTCCTCCATGTACATTTAAATTCACAAAGCATACTGAACAATAAATGACCCATGATAAAAATCATTTCATTTTCCTAGGTAATCAGAAAATATTAGTTTAAAATATAGGTATGTCTTCTAATATATTTATAAAACATTGTCATAATTTTGTTTGGAAACAAAGTTAAAATTTATAATACAATTTAATTAAGATTACAGTATTATACTTGGGTAAATATTGGAGTAATACAATAGATAGCTATATCAAGTATGTGAAATGTTAAAATACCAATCACACAAAAAAAAAAAAACTAAAAAATATAAACAAATACAATCTTAAATATCCTATCATTAATCCTCACTTAGATTCGTGTTTACTGCAATGGTATGATTTATACAGTGGATAATCATAATTAAATCAAATAAAATAATGTATAGGTAACTTAAACTCATATTTACCTGACCTGGAATTACCTACCTAAACGACTTACACAAAAATTCAAACAGAATTAAATTCTAGTTTAAATTATGTGAAGTAAAAAAAGTATGATTAAATGTTTTCTCCTTTGAGTAGGTAATTATACATAATGTACAAATACTGATTCATACATTATTACAGTGTACCTAGTAATTATATTTAGTTATTGGATTATTTAAGATGTAAAATATACATATACACAATATAGTAATGTATTGGATCCAAACAAAAATACACAATTTATAATTTATTTAAAGTGCATGTATGCAGCGATAATATCATGTTTATTAGTTTATTTGATTAATAAATAAACAATAAACATGTTAAAAACCGAATAGGTATTCTTTCAATAGGATAAATAATAAATTACAATGTTACTCACTGATATGTTTTCCCACATTAATTCGAATAAAGATGTTAATCTTTTGGGATGTTTTTTGTTTTGATTATTTAAAAATGATACAAAACAAGAATCTACGATCAATGGAATTTTCAATAAGGATGTTAATTGATGAACCAACACATTATTAATAACATTATTAATGATTATTTTATCTTCAGTTTTTGCATTTTTCTTTGTCTAAAATTTAAAACCACTGCCATTTTAAAAATAAGCTCAAACTATACAGCAAATATTCTCACATTATGTTTTAAACTGATCTGACTATCAATTAACGAGTTTATATTTAATTCCAGACGTTTAAAATAATCTATTAATGTTGTTGGATTAGCAATTACAGGTTTTGCTCCTGGTATTGGAAATTTAAATTGTCTTTCACCTAAGTTAACACATAGGTTTTCTTCATTAAAAAGAGTGAACGCTGGAAAATATGTCATTCCTTCTATGTTGAACTCTTCAAATGCTTTACCAAGTGATTGACCATTACTAAATACAAAAATAAATGTAAAACAAAATGTGATTATCAATGAAGTATTAGATTTGTATTGATTTTACTTAGAGAAGTGTGCTTTTTTCATTTATAATTCAGAAACATAAGTATGTAAGTATGTACTTTTTTTCAATAAAGTATTAAGTTATGCCCGTGTTATTTATGATATGGATATAAATCATAATAACAATGTGAATATAACAACATACTATAGATTAATTCATATTAATAAATAAGTTAGTACATACTCTACATACTTATTAAGTTACTTCTTATTATTATTTATGTACTAGCTAATTATTACCTACATTTTTAAAAATTATACCTATATAGAATGTAAAATATGTCTATACTTATATAATAATGTATTTTGCTTTCGTTTATAGTTTCATAAATTAAATTATAAATAATACTCACTTAAAATATTCAATTGTTTTTTGTGAAAAATTGATTACGCAGCCAATTACATTGCCAACTCTCCATTTTTGACCATACGGTAAACTTATAGATGTATTCCACTTTTGCTTTCGATAACCATTAAAACCATATGAATTTATTGTGTTGCCTGAAATAATAAAGTAAAAAAAGGGAAAATATAAAAATGTATTGCACTCAATTTCTAAAAATTCCAAACATATCAATAACTAAATATTTAATCTATATTATGTTAAATAAAATCATTAAAAATACCTACGCCCGATGAACTATCAAACACACACTCCTGTGTAGCCCATCCTATATACATTGGGCCATTAGAACCAAGTTGTACTTCATATTGGTAGACGTCTTTTTCTACACCATGAATAGCTTTTATGGTAGCCAAATTACTTTTAGAATATAATGTACCGAATTCCGTCAATATCATTTGTCCAATAACGTTGTTTAAATCAAACGATTCATTTTTTATAAACAGTCTTTCTTTTGATAACAATTCATCAAATTCTGCTTTGTTCGCTAATATTTCAATATCTTCTTTAAAATTGTCTAGGCTATAAAAAATTAAAATATCCTCTGTCTAATTTCCAATAAAAAGTATATAAATACCTACATCATACGTACTGTGTATAAACATTTGTATTCTTTAATAGTGTTTTAAATTTGTTTTTACCATCTTTTCCAAATATTTTACTCACTTCTTCTGTCATAATATTTACTATAGATAAAAATGTAAATATAAAATAATATTGTAGTTAATAAGTACAAATTAAATAATCATAGTTTTATTTTTATGTATAGGTATTTTAAAACCAAACTAATATGATAAATTTACTTTACTGTGATATGTAAAATAGAAGTATGTAGTACTTAGGTACCAAACCTACCTAGGTACTATGTTTAAAAATTAAACAAATATGAATTAAAATACCTATACCCAATTTAATAAAATAATTTATCAATTTTTTTAACAAACAATGCACCATCAATATTTAAATCTGCCATTTGTGTGAAGTTGTATTTATTTATTTTAGACGAATATAATAATAATAATAATAGATACTTTGTAGTTAATAGATATTTTATTGTTAATTTAAAAGAAAAAAAAATAATACTAAATCTGTAACTCCATAACGATCTGTTTTATTTATATAGGTAACAAATATGTTAATAATAAAGAGGCCAGAAATACCTACATGGAAATTAAAATTATTTTATTATACGTATTTATCATAGACCTATTAACAAATATTGTTAAGAAGTCCATGGTTTTTTTACGATTATAATAGGCACCTATTCAAACCATAGACTTATAAATACTATCAGATCTATTATTCAAACCATGGCTAAGTAACTATTTATCCATGACTCCAAACAAAATTAATTTACTTAGGTACCTATGTACAATTCTGAATGTTTTCATATCTATCTGAATAGGTTATATTATTATCAGTTGGTATACAAGTGGCAGAAGGTCCGGGTCTCACTTATCAATCGTTCGTTTCGTATCCAGTACACCTTAATCCGTATTACCTACATATAGATAGGTATAGTGTATATTTTTTTTTTGAAAAATCCAAGATTTTAACATAAAAAAAACTGATATCTTTTGTCTTTAGGTCATAACTGCGTATGAACACTATGTATTATGAAAATAAATTTTAAATAATAATAATTATAATTAAATAACAGAATGTCTAGTAACAGTAATAAAAGGAAACCCGCGCACGTTTCAGATTCCGAGGGTATACGAGGGATTTATTGATTTTACTACGATATGTCTGTGAGCAATTTTTCTATCAGAAATCTAACTCCAATCAAAAAAATGACACAATGCCTTTTTTGTTGCATTTCGGATTTAATTGTTTAGTGAGGAAGTCGTCTTTTGATTCTCCAGGTAATTTTCTTAATAATTGAGCGAAACCGGAAATAATATAGAAAGAACGAGAAAGTTTAGGGAAATAATTGTTTCTTTATTTTCAATTTTGTTTTTTTTTTTTTGTATTTCAGTTAAAAATATTTATAGAGATTTCAATAAAAGAGAAATTACATTTGCGTTTTCTAAACGTAATAAATTTTATGAAACATTATGGCGATTCTTGAGCTATTTATAGGCATTTTAGGTTTGTTAGTTTTGTTTTCTTAATATTTATTAAAAAGTACCGTTGTTTGGGGCTACTTTGCTTCTCTCGGGTTAACTTTTTTTCAGAAAAAAAAAATAAAAGATTTAATGAAAACGTTTGACTTTGAAAATGGAGATAATTTTAGTTTATGCGTTCGAGGCAGCATTGTTATAGCTATTTTTATATCTTACCGACAAACGTCATAGTAGCAGTTTTATCTGTTATCAGTACGTTATCAAGTGTGACACCGTTAAACCTCTAAAAATTTAACCTGTCAAACTTTTCTTTGTGGAATGTAGAGTCTACAGATTTTCAAATAAAATACTACCTTTCAATACTATTTCATTTATGTTAGAAATTTACTGGCGAAAACGATGCTGTGTGAAGATTTGTGGTTAAACAGTTTTTGAATAATTTAAAAGCATTATAAAAACTCATAAATTCTGGATTAAATAATAGTTGATTTTTCTTAATAATAATCTGGTCTTTTATATTAATTATAAATTAATTTTTATAAAATTAAAATAATAATACAATCGTTTTAACAAGATTTAATGATTTTTTTTTTTGTTTTATGTGTTATTCCTAGGTCTAATGGTGCTGTTTTTTTTTTTTTAGACCTGTTTACCTTGCCTCAGTTACAAAATTAAACAATTTTATAAGACTTTTCTTGATGTGGTGCAAAGTATGCAGATCTTATGGGTAACATTGCTCCATTTTTAAAATTAAAAAGTAATTGGAATATATTAATTTTTAGGTCACAATAAGCTCATTGGAACTTCAAAGAATTGAACTATATAAGCACAATGTTATTTTTTTATTTGATACACCTAAAATGACAAAAAAAAAAGATGTTCTAAGATAATGAAGACGGGTGCAGCCACTGTTATAGATAATTTAATGTATACCTGTAAGCAAAAATAAACCATTGCTTACGAAAAAACGATTCTGAGCTGAATTCAGTCGATAATGATACTTTATCAACAATGTACAGTAGAAGCCACTTATTTAGGCGCACGGATAATTGATACAATCGCGTATTTGAAACAAAATGTATAGGGACGGACCGTATATTAAAATCAATCGTTTAGTAGAAACAATTGGTTAATTGACACGTTTAACCTCGGTCACAAAGTGTTTATAATAAGCGACTTCTACTGTATATATCATTTTATAGTAAAATAATTAAATGGGCTTTATGTATTTTCTTTAATAATATTTGTTGTACCAATTTTCCTATGTTTTTTTCGTGTTTTATCCCCGTTTGCTTCATTTGCTGGGGAAACTCTTAGATAAATCGAAAAATGACCTCCTTAAAGTACCTCTCCTCGTCGATTTCCATTCAGAAAAGGTGCTACAGGTAGAAACCAAAATATTCTAGTAGAAAAGTTGCTCACAGATAAAAAAAAAAAATAAATACAAACTAACATCTTTGTAAAACTATAAGCTTCTTCGCTCCATTCAGAATCTAAAACTTGAAATATTGAATCAAAGTAATCCCAAACGATGGTACCAAGTAAATGTTAGACCAAACCACAAACAGGTGCCTATGCTTGAAAATATAATATTATAATTTATAATATATAATATTAATATATGTTTTACTTAGCAGTAAAAAAAATATATATGGGTATAATTTAGTAGTTATAGATTCTGTGTGAAGTGAAGAAGCTTATGGTTTTACAATGATTTTTATTTTTTATTTGCGAACAACTTTTCTACCAGTAATTTTGCTCTGATTTACAATTATAACCCTTTTTCTGAAACTATGTCTAACTTGGCAGGTACTTAAGAGAGTTCATTTTTTGATTTTCTCAAATATATTGGAAAAAATGGGAAAATTTACAAAATATTGGTATTAGTAAAAAAATATTATGGCCTTTTATTTCCTGTGAATAACTTTTCTACCAGCAATTTTTATGAAAGGAAGTCTAACTGGGGTGGTACTTAAGAGAGGTCATCATATAGTGTTCCATAGTATTATATGAACGTTATATAGGTAATTAATTTTTTTTTTTTATTCAATTGGGTTTTGGGTCAGTGGAACACATATGTAGGGAAATAATTATTTTTTTATCCCCATATCACTGAAAAAACTAACTTTATATTTTCACTTTTCAAAATTTTCATAAAAACAATATTTTGTAAAAAAAAATATTATTCTAGAAATTTTAATGTACCATACATTTATATCCGATCAATAATTTCTGAGTAATAGCAGTTTTAATTTTCATTAGAATAACAAGTTATGCAATAAGGAATCACAATCAACACTGTAATTCCTTATTTCATTATAGGTTTATTTTCTTTCATGATATTTTTTTGATATTGTACCTATTTTCCTGTTTTTCCATTTATTGGGAAAACTCCTAGGAAAATCAAATAATTACCTCTCTAATGAATCTACCCAGTCTGATTTCTTTTCAGAAAAAAGCTATCATTAAAAAACTGGAGCAAAATTGCTGGTAGAAAAGTTGTCCCCCCAAAAAAAAAACATCAATGTAATCAATTAGCTCCACTTAGAACCTAAAATCAAAAGAACTTTTTTTAACTAGATAATTAAAAACCATCGCGAAAATGTAAAATGTATACTTACCTAGCTAATTGTAATTAGTTTGTAAACAATACAATAATAATACTTGAAAAGGATAAAACGGAATACTTTTACTTTTAGAAAGACTTTTTTTTTTTTTAAATTGCCTATTTACAAATTGTACACTGTATTAAGTTTATATATAATTTAATAAAGAAAAAGAATTAGTCATTAAAAAAGAGAGGTTTTTTTTAATGTAATACCCCTAATAATTTGCTTAAAATTTTTTTTTTTTAAGATTTTAATAATAATACTGCTATTTATAGTTTTTAGTTAAAACAAATAATAAAAATAATTTTTCATTGAAAAACAACACAAAAAAATAAAACATGTGACCATCATAATATTTTCATTAGTTTGGTTCAGAGGTGGCTAACTTTGATAGATTTATGATCATTTTCTTGAGTTTTTTTACATAGGTAGTTGCAAACAAAGAGAGAGAAAAATTGTCATTAGATATCTATTATATATGTGGCTTAGTGCAAGATGGGCCAATATCAAAAATGAATTACAATAATTATTCAATTTGAAAATAAATTAATTTGTCAATTTCTAATTTCCAATTTAATTTTGCAAAATCGTTTTGACATTCGCCATTCTTGCACCAAGTCCCAGATATATACACGCACATTGCTTTTTTATTTAAAATTTATATAACACTTTATTTTGCAGTTTTACATAACAATCATTTAATATATTTAATTATAATTTATACTTTTGAATTCAAAGACTATATAGTATTAGAATTAGATAAAATGAATTTATAAATTATATTACATAATATATTATATAAATATTACGATTGCAATGACCAATTGAATTTATATGAACTCAATAGGAGTCAATAGAGGATATCTGTTGGATTACATACAATGTGCAGTCACCCGTATTCAGAATATATAATTTATTTTTTCATTGTTATTTGTTGCCAAAATAAATAATCAATACTAATATTTGTAACTGAAATTGAATTGTGCGATTTTAATTAATTTTTATATTCATTAGTTAAAGAAAATAAAAAATTGTTTTCTGAACAAAATGTAAGAAAAAACTAAGGGGTTGGGTACCACTGGTCTGATGAATAACCCACAAATGTAATATTAAGACTTGAAATATAAGTATTTTACTGTACTTTTATAGTAATTTGGATAACTGTAGGCTGTAGAATGTATGTAGGCGCATCAAAATAACAACAATATTTTTAAAATAAAATAAAATTGTTCATACATAGTCTTAAGTTTTATTTTGATTCAATAGGTAATTTATAATAATAATAATAATAATAATAATAATATATTTATTCAGCCATAAAAACAGTTAGAACATGTTTAAAGTAACAACGTCTAAAAATAACACATAATTACTTAGAGGTTTTGGTCCAATTCACCAATGGTGAAAATGGTGAACCTCGTATTGGTGAAATTGGAGTCATATCAATTATTTAACAATTGTACAATTTAAAAGAAAAACAGAACAAAAAAAAATTAGTAGAATATCGTTTTCAATATTTTATTAACATCATTCCAAGAATAAATAATAATAAAACAAATATTAATCACAAATTCAATGATAAATTAATAATTCTTAAATAAATTATCTACATTTAATCAAGATTTTTAAAACAAATTTCTATATAATAATAAAAGTTTAATTAGTAAAACAATTATCAAGTTTCTAATTTCATAATAGTGCACACTATAATATAAAATTCAATATTAATATTATTATTCAATAATTTGTGATTGTATATTTTTATCAATAATTCTAATAATTTATTTTTAGATGAACAATAAAATGTAATATTTTAAATACCATCAACTTGAATAACTGCATATTTACCTTCTTTTAACCAGTTTGGATCAGTTTTTGACACATGTTCAGCTAAACCTTCAGGTAAGCCACAAGTAATATCTGATTTTAATGTCCTTAATGCAATTAGTTTTGAAGGTTTAAAATTTCCAACTGTTTCAATAAAAGGTACTGTAGGATTCCAATATACATCGCCTACCAGTTTTCTGTAGTTGAGATCTCCTTTGGAAATGATTAAAAATGATTCTTCAAGTTTCGTATACAATTCATTGTCTAATGATTTGATTTGACCAAAAGAAAATGGTAATGTCCAAAATTGTTCACATTCAAATTTCCATTGACCTAATAATATAAATATTTTAGGTATTTTAAAATATTTTCATTAGATAAAATAAAAACAATTCTATATTCTAATAATTATATTTTCATATTCACGAACCTGATTTCATGTAATTTTCCCATCGTTTTCCTAATTCTTTTAATACATCACTCTTAATTTTATAAGATAGATAATCTATGGTATTAATGAAATCCTGAGTAGTTACATCAGATATGAACCATGGAATAACTTTGCCATGAAATCTTATAGTGTTCACAAATTTAAATGTAATTAAATAATCGGCCAAACATAAGTCTGTAAATAATTCATAGCCTGCATTATCCAAAATGATGTCTGAAAATAAAATTCACAAATACATAAATAAATTATCAATAACAAAATACTTTTTTATACAAATAATACAGTAATAAAATTTTAAAAAATTGATTGGTGTATCTGGTAAATAACACATTGAGCTCTTTAAATAATTACCCAATATTTTATCATCATTAGTAGCATCATTAAGTGAAGCACATAAAAAATCAACGGCTTTAGGAGATTCATCAACAAGCATAAGATGTTGTAATGCATCAACTAATACCAACGGGCATTCAGTTTGTGCAATTGCGTCACCACCAGTTTGTGAAAGATCACAACGGTTTCCCCATAAAGCACACTTAAACATTTTCGGTAAATCTTCATGGAGATTTTTTATATCTATGTCCTCTTTGTGAAAATATTTAATTAAAAATTTTCCTAATAATTCCATAGCATCTTCACATGAAACTAATCCTTGCATTTTTTGTTCATAAAATGGATCATAGTTTTTTAAATATATACTATAACATACAATTGATATAAATAAATATTAACTGACATTAAATTACAATCAATTGAATGTAAAGATTAATAAAGTTTTACCACTTACCTAGTTTCAAAAGCTTCAAATATACGCCGATGTATATAACATTCACAATACAGCCAGTTAGTAAATAACCAAGTAGGCCGATTTCCATCTTCATCAGAATAATCCTTAAGAACTTTATTCCATATTTCAACATCAACATTATCAGAAACCAATTCTCTAAATGGTTTATTATTCAAAATGTCTGTTATTAAAGTGTTCAACTTGGTCAAAACTGATGTAATATCATTTTCAGCACCCTAAAATTTGTTTTATAATAATTATTAACTAATTTATTCTGCTACCACAAAATAAAAAAACATTACAATATTTGTTAATTAATATTTTAATTGCACAACATAATACAGTGAAATCTCAATTATCCGGAGTAATGGTGGGACAGGGTCACACGGATTAATGAAAACCACGGTTAATTCGAGACTTTTTATAATAATGAATAATATATACAAATTTAGTATGAATAATGATTGTCTTGTACAATTTATAGTGGAGCCATTAAAACGAAAACACGTAAAAGGACTCAGGGCATATGTCACATTTTTCCACTACTATCACCAACATTGGTTGTGTGGTTACACAAATGCAATGAATACTCAATTAGTTATCATACTTTATCTGTATAGTAATTTATTAACATTTAGTTTGAATGTAAAGGGAAAAGTCCATTATTATACAATATTGTCGATAACCTACTGTGATAAATACTGCAAATTCATCTTAAATGGAGTATTTCTTTGTCATTCAGTCCTACTATTGATAATAATAAAGATAATAAGACTTTCTTGTTTTTTAATTATTATGCAGTTTTAGAAAAAGAGTCTGACAAAACAATATATCTATAATGACTTTTATAAATAAGTATATATGTTGGATGTTACTACTGAGTAACCTACCTAATCTTTAGATTCACTGTTAATTATATTTTCTGTCTTTTATCAAACCTACTTATTATGCAAAACTGTAAAGATTGCAGATTCTTTAAAAAAAAATAAAATAAGTAAGTATATCATTATTTCATACTCATCAGTCATCACTAGACTTGTATATTTTGAATTTTAATTTGCCTGACTTCTACATAAAAAAAGTTTATTTTTGTTTTAAATTTTGAACTGATAGTAAATTGAGGTACAGATTTCTCTTATTTCACCCTTCTGCATCATTAGTTACAATTTTTACAAAAATCAACTTTATAAACTTTGGCTTAAGTACACCTATCAAAATTTCAACCAACATCATACTTTTTCTTTCTCTTTTTCGACCAAACCAAAAAGTTAAACATTTAGCATGTCATACACATATTAAAGACATATTTAAATTTAAAACTAAAGTTTAAATGAAAAATGGTTTAAGTGATCATATGAGTTATTGTATAATGTAAATTTGATTTTATTATACCTATTATATAGTATCAAGAAGTACCTATCCAAAAACTCTCTATAATATACTTCATTATAAGCAATTTTAATTTGACACACTAACATAATAAAATCCTAATCATAATTTTATCTTTAATCTTAATCTTATTAGGTACCTACCATAATTATTCACTACCTATTGAGGTTAAAGTCAAAAAATGTCTATACTTTTTTTATCAATTATACATATTTATAATAATGATAATTATATTTCTATTGAAAATCAGTTATTAGTAATCAGTATGTTTACTAATCATGCTGTAATTAACATGTATTCAGTCTAAAGTGTAATTTTAAAGCACGTGTTTTATCATGTTTTATAGAAATCGCACATGACTTTACATGCGTTTTCAAACAAAAATAATAATAATGCAGTATTATATTTTATTATAATAAAATGATTACTTAAAATATATTCCAGTATTTCTTATAAATATCTTCTCTTTGAAAATAATGCAAATATATTTATTATATTATAATATTATGATCTTTATATAATAAACAATATTTATATAATTTTTACATACTAAAAGTAAAATGTTACCAAAAATTAAGTATTTAGTATATAAGTCAAAACTATTACCCTATGAGAGGCATTTCCTATATTTTAATGTCATTACAGTTGAAATTAAATTATGTAAATATGCAATTAAATAGGTGAAACTAAAAATATTAAGTATATAAATAATATTTGATATTCTAATTGTAAAAACACAATATACACTTACTTGTATATTAACTCTAAATATTTATCATATCGCATAATTTTATCAATTATCGTTTCAAAAAAAAAAAAAATACAAATTTTAATTCATAAATTATAAGATGCAAATAACAATTATGTAAATAGGTTAAAGTAAAATAAAAAAAATGTTTGAATAATTCTTTTATATTATTTATACAAGAAAATAAATAGAAAATAAATTAGTTAAGCAAATATATTATTAAATACCGATATTAGTTATATCTACATGAAATAATTAAGTTTATTAAAAAAAAAAAAATGAATTCATTTATGTAGATACATAAATATAAAAGTTTTAATTTGAAGTTTTAGTTTATTAAAGTAGGAAAATTGATAATCAGATGTATAGCATATGAAAACTTCTGTAATTTTTATAATGATAATATGAACTCATGCAGTGTATACATTAAATAAAGAAAAAGTTTATGTACAAATTAAATTACAATTACTACCTAAAGATACACAAATACAATATGTAACCTAACTGTGTGATAAATCATAATGCAATATAAATATGGGTTAAACAGTGTGTCATCATCCTTTAACTAGGTATCAATATATTCACACATAACAAAATACTTTCACAAAATTTGTGTTATCTTTTTTATTATATCTTATTCTTAATATGAATAAGAATGTATATAATTTATAAAGGTACTTACTGGTCCATATTTTTGTAAAATAGCTGTCTTATTAGCTTCTAAGTAACTTCCAGTTTTGGAAATGTTAAATGGAGACAACTTTGATAATACTGGAAAAGCAAAACTCCTACAAACATTATTAGAACTATTTTAATATTACAAAATAATTTAAATAATTTGTTTATTAAACAACAAAATAAATAATATAAATTTAAATACCTTATATACTTTGCAACTAAAGGTTGATTTCTGGGTGGACTCTCGTCAATGCACAGACGAATCAATTCGTTGTCAACAGTCATTTTTACTAAAAATAATTAAATTACATTATTAAAATATTATAGTTTACAATTGTATAAGTACGGGTAGTTAGGTAATGCTAGATATAGAGTTTAAAAGAGGTTTAGTCAAGTTAACCTCAGGAATAAACTTAAATTACCTACTTAAACAATATTGATCCTATTAGGTATGTTAAAACTTAAAATGTACCCATCTAGTTTTTATTAAACAAAAATAAACCTTCTTCATAATTGCATGATAATTGTATTAGGTACCTACTGACTATTACAATTTTCATATAAATTAATAATGAGACTAAATATACATGATAATGGATATTCTCTCATTAAATATTTAAATATTGTCCTTGGTAAAAAAAAAAAAATATTTGCATTTGTATTAAACTAAACCCAAGGATTCTTGTTCAAAAATTAAACTTTTTTAAATTAGACCATTTTATGAAAAGAAACAATAATAATGAAATAGTGTTTTTATAAGACTTCCCATACGATTTATAAATAATGAAAGTGTTCTGGAATGATTGAATCATTGTCATTTTAAAATAATAAACTGTACCAAAATAGTTAATATATTCTGATTCATAATAATTAATAAAAATATAATGAAATGCCAAAAATAAAATAGCTGATAAATATGTTAAAATTAGATTAGATTATTATTACAATATTAACCAATTATATTTATCATATTAGTTTTTAAATTATTAAATGCTCATTCATATTTCCTCAAGGCTAAAAAAAAGAATTGCAGGGGGTCACGGATAAAACACACCGCTCCTGGGGGTGGGTGTGGGAACGGGGAAATCTATAAAAATTGAATTTGTTTTTTATTTTTTAATAACCTAACAAAACCTTGGCAAAAAAAAAAATAAATAAATAAATATAGTTTTAAATAAATAAATTATGAGAAGGTTATTAAAGGAACAGATATTATTAATATAATATAATTATTATTATACCTACGTATCTAAATCGTAATAGTCGGACAATACTGATAAAATCACTGTTTTATTTTAGTATATAGTTTGATTATATGTATTATATATAATAGTATAATACATTTTTTTATAAATATCAACAAATAAAACTAAGTAGTAGTTGCCTAAATAATAGATATTATATGTAAACGATTTTTTTTTTTTTTTTTATTAGCTACGTGTTTACGTGTATCCAACGCGTGTTAAATAGGAAAATATGATAATTACGTCTTATCTCATGGGTACCTATAATACCTATTATTATGTAAACATAAATAATATGGATACAATACATTAAACGATTTATTAGGTACCTACGATTTAATAAATATAAAATAACAATAATATTTCAAACAAACTTAATAGATATGTATAGTTGAATAGTTGATTACACGTTACGTTGCACTTCAACCTAACCTAATATAATATTTAATAGTAATTAAATAGATAATTAATTAGGTACCAAGGTATCTCCAATTTTCATTTGAATTATGTAGGTACCTGTCCATACTTTGTTCTTAAAATACAATTTTTATGAAACAATATCATCGTCCGTATAATTGAAAATACAAAGAGTGATTTTGTAATCTCGTATATACAACGGGTACATAATATTATAATACTAACGAAATTTATATATATATATATATATAAAGTTACATTAAATATAATAAAATTGATAAATCGTACCCTGAAATTATAGACATTCCTATCGTATAAATGAAAATGTAATTTGTTTATATATTTCGAAATTATTATTACCAATATATACAGATTTTAATAAAATGGTGGGATAGTAATATTAATCTTTTAATTATACCTATGTCATTTGAAACGCATTAAGCGCTTAGGAAAAAAAAAAAATAAATAAAGATTTATATTATATTAAATCGGCTTTAAACTTGCACTTGTATACTTGTTTTTAAATTCAGCTAAATATATGTATATCTACTTACTATAGCGTTTATATAATTTTCAATAGGTACCTAGCCACCGATAAAATGAATATTTAAAATTGTTTACAAATAAATTTGTTTTTTTTTTTTTTCATTTAATGTCAAATATTATGACAAATATTTTAATTTTGCAATAGATATAGTAGGAGTGTTACTTATATACCTATTACATTTTATTGAGAATACAATAATTATTTCCAACATAAAAATCAAAAAACTCCAACAATTGTTTATGAACCTACATTTGTCAAATTTATAACTCAACTCAACGTGGACAATATATTACTGATAAGGTGATAAATGATAATACCTATACCTGACGTACTAACCTAACCTACTTAAAGGAGGAAATATTCAATTTGTATCATTATTATTTTTAATTATTATCGGATATTAAAATACCTATAGTTTTTGTTAAGTATTAGTTTAATTGCTATTTATATTCCGATTCTAAATATTAATATATTCATATATATATATATATATAAATAATATTAGGTATACGAGGGTGCATAATTTATGACCAAAATTGAACAATTAAAAACGATCAAGACGGGGTTGTGCCACTGTTATAGGTAGAAAGTTGGAAAAATAAGATAGGTATATCGTATATAGAATTATTTAATTTACATCTGCACGCAACGACAAAACATTTTCAACGAAAAATAATTCTGAGCGAAATTATGTCAAACACGTTTCGAAATGCCGTGATTTTTAAAATGTCCATTACCTTTTTACCGCTTAGTACAACTTTTGATAACGTTTTACGTAATCACGCATTTATAGTGGAAAACGATTTTCAGCGGAGTTCGGTTGTACGTGTTTTAAAAGGCCATAATATTTACGTTTTTCGCCAGAATTTAAAATTAAAATTCTTAGAAAAAAAAAAAATAAATATTACATTAAATTCAAATTTTTCTTGTGGACCACTATAGTACTTATAATGGTCTTCCTGTTGAATTTTTAAGTGTTTCTGTTTGTTCTAACAATTGTAACCACAGAGTAGGTAACTACCGAATAAAAATGTCTATAAATAATTCAAAAATGGCTAAAAAAAATGTCTCGAAAGTGTTACCTAGAACTTTTGTACGCGATATATGTATAAAAAAATATATCATTGCAAAACCGATACATTCCTCGCTTCGCTCAGAGTCTATAAATAATAGCACACATAATATTATATTGTTTAAATGACGAATTTGTGAGCTGCGCTTTCCCAGCACTAAAATACCACTTTAAGAGTTTCGATATCAAAATCAGTACAGTGCAGTACTGTTAAAATGATAAAAAAAAAAACAATTTTGTACAATTCCCCGAACAGAAAAATAACGATGGGCTTTGAACTTGTAACTGCAGTGCACTATACCACGGTCTAATTCGGTCACGATCACGGGTATCAAGATAACTTGTCCACGGTCACGACGGAATCCGTCACATGCAATATAAATGTTTTGATTATTTTCAGTTCATTATCGAATGTAAAGAGTAAATATCATTTAAAAGATTATTATAACGCATTAAACCCGAAAAAAAAAAACATATAATCTATTTAAACGTATAATGACAATAGCTCTAATGAGTACCTATGAAAACCAACCTAATGACGGTATAAACATTGAAAAATATTATGTCCGTTTTGTTTACGGCTAATTCGAAGTTTAACAAGTATTTATTTAAATATAATTATTCAATTTATTTAATACATTATTCATTATTATGTAATTAAATTAAAATCGCCAGAATTTAGTAGGTAAGGATTAGGTAAATACATATTCGATTTTTCTAAATTTATTAAACATTTTTGTGTAAAATCTGGGGTTGTATCTACCAACTTATTAATTTTTTTTAATTCGATTGATCAATTATATTATAATTTGTTCGTGGCACCTAATAACTACTTCTAAAATAAATGGTTCACGAGCGTTTTTTTTTCTTTCTTAAATCATTATCTAATTTAATATATATATATATATAAGTTCAAAGACTTTTTAAACTAATTTTTTTTTTTCGTCAAATTATACGAGCCAATTTATTATACTTTATTTATTACACACTTTCTGACGAAAACGAAAATTAAAATAGAATTTCGAGTTTGTACATTTTTTTTCCCCTATATTTATACATGTCCGAAGTAAGCACGGATTTTAGAATTCGTCACAGTTTCGGACACTTATAACATTTACGTGTTATTCTAATGGACTAATTTAGAAAAATTTTAAATGTTAATGGTATAGTGGTTAATGGTTCGGGCACAATAGGAAATTTTTTTTTTAAAAAAATAATGTTCCAATATCAATAAACCAAAGAAAACTGTACACTTACAAAAATAATATTATCATTATTTTGTTCTTTAAAAAAAAAAAATCCCAAACAATGCAGATTTTTTAGAGTGAATTTTATTTTTATCCACGCAATCGAAGGAGTTTTACTTTTTACTTTGTCAAAATGTAAAAATATATTCTTAAATTATTTGCGGATACCTAAATTTGACACTTTGGACATAGAAAAAAAAAAAAAAAACAAATTAACAAATATCTGCGAAATTTATTTTTTACGAAAACAGCGTTTATGCGTGGTAAGTAGTCGATTTATATAAGCACGCGTGGGTTCGTGATGTAGCCAGTAACTCTGCAGGGTATATTTTTTCGAAACAAATTTTGTTTTTCTCGACACACACAAAAGTTTTAAAACGTTTTCCCGTCAGTTTATCAATTCCGCGCACAGATACGGTTAATATTTACGCCGCAAAAATAAGTAAATAAATAAATAATTTTAACACACATAAAAGGATTTTGAAAACGAACAGCACAAAAAAAAAAAAAAACCAATCGTTTAATCGATTGTACGAAACAATACCATTTAACGGTATCTATATATATATTATATGAAATCAATTGCGTCTAAAGAAACTTAATAGTCCCAAAGCTTTGGTGTATTACATTACGCGCGTAATATTATTTTATTATAATAGAAGCCTAACCTTAAGGCCCTAAATTGTAATGATAAAATAATTCTCGTGACCCACCGGACAAGGACTTAGGTCGGGGTTCCATAGTATACCTGTAGGCTCGACGTCCTCGATCTAAATGCGCAATTTGGCATTTTTTTAAAATAATAATAACTCACCGTTGGACGGCCGAACAGTACAGTTGTGTTAACTGCGGCATTATATAGTAATATTATATTTTAATATAGTTAATAATAAAGGTACCATTGATGGTGTTTAGAAGACATTTTAAGTAATTATTCTCCGCCGTTTTGTTTAAAAATTATTTTTACACGCACAGAAATATGATTTAGGGTTTTCGAATAATAGTCAGGTAGGTACCTACATGATTAATGTTTAGGTTTTATATTATTTACTATGATTCGATTCAAAAACAATATTTTGCAGCGATTTCTGAGATTCGTTTAAAATACAAAAATTCGCCTGCTATATTATTTTAATGAGCGAAGGACTGCGCGGATATTTAACGAACGCTGAATTGTCTCCAAGTAGATACCTACCTAACTCCAACATAATATCACGACAAAATATAGATCTATTGCATCGAAAAAAAATCGACGACTGTTTACAGGCAAAATAAACTGTGAAATTCATTATTTCTCGATATTTCATTTTAATTTTGAAATATCCAGAGTCAAAATATGCAAGTTGTACTGAGTAGGTATACCTACAAAAATGTGTATTTATTTTTATTATACCCACCAAACAACTTGTGCGATCGTAATTCGACCAATTAAAATAAATAAAAGAATGAAAAAAAATTTAAATAAAATACATATAGGTATTACACATATTAAATATAAATGACAATATGTAGGTTCAACATTTTTCAAGTACTTAACTTGGTACCTAAAACACTACCTATACTCGTATAAACCGTTAAATAAAAATGATAGTATAGTTTTTAATAAAGTTAAATACACTTACGTGTAATGATTGCTGTTTGAATTTGAACAGAAATAGTTGACCAGTGTTCCAGTCAAACGATACTTCGATATTGGTTCGCGTGAAAACATACTGCAGTATTTATATGCACTAGATGTCTGTCTAATTACGTATGAATAGATAACATTACGCAAAAAGAAAACATTTACGACAAAATTAAAACGGACATTGTTCCGGCTATTTACCAGTGGTGCCTGCAAGTCAATATGCAATTACCGATATTTTTATACATGAACAAACTGTAGGAAAATTTAACAAATATTTTGAGGTTAAACGATTACGCTTATCAACTACCAAACAAACAGGACGATTCTTTTGACTCCTATCCGCTCGTTTGATTTGTTTCGTTCTCTTCATTTTCGGTAAGTACATGCGATTTTATCCATTTTAATCTCAGAATTTTAGACACCTACTAATATTATTCGAATTTGTATTATTTCAATTGAACATTAATATTCATTTAATAACTTCTCCGTTTTAATTTTTTTTAATTAAATTTTTCCTTCTACGTGTTGTATTTTTATTGTGACACGGTACTTTTTGCTTCTGTTCAGGTTATAGGTAATAAACAAAAGGCATCAAGATGGCCCCAAGCGGTAATAATATGATTCCGAATGGACATTTCCATAAAGATTGGCAACGTTATATCAAGACTTGGTTCAATCAACCAGCTCGTAAATTGAGACGTAGACAGACGCGTATCAAGAAAGCCAAAGCGTTGGCACCTAAGCCTGCCGCGGGTCCTCTTAGACCGGTAGTACGTTGCCCTACACTGAGATATCACACAAAAGTCCGTGCTGGACGTGGTTTCACTCTACAAGAACTAAAGGTAAATTTCATATACAGAACTGATGTGTTCACTACTGTTAACTACATGATGACTTAGGGTGCTGGTTTAAACAAACATTTTGCCCGTACTATTGGAATTGCTGTAGACCCAAGACGCAGGAATAAGAGTGTGGAATCGTTGCAAGTTAACATTGAACGTTTGAAGGAGTACCGTTCCAAATTGATTTTGTTCCCACTTAAGAGCAAAACCAACAAAATTAAGAAGGGCGAAGCTACTGTATGTATACACCTATACAATTACTTTGAAATAATATAAAATATATTTCTTTAAACCTTTTATAATTTTTCATATTGTTTAGGAGGAAGAACGCAAGACAGCTACACAAATCAAGGGAGAAATTCTACCAATTAAACAGTTTGTCAGCACAGAACCTGAAGTACGAGCTATTACAGATGAAGAAAAGAAGTTTGAAGCTTTCAATGCTATCTGCCAGGTAAAACAAATTCTGATTACTTTTTGTTGCACATTTTTAAAATCCACTTTTTCTTACTAAAAATGTGAGAGTCATAGGTGTGCAAAATTATCTATTATTTTGTTCTTTTTTTATTTTATTTTTTATGTTTTCTAAAATTTAATTAAGAACAAATTAACAAACTTAATATTATTCAAGCAAAATATTTACTTTAATAAAGTCCAATTAATCATTATACACAATCAATTTTATTAACAATATATTGTATATTGGTAATATTGAAGGAGATTGAACAAATTTCTATTCATATGCTAGAAATGATATATGGGTCGGTAGCATTATTGAATAATATATACACAATATTTCTCTAGTATCTATTTGGCTAACAAACTGATATGTGAAGAATACAAAAATGAAAATTGAATATTGGCTACAAATATATTTGTTGTCAATAATATTGATTATGTGTGAACTGCTTTAGTGTAAGAATTGATCTGCTAAAAAGAATCAAATATTTTGATTATCGGTAAATTTATCAATGAACATTTTAAATAACCTTTGTCAACTGCTCACGGTTGTGTTAGATAGATCCTTTATCCTTTGACATTTATTGTGCTGTTATATTAATATTGGTTTGATAAATTATTAAAAACTCAATTTGAATGTTAAATTATTGATCTGATTGCAAATATTGATACAATTTACCCCTAACTCTTGTAGAACTTAAAATCTAATTGGAATTTTTTGTCATCTAAAACACCTGACGCCTTTCTATCACACTTAATCTATTTAATCATTACGTTTCAAATCTTTATAAAAGTTAACATTATTTTGTACAAAATATCCTAGATTCTCAACCTCACTTATAACTGCTTATCATTGCTTTCTTATCTTATTTTTCAAAACGCGTAATTTGTTTTACTTCTACTTATTCTGGTCCCTTTTCATTTCAAGTACTACTCCGTTCCTCAAGCCTATTGTTAACTTAATCCAGATTATCTGCAAACTGTACACTTTTCTCTCCTGTTGTCCACACGTACATCCAAGATTGGACAATCGATCAAAGTGTTAAGAACTCTTCATACTGTTTGACAGAAATTTACACTGGCTGTCATCCTGATATAACTCTATTTCTCTCTTCAAACAGATAGAGAAAATATTCTCACCCAATTTATTTTATTGTATTAAATGTACAATCCTTAAAAGAGCCACTCTGTACTATTATGGTACACAAATGAGTGGTTCTTGAGTCAACCTGTACTAAATCAAATCAAAACTTACTGTTTTATTAGCATTTTTTTTTTAATTGCTATTAAAGTATCTTATGAACATGTATTTATTAATATTATTTTAGAGCCACTGTGAATAAAAACCTATCTTTAGATTCCTATTTTGATACCAAAAGAATAAAAATAATTTTTAAAAACAAGAGTTAATTTTAGCATTAAAAAAAAACTCCAATGATACTTTTTTATATTGTATCTTTAATTGGGAGTATTGAATTAAGATTATAAAATGGGGACAAATAAAACTTTAAGTCTATTATTGCATTTTATATTCTGAGTATACCTAATAAAGAAGCTTTTAACTTGACAAAGATTTTTTTTTTATTTATTGATGCATACAGATATAAAATAAATTGTCTTGTATATATCCTACCTTTTCACTTACAATATTGACTTGCTCATTAGCAATATAGCAATATTCAGTTTTTTATTTGTATTATATGTAATACATGTTTTTATATTATCTTATTGGCTCACTAATAATAATAATACAAATTTTTAATATTTTATCTCTACCTAGTGGTGGATATTTCAAATTTTAAAGTTTTGTTTATGATTGCAGGCAAGGCTTGAAGCCAAACTGGTAGGTATCAAAGAAAAGAAGGCCAAAGAAGCAGCTGAAAATCCTGATGCTGCGAAAAAAGCAGCTGAAAAGAAAAAGAAGGGTAAAGGAAAGAAGAAGTAAATTTTGTATATTGTTTGACTTTTATAATAAAAAAAGTTAAGACTTAATGTTTATTTTGTAAATCATTTTAATTCTTTAATATAACATGACAAAAAACAACAAAAATACATTTAATTTGACTAAGTAGTAATATGTTTACATAATATTTATGTTATCAACAATTAGTGCAAGAATAATAATGAGCAACTTATAATTTTTAGCATTATTCCGATAAATGTAATATTCTTTTCTTAATTAATTTTAGTAACTTGATATATGAGAAATCACTTTTGGCATATATCGTGATTCATCAGAAACTTTTGGTATAGTTATGCTCACAAAAGGTGCATGTATTTTTGGAGTTGCTAGAAATTTAGTTCCTGCTATGTCGATTTCATACTTTGCTGTTGGAGATAATATGTAGTCATTTGTGATGACTGTATGATTTCTATTACGATTATCTGTAAAAGGTAGTCGAACGTATCCCAAACATATTAATTTTTCCATTGTAAAACCATAACTGAAAAAAAAATGTTTTGAATTTCGGTATATATTATACAAAATCATTGATGGTTTTTTTTATTCTTGATTGAATTGAAATTCTAAGTTTTGATTCTTTAAGAGATAATGTTTCAATACTTATTACTTACCCAGCTGATGTTACAGTTCCAACAAACTTTCCATTTCGATAAATTGGTTCCATTCCCCATGCCCATAAATCCTTATCAGGATCCAAGTCATCTAATATAAACATAACAAGTTTTTTTGTAATTCCTTGATCTTTTTGATGTTGCAAAGCAAATTTTCCTGTGAAATATTCTTTCTGTGAAAAGAAAAAGAATAAATATTGAAAATAATTATAATTTAAAATGAATCAAATTGTTTACATTAAGTTTCACTAGATGGTTACAGCCTGCTTCAAATGGTGTAGTAAATCTTGTCAGATCTTCTGCCCAAAATGGTATAAATTTCTCAATCCTCATAAATCGTTGTGTTAAACTGCCGACATCTCTAATTCCATAATCAAATCCAACTGTAATTAGTCTATCGTACACATGCAGTGCATATTCCGATGGGATGTAAAGACAAAATCCTGGTTCACCGGTGTGTGTAAAGGCCATCATCATAACATCTGAAGCATAACCAATGTCAACAGTCTGCAATAAATAAGCATAAATTGTATGGTTGACGACTAGTTGAATTACTAAACTGTTCATTTAATTACCTTATATGTAAAAGGTTGAACATTTAATTCAATATCAGATTGTGATAATTCAGACATCAAGGCACCAGCTTTAGGACCAATAACATTTACGACAGTGTACATTGAAGTTATGTCTGCCAGTTGAATTGACTCATCTTTAGGCAAATGATCTTTGAGCCAATCTAATACTCTAGTTTGCTGACTGGTCGGTGATACCATCAAATAACTGTTTTAATTTAAAGAACATTTTTGTACTAGTAGATTCTTTCAATAATAATAATAATTCATATTTATTTTTGAGACCACTAAGAAAAGTTTTACCAATTTTCTCTTTCACGTACTAAAAGGCAGTCATTTTCATAACCACCTCTCTCATTCAACATGCCTGTATGAACTATCCCCCCTACTGGAATATTTACATCATTTGTACACAAACATTGTAACCATTCAACTACACCAGTATATTGAGACTGAAAATAACATCAAACCTAAATTAATGTTTATTAATGAATCAAGTATATAAAATAATATGTTACCTCATTTTCTTCACTCAAATCCTGTTTCCCCTGTACATGAATATATGCAATTAAAATAAAATATTAATACACAGAAACATAATTAAAACTAAAAAGAATAATGAGTGAATACCTGAATTTTCATTTTGGAAAACGAAGACATGTCTATTATACCTACAGTTTCTCTACAAGCATAATATTCTTCCAACATAAAATCAAAAAATTTTGGTTTATAAAATGTACCTGGTGGCATTACCGGAGGTGGCCCTTTTCCTAATTAAAAAATATTGTACTGTGAATTTGTTATGAATGACAAATATGCTCTAACATCATAACTACAATATATTTGATTTCTTAACTTTGACCTAATATCACATAAACATAGGCGTAACTTGATCAATAACTTTGAGGATGTTAAAATTGTGGAAATATCAAATATCCCATGATGGGAGCACATACTCCCAGAATCCCCTTCACATGGTTCTTATAATAGTTATCTACACATTCCAATTAAAATTTTGTACATACAAATTTATCATAACTATATTAACAATATTTTTCATATACTGCACATGCATTATTGTCTGTAGAAAATCTATACTTTGTTCTGCTCATTAATTATGAAATATAATACAAATAAAGTATTTAGTCTCGTTACAGTATGAAAACACTGATTGGGTTTTTAGGGAGTGCTAAAGATCCCCTAGTTACGTCTATGCACATAAATATATTTTTATTTACCATTGTATGTTGTATCAAAATACAGTGGACGTTCATATCCCATTCGAGTACCAAAAATTGCTCCTCTTTTTTCCAGAACACTAAATAAAGGTGAACATCGTAACTTTCTAGCATTCTTATATTCATTTTGATGAGGATATGGTATAGCATAATGTCTAAAAATTTTTAATAAATAAATAAGTAATTTAAAGTAATCATTTTTTTTTTTTTTGGTTATTTCACGGTTCAATATATTTTATTTAATAATTTTACTATTAGGAATTAAAACTATCGATTTTTATATATCAATTAAAATATGTATTATATAGGTAATTTAAGTTTTAAAGACAATATCAGATTTTATAGCTCTAATTCTTAATAAATCAATTGCTATATTATTGTAAAAAGGTTGATTAAGGTATTTTCTAACAAACAGAACTTTGCTTGTGCTCTGTTTCGATAAGAATTACAATAATATAAAAATAATAAAATTGGTTATAAAAAATATAGCCCATTTATAATATAACTAGTGATATTTAAAACTATTAATGCTATCTGTTTTATTAATTTATTTTATTCCAGCATAAACATCAAAATTATTAACTTTAAGATGTGTAAAAAAATTGTGTTTAATTTATTAGGTATTTTGTTAACAATAATTTACCATATCTTTCATTTTGTTCAATAATGTATTATCTTGAGAAAATATGAAACATTTTAAAGAATTTTACTAAACGGAACATTCAGGATTAATAATATCATAACTATTTCCATAAGAATATATTTCTTTCCCCCTCAAAATCCAAAATGTGTTATTATACCTATACATAACATTATAATATTAAAAAAAAAATTTTTAAATAAATGAAACTCATTTTAATACTGTGCAATTTTTTGTAAAGAAGCATATTATGCAATATTTAATATAATGAAAAAATTCACCAAAACAGACTTGATTATTTAAAATGAAAACAAAAATAATACCTGCCAACTACTTCTTTTGTACGCTCTTGTAAATACATTCTATTATTATGAAGATCTAAAAACCGCTGTACATCAAATGCCAAATGTTCTTGGGTAGGTTTTCCTTCCATAATCCATTCAGCCATTGCTTTTCCTATTCCTCCGGCGCCTTGCAATGGATTCCCATTCATTCCAACAGCTACAAAGTAGTTATCTATCTATAGAAATAAATAAAATAAACACATAATTATCATATACCATGTAATTAAATTAGAAGAAAATTATTAAATTACAAAGTAGATAAATTAAAATAAAACCTTTAAAATATTAATAATAATATGTTAAGTTTCCGATCACCAATTACTATAAATAATGACAAGTTATTAGCTTGGGTAAATCATTTGCTATAGCATGGACCATACCAAATAATTTTTTTTAACACCACTCATTATTTCTCAGTTTTGTTTTGATAATTTAAATAAACAAACAAATAGCTTATGAATGTTAAAATGCCATTATTTTTGAGTTGAAGTTTTGAACTTAAAGGGCGTATATAATTTATTATATATGAACTATATGAACATGTTTAAATTTTGATTTATCAATTAGTTAACATAATAATTGGGAAAAAACTTAGGAAATACTTGAAAGTTTATGGAATTACTGGTTTCGTCTTTTTCATTTCGTTTTTTTATTGTTTATTGGTTAAAAATTATCTTAAATAGCTGAAATTGTCAAAGAATACTTATATTAGCATTTAATGAAGAGATACAATTTTTAATTTTTTTTTAGAGTTAAAATCAAAAATCTATGGCCTTACAAAACATGTATAACCTGAAATTCGCTAACCTCGTTTTTTGTTGGAAATGAATTATCATTACTAACAGATATAAATTAAATAACTTAATGTATCCTACCTTTCCGAATTCCCACCTAAGTACAACAATGACAAATCAATCAGCAGTGTAAGCCCTTTTTTTGTTTTTAGTAATATTTTTGTAAGATTCGTTCTAAAAAATGTATTTAAAAATTCAATATTTATTTTTATATAATATGTTATGTTTGAATTAATAGGATGACTCATTGACATTGCTACCGACAAAACTTGGATAAGAAATGCTACTGTATGTTTAGTCTTTTTGCGTTTCATCATGTGTTATACCATATTGTCATAAGTATATATTTTATTTTAATTGTATTTTATCTGTTTGGAAAATATCAAAAGTTAAAATTTTTGATAATTCAGTATTGTTTTTATTTTCAATATTCTTTTTAGGATTGTTGGTGGTTTTTGGGTTTATTTTAAGTGTTCTTTTTTATAATTCTATAAAGCTATAGAATAATATAGCCAATAGGTACTTTACTTCTGGTGTTTCTCCCAAAATCCACTTGCCATTTGGTGTAAACGTGTCTGGAGAGTTAGTTAATGTTGGATAAACAGCATCTTTAAGAATTGGAATTCGAGACATAGCTTTTTCCCAATAGGGCACTGAAATATATATTTTAATTAGAGTGATATTTTATTCTACTGATTCAATTTACTTACTAAAATGTTTCCAATCTTGAGGCATATCTTTTTTCCAATCTGATGGTATTAATTTCATATTGAGGAAAGCAGGTTTAGCAATTTTTTCAAATCCACCAACTAAGAATCCTGAATTATATTCTCTAGCATAAATATGAGAATCAAAATCTCGAATATAAGGTAAATCAACACCGATTCCAGGCAATGGACTAGTTGTAACATAAAAGTGTTCTGCGGGATATACAGGTACTCTTACTTTAGGATAACACAAATTTCCCATTTCTCTTGCCCACTATAATACATAGTTCAATATTATTTTGAAAAGCCTTAGTTTAATAAATATGATTGATAAAATATTATCAATATATTAAAAAAAAATAATAAGTAAATTATTTAAATAAATATTTTCAATTGGTTAGTACTACTTCGTACAAGTTGAATTTTTAACTTAACCATGTAAGACAATTGTAGGTATTTTATATAAACAAAGTGTTATATTTTATAATCAAAAAATTGTTTAACATGGGTTCAATTTACAATAATTGAATAAAAAGTACATTAGTAAAATATGGTATTATTTTACTCAAAAATTAATAAAATCATTATTACCATTCCTGCACAATTCACAAAATATTCACAATAAATGAATCCTCGACTAGTTTGTACACCTTTAATTCGTTCATGTTCAGTAACAACTTTTTGTATGTGGCAATTAGTAACATAATGAGCACCACCTCCAGAAGCTAGTTTAGCTAATGATTTACATATAGCTTGTGGGTTTGCAACTGCATCTTCAGGTACCCACACTCCACCTTCTAAGTCATCAGTATTTAAAAAGGGATGCAGATTTTTCAAATCGCTTTTACCTAGCATCTAATATCAATGAAAATTGTTGACATAAAATTAAAAATCAAAATAAATATTACTCTAGTTACTTCACAATGTAAGCCAGTCGGTGCATTATATGCAATCCTTCGTTTCAATGCTACCATTCTATCTTTAGTTTGAGCTAAATTTAAACTTCCACATTGTTTCAGACCTAAAAGCATAATTTATTTTAATATTCATTATATTAAATAATACCTAATTAATAATTACACACAACATACCTATATCAAAGCCTTTAGCTTCTAGCTGTCTATACAATTTAATACTGTACATAACAATATTTCGTTCAGCAATTGGTTTAAATAAACCCAGAGTTCCTGAACCAAATTGTGATGTTCCTCCACATGGCCTAAGTAAATTGTTCTTTTATAAAAAACTATTTTCTCCTTAAATACTAGATATAACATTTAATACATACGTCCCTTGGTCAATAAGAACAATATCTGACCATCCATTTTCAACTAAATGATAGGCCAAAGAATTAGCCACCAATCCTGTGCCGCAGATCACAACTTGTGCTTGAGTCGGAAGCACAGACTCGTGAGATATTTTTGAATGAGCTCGTATACAATCACAGTGGCCAAGACTCAATGACCAATGGTTCAAATTTTTCAAGTATAATCGTTTTTGCCATCTGGTCAAGAACATAATTAGTAGCGCACACTGATCTGTAGAGCGAATATCATTATATTATAAAAGTATTTACGTATAACACTATATTTCAATATCAAATTATATATATTTTGTTGCAACAATAATATACAACACCTACCTATCTCTGACTGAAAAATTTTTAATTGTGAAAAATTATTAATTCATTTATAAATTGCATTAATTAATAATTTCGTAAATATCAATAGGTATCAACCTATTTATTTTTTTTTTATTAAAAGGGTTTAGTATTAATAGTTAAATTGAACTATTGCCATTGCTTATATTTCTAATTCAATACATTCTACTACTTCTTTTTTTTTTTTGGATTATTTACTGATAAAAAATTATAAGTCATAAGTGATAACAAAAGTTTCATCAAAAAGTGATAATAAATTCACGTACGAAGTAGATAAAACGCTGTTGTTCAATCATATACTAGTATATGATATAAGTGTTCAACTATCATTTGTACATAAGAAAAACGAGTACTATTTTAACAGTACATTAGTTACATAATTGTCCATCGGGTAGCATTAAAAAGGCTGGTTCGATGTCAGCAATTTACCATACACTACTCCCAATCTGAATTTGAATGTAGAAATAGAAGTCAGAAATGTGGATTAATAATAATTACCTATATAATATTGAATAATAATCACTAAATTATAACGGATATTTTATCTACATCATGGTTTCACACATACGACAACAGACTTATCAATATTATAACCCTATGGTTTTACAATAAGCCCAGTAAGGGATGTAAGAAATTCTTAAATTGAATATAATCAATCACGGTCTATGAGTTATCCATTTATACTATAGCCTTAGTAATTAGATATTACATATTCAGAGTATTTGAGATCTTGGCATTTAATACGTCCAAAATCGGCCAGATGACAATCATTGAATCATATGATAGATATTATGATAAATGAAAAATTTAGATAATACACGAGATAATATTATATCATATCAATTTTTTAACACGTTGTACTGTTGTCTATAATTTTGTACCGTATGCAATATTGACAAATCATATTCGGAAATACTAAACTATTAATCTTGGTCATTATTATATACTTATATTCTACATTATTATCAATATTCATTTTTGAAAGCTGTCAACGTGCTTTTAGTTAAACGTGTTGTAATAATTAAAACGTAAGTTTATATTAATATTAATTTGGTCTTTATGTTTTTAATTTTATCAAAATAATTATTGCCATAAAATATTGATTTAATTTAGTTTTTGTTTGCACTAAATAATTTTCGCTTTCCAACTAGGCATAATGTCAACTCAAATTGTAACCAGTGAAAGTAATAAGGAAAACGTGTCAGAAATTGAGGGAAAAAAAACACCTATATTCTCTGTGGAAAGTATCCTTTTTTAAATAAATCAAATTATGTTTATTGATATCAAACTATTTTCAATAATATAAAACGTATGCTTGAAAAACAAATATATTTTATGCTGTAATTTGTATGTACCTGTTAATTACTCAATAATGAAACAATTTACAAACTGTATTTATACAAGGGGCTCTGCTTTCTGCCCGCCAACCCCTGTAACTCGTAAAATATACTATAATATAATATGAAAGATATAAATAATGATTTTATATAATGAAGAATCAACTTAAATTGCAATTAATTTACAAATAAAAACATATTATTGAATGTATTTGTATTAAATGAACCTTTCTAAGGTCTAGATGAGGTGTGGCCAAACAGTTTGTAATCGCGATCGACCGGTAGATAGATCACAGATGATTTAAATTTTGTTAAAATTTATTCTTATGTTATTAGTAGATAAATAACAATTGCTTATCATTTCTATCTTAATATATTATCTTTATTTTGTTTTAAATTTATCAAGTAATACAATTCAATAGACTATTCTAGCAATGGTATTTACAATAATATTATATTAGCCTTAATAATAGTGTAATGAAAAATTAGTTTTATTATTTTGTACGTGTATGTGTATTATTAATACCTATTAGGTAATTTATAATTATACATTTTTGTTATGAAGTTGATTATCAAAGGAAAAATATATACTTAGTAGATCTCTACCAAAAAAAGTTTGGCCACCTCTGGTTTGATATATGTCTAAAAATATAGTATAAATATATCTACTAAAAATATTGTGCTTTCTTTTAAATAAATTGTATATTATACCTAGTTTTTAAAAATATATCTGTGGTACTAATAGATCATACACTTAATGCAAATAAATATTTAAATTTAAACTTTCTTTAACAATATTTGAATAGTATTAAAGATTATTAAAGAAGCCCAACAACAGCACGGTTTAAGACACAATGACTATCAAAGATACAGGTAAATCTCAAATAGTAACTTTTTATTTTTTTCTTAGTAACTTCGGTATTTAAGACCATATTGTCTAGCATATTTGCCTTCATCTTTCTCTGTCTAATTATAATTTCTTCCAATCCTCAGACTTTACTTTTTAAACTTCCAACTTCTTGTTATATATATTTATTTACTTTTAATTTTTAGAGGTTATTGTACCAGGCGTATTAGACGTTTGCGAAAAGTTATGCACTTGCAACAAGGTGATCGAAGACATTTCCGTAAGAAAACCATTACAGAAGTACATCTTACAGATGAAAGGTAAAATTAATAATATATTTCTACTATACTGTAATGTATTAATTATTTAATTATTTTGTAACATTTAGAGCCATTTATATTCCATTGATGTTGGCTGAAAGAGCGTGGAGTTATGCAATGCAGCTTCGAGTTGAAGCCAATACGGAACCCAGAAAAAAATTTCATTTGGTATCCAGATTGAGAAAAGCTGCAAGTTATGCTTTACAACTTCAAAAGCTTTGTGAGGTATTATATTTATTATTTTACTAAACTGATCTGTTTTTCTAAAATAAATATATTTTAGTCTGACAAATTTGATGCACGTACTCAATTGGAAACTCAAGCTTACGTAGCTTGGTGTGAAGGAATGTTACAATTTGAGTTACAAGAATGGAAGCCATCTATAGAAAATTTAAAAAAAGCTCAGTAAGTTAAACTTTTGAGTTTTTATATAATGAAAAGATAATTAATAATCTGTGTAATGAAGTGTTTAAAATATAAAATTTAAAAATAAAATATACCATTACTATACCCTAATATACCCTTTAATTAAAAGAAAAAACTTGTTGGTTTTTACAAATTTACAAGACATTTTTGTTAGCACAACATTAAATTACTTTATTCTATAAATTATTTATTAAAAACAATTTGTCTTGTTTAGAATGATTTATGAAAAATTAGCAACTGCCCTAAATGAGGAAGATGCTATTTTATATAGAAATCGTTATGAAGAATTAGAGCCAAGCTTGCGTTTTTGTGCTTATAATATTGGTAATGAAACAGATGTCAATCATTTATTGCATTTACGTAATCAAGCACAAGGGGATTTATTAGTTACTTTGGACGTTAGTATTTTATTAGAAAAATCAAATTAATATTTTAATATGTAAATAATAAATTGTTTATCAATTTAGACTTTGATGGCCCAAACAAGAGACTCATTGAGCGAAGTAACTTGGAGAAATCGTACAGTGCCAGTAAAGAATTCTCGTGTTCGGACTTTTTTGTTGGCTAATCGAGATTATGATAGTATGTTGGAGAAATGTACAACTTTAGCTGAAAAAAGTGCTTCATTAGAACAACATTTGATGGATTGCAAAGATGCTATGCTTGCAATTAGAGATGATATCAAAACTGAACAGGTTGTTTGATTTTGTTTGTTTTTATTATTAGGCACTTAAATTGGAGAAATTCTAATTTTTATTTCAGAAAACTGACGGTTCTTTAACTTCTTCAACATCTTCGTTCCAATATCTTCATACTTATTTGTCATTTATACGTTTGGAAAGATCAATTCAGCGTAATTTATTATTAATTGAAAGTGCATTGCAAAATGATAGCAAACAAGGAATGATCGTATGTTCATAATGATATTTTTGATTTGAAATTATCATTTATTTTTTGTTAATTTAACTTAGGGAAGTAAGAAACTTCAAGACGTTACCAGATTGTATGAGATTTTGTTACAAAACATTTCGGAAGAACAACAGTTGCCAGGTTTGGAAGATGATTCAGAGTTCCAAGAAAATTTAAACATCAAGGCCAAAGCATATAAAGCATTTAGGTTAATCAATAATATTTCCATAGTGTTTATTATTTCAATTATATTACCATATTGTACTTATTTTTTCTTTCTTTAGATGCTATTATATAGGTCAGAGTTTAAGTACTCTGCACCGTTGGAGAGATACAATGGCTATGTATGAGCGTGCATTATTCCATGCATCTTCTGCTATTAATCAAGTTAATGATGATTTGAAAACACGTTTAAGTAACTTGGTAGACACTATAGAGTCCTCTAAATACCGTGCCCATGCTCAAAGTGTTCTTGAACAAGACAACGAGGAAGAATTGGATAGTTTGAAGAATGCTAAATTACAAAAGGTATTATTAATAATAAATTGCTTGTTTCTTGTTTAACGAACATTTAATTAATAAATATAATTTTAGTTGCCTTTAACAAAACGGTTGGAAGAGTATTATGAAGATTCGAGTGTATTAGGTAAAGATCCAAATATTATAAAAATACCACCTGAAATGGAAGAAATACAATGCAAGCCATTATTCTTTGATGTTGCATTAAACTTTGTAAAACTGCCTGCATTTAAGAAACAACAACAACCTATTTCTGATCCAGTTAATAAAGAGGGTATTTCTGGATTTGTGAAAGGTTTGTGGGGTTGGGGTGGAAAAAAGAAGTAAACATAATTATAGGTACTTATTTGTATTCTTGAACTATTTTAAATATTTTAATATGTAATTACATATTGTACATGGTTCAAAATATATTTTTTATGTTTTAATACAACATAAGATAAAGTTAAAACAAAAAGATTTAAACATTAATATATGTCTTCTATTTTGTATACAATATTCAACTATTCCCGACTGTAGTCTCTTCATTTATTTTTAATAATAATAATAAAACAGAATTGATAATGGTTTGTTATATAATAATTATTTACAAATTTATAATAAAGGTAGTGGCATATCATGTTAAAGTATATAATGTACTTGTATTTGATAATTAGTTTATAAGCGACAGTAATATTACAAGATAAGTTAAATTTAATATTTATAAATAAAAATAAATAAATACAAATTTTTGATGTTAATTTTTTTACCGTCTAACTAACATGTCTGTCCACTTTTATCTCGTCTTGCCGCATGACTTCTGGCATGCTTTCTCAAGTGATCTTTTCTATAAAATGCTCGGCCGCATTCTATGCAAGCATGACGTTTCTCACCTGTATGTACTACTTTGTGAAGAGTTAGCTGTTCTTTGCGTTTAAACGCTTTGCCACATATTGTACATGCGAATGGTCTTTCGGAACTATGGCTCTGTCTGTGTCTTGTCAAATGATCCTTACGTTTAAGCCCAGCACCACAAATGTCGCAAACAAACCGTCGTTCTGTTGCATGAGTACTAAGATGTTCCTCCAACAAATGCTTGTCCAAATATTCAGCTTGACATTCTGGACATCCGAACATAGTTGTCCCATCCGCACAATTAGTAATTCTTATTTGACCAGGCTTTGGTTTGAACTGTGGAGATGTTAAAGTTAAACGGTTAGTGGTGTTAGTTGGTTTTTCAGTCTTTTTCCTTTTCTTGGGTTTTGGTTCTTCCTTTTCTTTAATGCCTTCTCCAGAATATTTTAAAAAATGATGCAAAGTGAGTGTTGCCGGTAAATGAGATAAGTAATCTGCTACTGTTGATCCGGGTGCAGCAATGCTCTGCCACGAAGGCGGCATTCCGCTTGGTTGAGTAACTTCACCTTCGTTTGAATAATGAGACCCGTTATTGCCGTTTAAGTGTATGCCACTCATACCAGCATAATCCTGGTCCATTTGAAGTGGACCAGAAGCAAAATGAGTGCCTATCATAGCGAAATCCATTTGCTGGAGGATATCGCTTGAACGAAACGTTGAAGTCATATTAAATTATTGTTTCACAAATAATTTGCTTAAAATAACAAAAATGAATAGTATTAATATTAGCGTAAAAACTACACGACGCGTCGAAGAAGGTAAGAGCCGTCTAAATCGCCCAGTGCGGTGAGTTACAAAGTAAAATATTAAAAACCACTATACAAAATGGTGGTGTTGATTTTATAATCAATAAAGCTACCTAAATGAAAAAAAAAACTAAAGCCCACTTTCTTCCATGAATAATATTTTGGCGCCCTTTCAAATACTATACTTGTATTATCAAGAAATATTCAACTATTCAGCTTTATTGCAGCAACAGCAGATTATACCTATTAGGGTAGAAACTGTACAGATATAATTCCTGATGACTGAATATTTGTTACTTATAACCGTACAAGATACAACCATAAAAATTCGACTCCTTTTTTTTAAATTTCTATCGAAAATATGTCGACCATCATGACACGGAAGAAATTCACAATAATCGTCTTAACGAATTTACACAGACTCTACTATCGCTCACCGAATTTTATAAAAAACAAAAAAATGTATAAGCATGTATGAATGACTCATGATTCATATGATATACAAAACAATTGAATACCTATTTATAGATACTTTCTAAGAAGGTACGCGTATATTAGTGTCACGAACTCACGACTTTGGTCCGCTATCTATATCGATGGTTTTATAGTTAAATTAATTCAAGACGAATGTTTGAAAGCTCAAGTTGTCTAGATTATACTTATCCAACTTCTCACCTACATGATCACCCATCATGCGAAGTATGTCAGTATTAGATTCTGAGCGTAGCAAGGGAGCCATTGATTTTACAAAGCTGTTTATTTTTATTTTTTTTTCTTCTTTGTTCCAGTCGGTGAACAACTTTTATACCAGCAATTTTGATTCAATTTACAATAATAGCATTTTTTCTGAAAGGAAATTTGACTAGGAAAATACTATAAGAATGTAATTTTTCGATTTTTTCAAGTATTTTTCCAGCAAATGTGAAAAACCGGGAAAAAACATGAGAAAAACTGTAAAATTGGTACAATATTAAACAAATATTATAAAAGAAAATATATTATGCCTATTTAATTATTTTACCATAATATGATATATATATATTGTTGAGTATTGACAACGTAACACTATCAACCGAACTCCGCTCAGAATCGTTTTTTTTGTTAGCAATGGTTAATTATTGCGCACAGACATACATTAAATTCTCGTCTATATCCTACCTTCCCAACTTCCCACCTACAACAGCGGCTGCACCCATCTCCATTATCCTAGGACAACTTTCTTTAATACATTTTAAATCTGTACAGAGACATTTTTTTTTGATTTTCCAAGTGGTAATTGATGTGACAAATTATCAGAAAAACTGACAAATATTTATGGCACGTCACAGCGTTACCAACATTTTATTATTTTTAAATAGATAGGTACAGTGCCGACGAAGCTTATAATTAGGTACTTGTATGGAGAGTCACCTAACAACTTACCCACCCGCCTCCGGAAAATTTGTAAGTTTTTTACAAAATACAAACAATTTATTCCTTAGGTATACGATATACCTACTTATTAATGATTATTATTATTATTACTCCCACATAGAGGTAAAGTACAACATACCTAGATATTGGACCCCAGGAAAACCTACTCTATGGTTAAAAGTTATCAATTCGTTATTTCATAAATTCATAATAATATGGGAAACCCACTACATCCATGATGTCAATGTATATTATATGGGTAATATGAGGCCCCTAGAGCACAAGCAGTTTAAGTGACATTATTAAAAAAATCTAAAAACAGCCGAACTTAAAATACTCCATCTCATTAAAATAATCTTCGAAGTAAATGGGTACACGGGTCCACAACGTAGGTGTATAATGATCTAAGGTCCTTAACAACTGTAAACACACTTCCTATCTTTACTGCCAAGTGTTTAAAACTTATTTTGATCATTCGAATACAAGAACAGTGATAAAAAGACAATATACTATGATAATTATAATAAAAATATAAATAAGGAACTTTAAACTTGATTTTCTCGAAATCAATAAAATGTCACTTATATCTTTTGTGTTTTAGGCGCCTCGTATATAATTAATGCAAGTGGCGCAACCAGGATTTTTTAAGGAGAATGTTACATTGTGTTAACATGAAAATATTTGAACATACTGCATAAGCTTACAGGAGGTAAGTTAATCAATTCTGTAATAAATTTAATTTTATGTATATTATTAAATGTTTTGTTTTTGATATCTTAAAAAAAGTATTAAATTTACAATTTAATTATATACCTATTGGAATATATTATTGGTTACTTGAAAGTGTAAATTGTAAAATAATGGGTATCCATAGAAATTTACCACTGACAAATTTAACTTAAAAATGCACAGGCCAAATTCTTTTACATCAATACATTGTTTACAAATTACAAATATTGGGAGAGCCTTGTCTATTCTTTCACTGATTGGTGATTAACAATGTTTAAAATTATTCATTGTCCAATAATATTATTATAATTCATATAATGGAATATTACACTACCTACTTTTGATACCTTAAAATAAATTACTTTCTATAAATAATTGTTTAAATTAAGGGTCTTCAGGCGGCCCCTCTTGTCATTAATTGCGGCAAGCGATCACATTTGAAATATAACATATTTTTTCTTTTTCGATAAAATTATAATGGTCATATACGCCATCGGTATCAAAAGAATTGGGAAATATGCGATAAGATAAATTAAATAACCTACTCTTTTTGGCAGTACTTACACTTAGACTTGTGAGCATATATTTTTATGAATGAATATTGTCAAATCAAAAGCTAGAGCTCAGTTAACTGACATACACTTAGAAAACTCGCTGATAATTGCATGGTCTCTGATCCAACCAAATATAGAAAAATTAGTTAGTGAAAAATAATGTCAGTAATCAGTTATTATTACATTAAATATAAAATAAATAATTTGTAATAATAAAATTGAATTTTTATATAAAATACACTTGTTTACTGCAAATACGGCCTGCAAGATTTATAGAAAATAATATGTGGCCCGCTACATAAAAAGGTTGGAGACCCCCCCTGGTCTAAATAATAAATTACACATTCTATAATTAGGTTTAATATTTATATTAAGTAGGTATATATTTTCAATACATTTTAGTTAACACTAATTTTAATAAAAGTTAGTTGAATGCAAAAAAAAATTCTAAAAAGTGAACCTCATTGGCCATGTACTAAAGCACCATATACTAAAATGCTAAATTTTATTATAAGTTTATAATTTTACTTCACTACGTATTTATTTTCTTTTTTTCTTTTTTTTTTTTGTTCGTGTCTTTAAATGAATACTTTTAAACACTGTAAATAAACGTGGTTATATATTAATTTTTTTAATTTTTATTGCAAGTCATCTTTTGGAAAATTGTTAAAACTACAACATAAGCATATCACACGTGCAGCTAATAGGGAATATTAAATATAACAAATTTTTTGTAATAATTTAACACACATAGTAGGTATTAAGTATTTATAAGTATAGTGTTTAATTATCAACAAGATTGTAAATATACAATTACATAAAAGAAATACAAATTAATATTTAGTAATAAATTGTAAATAATAATTAATTATTTAAAGTTAATTTTTTTTAATTTTTCAGCCTTTACTTTTTATATTGGAGCTCAGTATTTTTCCAATTTAACATAAAATAAAATAATTATTAAACATACTAAAGGCTCTGTAGAATCAAATAAATTACATTCTGTATCATATTTATTAAGGATTTGTAAGTTTGAACTGTTAGCCATGTCTATAAAGATATTAGGAGTGTATACTCCTTAAAACATAGTGTCTGTTCTTTAAATGAAAACTGCTTACAATTTACATTAAAAATGAACATAAATCAAAATGATACTAACCTATTTGACTAATGATAATTTTAAATAAATGTATGCAAAGTAAAAATCTGAAAAAAAAGAGGCCTTGGAAAGATGCAATTGTCATACTTACATCATTCTTATGACCTTTTATAAATAGGTATATCACTGTAAAAACAAAACCAAATTTACTAAATACTTAAATAATTTTAATTTACCAATAGAGTTCTTCACAATCATAAAATAACATCTTTAGTTGAAGATCTTTTTGCAGTAGTGTATTGTTCAGACTTTGAAATACTTGATATTTCTATAAAATGAAGTAATCAGTTGTTAGCTGTTTGTAGTGCTATTCAAAAAAAGCTTTTATATAATTTAAAAACAAATTGTAAAGCACTTACATGGTGTTTCATAATATTAAAATAGATGTGTTGGACTTGTTTTTATACATGTTGGAAGTTAAATGGATATTTTTTAACGTTTCCATTTTATTATGAATAATATAGACATGTAGTGGTAGTGTGTACCGGGCACTACATATTTCATGTGAAATATTTCAGAAACGTTTGTCTAACAAATTTCAACAATTGTCTAACAATATTGTCCCCTATGTTGTCCATGGTGTAATTAATATTGTTGGACCATTTATTTTTATTTTTCTCTCATGTGTAGTGCTGGGCATGCACTGTAAATTTTGAAGTTTATTAATTTTCGAAATTGTTTCTAATAAATTCCAACAAGAAAACAATTTTCTAACAATATCCAACAAGTCCGAGTAGGGTTTCTATTAGAGTGGTTTCATAAAGTTGTGCTGTTTATAGACCCAGGGTACCTTCACATAGGTAAAATTGTCTTATTTTAGACAAACAAAAACAAAATTGTAGAATATTTAACAATATTCAATGAATAAGAAAAAAACAATGAAAATAACTTGTAGTTTGAATTTATATCTATATAAGCTCTAATTAAATTAAGTAGCTAAGTAGTAGACCCTTAGCTAGTCGGTACTTATATTATTAGTATAATAATATTAATATTAGTCATAAATTTAAAAATTTTACTTTTGGTTAAATATTTCTTTTACTTTTGATTCAACTTAGTATAGTATTAAAATGGGTTTTGTCCACTTACTTTGACAAGAATTATTTGTTTTCGAATGTGCAATCAATAACGAATTAAGAGCGAAACATTCAAGTTTTATTGATTTATATCTTTGGCCAGTCAATTTAACTCGCCAAATCTTTTGAGTAGCATTTTTTCTGGTCTATTTTTTTGGTCGATTACTTTTATTAACATTGTAACAAACGAATATTAGATTTGAGAATTAAAAATTTAATCTAACCAACAAAAACGAAAACGATAACATTGTTCATAAATTAAGTGGAAGTAAATTAAACAATGACAAACGGTTTCTTTTATTTATACCTTGTTGTTTATTGGAAAATCCGCAATCCCGGCAATACGCTAATGCATTCAAGTCAATACCTGATCTGGGTAATAATATCTTAAAGAAATTAAGAAATATCTTTGACCATTAATAATTATTATATTATTGGTAATATTTATATTACATCTGTTACATATTATACTATTATAATATAATTGTCATAAAATTCGTAACACCATTTTCGATTTTTTTTCTCCTACCAGCCCAAAACTTTAACGGCCCTTCGACATTTTTTCAAATGCTCGAATGACAAATCCGTGCCTGGTTATAATCGTTTAAAGTCTGTACCAGAGGAGTAGGGAAGAGTTATCATTTTATCATTTTATAATAGATAGGTATGCAATTTATTACCCTTTCCTACTCCTCTGGTCTTAATACTCTACACTCGTAACTGCAGTTATAACTCATAAACAGTAAATCTGATATTATGTTTTATGCATGTCAAAATTTCCAGAAAATTATTTTTTATTCGAATTTGTGTTCAGAAAGGAGAGGATTCCTATTTGAAAAACAAAAGTACCCTTGTATATACTTATTTAATGTAGAGATATGGTATAAGGATAAATGAAATTAAAAATGGTTAAAAAATTCAAAGAATCCAAAAAAACAACAGTATAAACAGATAAATAATTCACTTCAAATCCTCCTGATAAAATTGCTGGTTTTTGATCAAAAAGCTGTTCTATGATGATAGGGAAGGGTGCAGCCGCTATTGTAGGTGAGAAGTTGGGATATAGACAAGAATTTAATGTATGTCTGTGCGCAATAGTTAACCATTGCTAACAAAAAAACGATTCTGGTTGATAGTGTTACGTTGTCAATACTCAACAATATATACATCATATTATGGTAAAATAATTAAATAAGCATAATATATTTTTTTAATATTGTACCGATTTTCCAGTTTTTTCACATTTGCTGGAAAAATTCTTGAGAAAATCGAAAAATAACATCCTTAAAAGTACTTTTCTAGTCAAATTTCCTTTTCAGAAAAAGTGCTATCATTTCAAATCAGAGCAAAATTGCTGGTAAGTTGTTCACAGAAAAAAAAATCATAATATTTTACTATTATATTTTGTACATTTTCCAGTTTTTTACATTTATTGAGAAAATTCTTAAAAATATTGAAAAATGACCTTAATAAACTACGACTCCAAGAAAATTTTCTTTCAGAAAAGGGTCTACATCATGTACATCAGCATCAAAGCTTTATGGTAAAGTGTTCATAAATAATAAAAAAAAAAAAAGAACATCTTTGTAAAACCAATACATTCTCGCTAAAATCACTGTTTATTTTTTTTTTTTTTTACATTAAGGAATTTTTTGACAGTTCTGCACCTAAATTATTTTTAACAATTTATTTTGAATTTTCTGATAAACATTTTTCGTATTTATTATTTAATTCTTCTAACCATCTCCATATTTTTAGATTGGCATAAAATTGTTACATTATTTAATTTTTTTTCAGATTTGGCATTATCAGTAGTAAGTCCAAACTGCAGTCATAGCTGATGTAGTGAGTGAATAGTTATATATAATAGTTAGTTGTGCCTATAAAAAGTATGCAAATATTAAGGTTACCAGGTTACCTATGCATTATTCTTTACAGAATTAATGATGAACTATAAAGTTTTGACTCTAAAAAGGTTGTGCCACTGTTGTAGGTCGGAAGTTTGACCATTAAACTAGTAAAATATGAAAGATAAAAAATGCAGCTTATCTATTCAAAATATAAAAATGTATATATTGTGAAGCTACTTATAATGGATATGTAGTACTGCATTTAGTGTGCTAACTTTTGTCATACACATTTTTATTTTTCATACCTGGACTCACATAATACAATAATGCTACAATTTTAATCAGTATATCTATTATACATTTTATAGACAAATAAGAATATATTTATACAAAAATAACTATAGGAGTATATTTACACATTTTTTTTTTCATTCCAAGTGCAACATATTTAAAATGTATCATATCATATTATGAAACAGATGCATAATTTGATATAAACAAGAAAACATCAGAACATAATTGACTAATTTAATTAAATTGTAGGAATAAGATAAATATGAAAATTATAAGTAAAAATAATAAATATATAAACATTTTTATTTTTACTAAAGTAATTCAAAGTGAATCCATAATGTATAAACGACACAGTAACTGTTAAATAATCAATAAATACACAAATTGCATGCATTTGTTTTTATTCTTTTTTTTATAAATAAAACTAAAAACAAAAAAAAAAAATTGTAATAATATGTTAATCATGATAATAAATGCATGTATTATTCAAAACCGTTTAACCAATAATTATTAAGACAAAATATAATATAAACTGAACTAAATGAAATTAATTAACCTAGCCCATACAACCAACAATATTAATGCATTATTACGATTATACAATACAAAACATTCCTTACACATAAGTATAAATATTAACATAAATAATAATATAAAAGTGATCGTAATTAATAACATTCAATTTTGCAGAAATTTTAACTATAAAATAAGTCAAGTTGTCCTTTTTTTTTATTATTTTTTTTTTTTTTTAAATGGCTAACAAAAATAGCTGTACAAAACTTCATATTAAGTAAAAAAAATATTGTCATTTTTGTTTTAACACTTTAGATCTAGATGATGATATGCACCTCTCTATTTACATTGTAACTTATCACATAGTTTATATTTAAAATTATAGAACATTATACATGTTACACTTTGTATCATGTAAATTACATTTTTTTGGTTTAGATAATTCAATTGACAAAATAACAAAACAAAAAATATTCTTAACACAAAATAACGGGTTCTTTTATACTAAATTATAATTACCTAGCTTATAAAGAACTAAGATATATTTGTTTACCCTCAAATCAAATCATTACGGCTATATCTAGTCATAGTGTACATTGTTTATACATTTTTAGAATATGTATACAATGTATACTATACATACATATGTGTAAATATGTGTGTATATTAAAAACTATGACTTATCACATTATTAATATCTGATGTCGTAATGCCATTACAGAGGAAAAGCAATAGACAAGTTAATTTAGTTTCTTTGTATCACAGTGCTTACTTAAAAAAAAAAAAAAAAATAATATTAATAGATCAAATACATTTTTCAAAGCATTTACAATTCAATTTATATACTTTTAATCATATTTGGTAGTAAAATCACTGCAATATAGCAAAATTTAATAAAATACTTAACTGATATAATACTAATAGTAAAAACGGTCCCTGTAAAGAATGTTAAAAAGGCAAATGTTAAGTCGTCTCACATCAAATTTAGTTTAAAAAGTAAATTAAATAAAAATAAAACTACCTATTAAGCATTAATAGGAAATTGATAATATCTGTTCTATTATAATTAAAAAATATATATTACAGTTCAATAAATTATTTAAGTTTAAATAAAACATAAAGTGGGGGCTGTATTATTATTTAAGTGTTTGTTAACAAATTTAAATAAATATCTTAAAATTACATTATATATATATACATTTTAATAATAAAATAACGAACAATAAAATGTTTAGTAAAAAATAAAAATAACATGTTTACGCAATATTTCCAGCAACAAATATAAGTTTTAGAAATATACAATTTGTTGTTAAAATAAAATAGACTATAAAAAACTTGTATAGTATATATATCATTAAATTATCTTAATATTTTAAAATTTAAAAAAATAAAAAATATTTAACCAATAGTTATTTATCATCCTGCTTCAATAATATTGCAGTTTTATTTTATAATGTAAGTGCATAATATAATGTTATATCATTTTTAAATGATTAGATTTTATAACATCAATAAATTAAGGAAGGTGAGCAAGAGATTGGTTTTCTTTTATTCCATTGAATTAGAAAAAGCATCAATGAGTCTTCTCCCCTCACAATCCTCTATACTCAACATTGCAAAATAATATTACAAATTCAATAACACCTAATAAAAATAATTATAATTAAATGATATAATAATAACAGTCATATAGTTATTGGGCTATTTAAAATGATGAGGTTAAAGTTAAACAATAATAGGCTAGGTTAATGAAAATTATTATTTAAAAAAAAAAAAATAATAAAATAAAATAATGTAGTTAAAAATTATAAATAGATTATAATAAATACCTAATCTCACAAAATAGTATTTAATATATTATTAAGCTTGTTATCATATCACCAAACTTTTATAATTTAAAACTTTGAGCACATCTGTTTATATTTAAATGTGATTTAAAAAATATTAAAAAATAATGGAAGTTAACTTTTAGATTGAATATTAGAAAAAAAAAAATTTACATTTTTGTATATTGAATGAATTTCATTAAACAATTAATATAAATTATCAATAGTATACTTGCATTGTTATGGTGGCTTCTGTTTGATTGTCACCTCTGCACTTGAAAGTAAAGGTCATTGCGGTTGGTGGTGCAGTAAACCAAGAGCTTCTCTAGCATCAGTTTGAGTTAAGACAATACTTTCATTTTCCCTAGAATCATCACTTGTTTCCAGTTTAGTAATAACTACTTGATGATGTTCCACAAGTGGCGGAGACGGACTATGGTGTTGTTGTCCAACAGTCTCAATGATCATTTCTTGTTGGGCCATATTTGGACTATTTGGTTGTTGCTGCTGCTGTTGTTGTTGTTGCTGCTGCTGCTGCTGTTGTACCTGTTGTTGCTGCTGCTGAATTTGCTGCTGTTGAAGTATAATCAACTCTTGTTCAGTAAGTTTTTGGTTGACTTTGGTGATGACAATTTGATGATCATTTGGAGGGGAAGGGGTACAATGTCGTCCACTAGCAACAGCATCGATTATCATTTCTTGATGGGCTAAATTGATGATTGGTGCTGAATGACCTTGATTTTGGATCAGTTGTGGGGTTGATGATCCTGTTAGCTTTTGACGATCAGATGTCGAAACTTGTTCAACCATTTGTTGAAGAGCTGCATGTTCTTCTTTTAGACGTTTGGTTATATGACTTTGGGTATGTTTTCTTAAATGGTCTCGCCGATAAAAACCTTTACCACAATCCTGGCATACTTCAGTCTTTACACCAGAGTGAATTACAGCATGCAAATTTAAATGTTCTTTTCTTTTAAAACCTAAAATTATTGTTAAGTTATTTTTGCCACAAATTAAAATATAATAAACTAAAAGTTACCGAAATAAACAAAATATTACCTTTACAACAAACATTACACACAAATGGACGTTCTGGATTATGGCCTAATTTATGTCGTTCTAAATGTTCTTTTCGTTTAAGTCCGGCACCACAAAGGTCACAAATAAACCTTCTCTCTATTTTATGGGCAACTAAATGTTGTTCGAGCATTTCCTTATCAGGATAAGCCATACTACATTCAGGGCAGCAAAATAAAAGAGTGCCATCTAATGCTGTCGCAATATGTATTTGTCCAGGTCGTGGTTTTCTAGCAGCAGGTGGTTTCTTTTTATACTTTTTTTTTCTTTTACCCTTTTCCTTAAAATAAAACATTAAATCATTTTTAATGACAAGCACAAACGTATTATATATAAATATAAAAAAAATATGATAGGTTTATTAAAACTAAAATATTTTGGTTAACTTTGGCTAACATTTAATGCCTCATATTGATATTATATAATTGATAACAGTTTGTGTAGTTAATTATAACAGTCAAATATAGATAAATCGTTTTTTTAGATTTCTTCCAGTTGATTCTGTTTTATTTTACTTACATTTATAAACTGTTTAACTAACTATGTCTTTTTATGTTTGTCATAATTTCTAAGATTCATAAAATTTAGAATATTATAAATTTATATATTTTTGTCATAAACTTTGCTAATTTAGAAAAATCATAACACTCTAAGAAATTGTGTTAGTTATCAATAGTGACACACAAATAATGATAATGAGAACATAAAAACTAGTCCTCCATCAAACACTGTCTAGTGATACACTCAAAACACTAAATATAAACCTAGATAAAACGCACTTATGAGAATGAAATAACACCTGCCATACTGAGATTATATATCCAGATTTTACCGTAGCTGTATCATCATTGATAAAAACAAATCTAGAATGGAAATATGTTTAGTTACTTTAATTAATAAATAAAATATTCATATGAAGTTTGTTGAATTATGAATAACTAAAATATTAATTTGACTTTTTAACGAAAAAAAAAAATTAACTATTAAGTTTATTTTCCATTTAAAATATTTTATTTTTTATGAATATACAAATTTAAATATAGCTACATAAAGCAATATAATTATAATTACTTGATTATTGGTTTCTTCAAACACTATCATTTCACTATTGCCATCTTCTTGAGCACCAGATGATTCCAAATTGTCTCGTTTAGAATTATCTGGTGAAAATTTTAAAAAGTGTCCTAGAGGTATATTATCATGGTTCATTGATATATAATCAGCCAATGAAACAGAATTATTCGTGTTAGAAGAGTAAGTCATTACATATTGATTGCCTATGAAAAAATTTAAATTATAAAAAAAATTTCATTTTTTTTTTTTTGCTAATATTTAACAGTTAAATTACTTACTTGAATCTTGTTCATTTTGAATTCTTAATCGTTTGTCCGTCTGATTGTCTTTTTGATCGTCAATTATTTTGTTATCTTGCTGATTACGCCGCACTATCATATCTTGATTTACCACTACTGCTAATGGAGGAAATGGCATACCATTACTATCTGTGCCGCTTTGTTCGATAATTACTGGTTTAACATCTTGTATCATTTCCTAAAATATATCATTTATTTAAAAAAGGAACATAAAATTAAAATAATCAATAATTTTTATAATTAATTACTTGGTCCTCTTGTACTTCTTGTAATAAATCCGATGATTGCATTGAATCATTGTTGTTATTGTGGATTTGGTCATTTGAAACATCACCTTCTTGTTGCAACTGATAAATAAATAATTCATGTTTCATGAATAAATCAAGATATCATGATGTATTGTTACTAACTTGAAGTTGAATGCTTCCATTATCTTGTTGTTGGTTGTATGCTAATTGTATCATTGGTCCAAAAACTGGTAATAGTTTTTCTCCTGATATACCACCTTGACCAACTACTTGAATTTGTATAGTTTGACTTTGGTCACCAGGCTTCATACCCGGAACAGTTATGGGAATAGTAAATATCTAAATTAAAATAAAAAATATAATTAAGCAGGTAATTAAGTAATAAAAAACACGCTTTAAATAAATATTAAAAACCTACTTGTCCTTGTTGGCTAGAAGAACCAACTCCAGCTAAATTTACAGAAAAATTATTTGACTCAATCGGTCTCAAGTAAGTAACACCAGCTTCATCGCTGTTTAACAATGCAACCACTTGTCCACTAGTATTTGATGTGTTGACAATTGTATTGGTATTAACAGTAGCCGTTTGTTGTTGTACATTGGTATATTTGTTGCTAGTATTTACTTGAGTCATGTTTGCACTTGAACAGGTGTTGAATGAAGTTGCCGGCGCAGCGGTCACAAATGTAGGATAACTTCCAGTATTCATTATTTAAACTAAAATTAAAATATTTAAGTTTTAATAAATAAGAAAATAATTAAACGATAGGTACCATAATACAAATCCTTAATTACATGAGCTTTCAGACGAAAAAAAATTAAATAATAGTAGCTTCCCAACATTATCTACTGGTATATAAGTATTAAATCTTAGTTACATTATATTCAACCATTTAATATGTTTAAACTTTAAATTTAAATATCAGACTATCAAAAACCAGTACCTAACAAACTAATTTGTGTATGAATGAGGCCATATTTCAATAAAATATATAGGTATCCATAATAAATACTTGTATTTATTTTTTAAAATTACAATACTATATTATAAAACAAACATTTTTCAAAAACTATAATTACCAATTCTATATCCCTTTAAGTTATTTAAATCATTATTAATAGTCAAGTAAATTCAATATTGCATAATCATCCTGTAAATATAGGTAGATGTGTAAATTAAAATTGATATCGTAATGTTATCATATTAATATTTTTTTAATAAAAATAATGATAGTTATAAATTATAATCTATAAGTCACCCAGACACATCGTAAATATTTTGTTTCAGTTATTCAGAAGTTAACAGTAAGTAATAAGTAAAATAAATGAGTTCTATACGTTTAATATCTACCAAGTATCAATATTATTTTATTTTTCTATTTGTTGAATATTTTAAAATTACTCTATTTAAAATAAACAAACAATATAATTCCCAGTTATTTGTTAAGTAAATGAATATTTATATAATAATCAAATATTTATAAAATACCCGTTTTACATTGTACATCTTTAACGAAAATCACTACCTATATACAATATACATGTTTATGAGTACTAAGAATAATTCTATATCAATTTATTATGTACCTTTTTGTATTAGTTATATCAATTGCTAGAAAAAACCTTTAGAAATTTCGAGAACTAAATCATTAAGTAATGAGGGTAATTTAAATTACACTATTAGGCTAATTTAGTTTTCATCAAAATATTATTTATATATCAGGTGGGGGTATTTCATTCAAACTTCTAAGAATTTAATTAATATAAAATGTATTTCAAATAGGTACCTGTTTACTCAAAGGAACATAAAATGTAATTTCTCAATTATTAAACAATTAACTAGGTAGGTACCAACTTCATAGGTAAGTTTAAGGAATATTATTCATATGATATCTCAATAAATTAAGTTTCTCAGTCAAAGTAAAACAAATTTTAATTTTATGTAATAGATGCTTCAGAACACTAATAGGGTAGTCTTATCTAGTTATCTAGAATTTGAACATAACTAATTCAAATGTCATTTGTTATTAAAAGACAATAAGAACATCTAGTAAGCATCATCTATAATAATTACCATTAATTATATTTTATCTAATGCTATCTTTTAAAACTTTTTGAAACAGTTAATATGATAATGATAAACAGTTTTAAAAATAAATAAATATCAAAAAAATATATCTCTGTGAATACATTTTCGCTCTACTCTAATTCAAAATTTGTAATTATTAGGTATTTGGTAAACTAAACAATTATGCAAAGGTAATTTAGTTTTAATTAAATTTTCTAAATATTATAAAATTATCTTGTTATCATAATATAGTTTAATGATATGTATGCTTAAAAGTTAAAATTGTATTAAATTTATCAGTATAATTTTTATATAGGTATTTTATTATAAAAACAACTTAACTGACATTTAAGTAAGTGCCTTTAGAGAATATTTAATAACTGAGATTGATAACGACTATAATATGAACACAAATATTACAAACAAATGATTATAACTATAGGCATCTTAATAGTTTCTGGTTGCGGGTAAACCAGTGGCATAGCTAGAGCTAGGCAGGGGGCGGTTAAAAATTTAAATACACCAAGGGTAAAAATACTATTCTATTTAATTACCTTTAGGATTAAAACATCACCGCAAAAAAAATGCCAAAGGGGAGTGGTGATCCACCCATAGCACCCCCTCAAAGGTAAACTGGAGTAAACCATAAGAGTAGAATAGATGTTGACCATACATATTATTAATTTTTATTATCTGCTACGAATGCTCGACTGGTTCAGTAACGAACCTAATATTAAACTTGATGTGGATGATTTTAAAAAAACAAATTTTATGACATGGAATATTATAAAAAAAGCGCCCAAACATACTTTCAGTTTAATAGATGGGCAAAGTCCAAAACTGGGCTTTATCAATATTCGCAACATACAATTTGTCTACAACTTGTTACTCATTATTATAAACTGATATATTCAAGGTTATACTTAGGTACATATTATTGCTGAATGTCGACTATGTATAATATACAATAATTATAATACAATTAAAAGAACATTAAGAAAAACAAAATTAAGATTAACTATAAAGTTGATTTGGTAAATAATGTTTGTGTTGGTAGTGATAAATGATAATGTAAAGGATATAATAACATATTGATAAAAACGACCACGGCCGCTAAACATATACACACACAATGTATAAATATTTAATATGTATGTATCATAACAAAGAAATTTTATACGCGGATTTTTTTAAAGTAGATATCTACTTTGTAATATTAAAAAATTTGATTACCTAGTACCTACCTAGAAACGAAACAGAAAAAAAAAAAAACACGATAACGTTTATTTATATTCATAAAAGATAAAATACCTAATAAGATAATATCGATATTCGGTTGCTAGATTTTTACAACTATATAGGTATAATTAATTATTGTTATTGCACAGTGTTATAATATTATTTGATTAGGGGGAATTGATGATAAAGTTGAACGTACAAAATACTGTAGACGATTACGACGGTGTTTGAACGACGACGTCAAGCCATAATACAACGATTGACGTTAATAGTTTTTTTTTTTTTTGATAATTAGAGATTTTAGTCGATCTACAAATAGGTGTTTTGGGATTATTATTTTCGGATGGATCGTAGAGACGAGTCAACGTACCTATACGCCATGGCGTGTGTACAATACAATAATATTGTGTACAGCCTAAAAAAAATAATAATAAACAATGTAGAATCGTTGAGAATAGTAGTATTAGGTACCTTTTGTTTCGAACTGGATTGATAATGTGTTATAACTTATATTTGCAGACGTCTCTCGTTCGGGTTCGGCGGGGACAAAAAAAAAAAAAAGTCAACGCGACATTATTTGTTAATAACTATTCGATGAAAACCGCGACGGTAGCAGTCGACGGGCAACAGATACAGAAAAAAAAAAAAGTAAAGAATAAACCACAGACGAGACCAAACGGTTTTTCTCCAATTTCTACAAGTTTCCTACGTATCAAATAAATCGTGTGTGTAATAAAATAACAATAATGATAATATCACAGTAGACGTCCCCGAAAAAAATGCACACGCATCGGAATGCGTTTTAAAAAGTAAATCACACACACGTTGGCGAATAGAATGAAAAAAAAAAAATCACATACATACATATACACACACACACACGTACGTACGTACGTTCACACACGCATAGTACGCTAGTTGGTTCACGAACTGCGGCAATGTTACAGTGCGTATAGAGACGGTTGCAAATCGTAGCAGTACCTACACGCTTTCACTTTCTACTCTATCCAGTCGCGTATTTATAATGAAGAAAAAAAAAAAATTCGTATTATTCTAAAGAACCAGGATGTGACAAGACCTACTTAATAATAATAATAATAATAACGATGATGATAAAATTATCTAAATATTATATTAAAAATCTGCAATAATTGCGACGGAGGGTATAGGTGATACTTTCTCGCCGACCGACAAAATACGAAGACGGCGTATTCCCGTGCGTACACCAACCGCAAGCACGGCGGCGGTTTTATTTACCGGGAACCCAGTGGACGGTCCCGTGTGGTATACGAAAAAAATATAATTTGGTAACAACAAACGGTCAGACCGCCGTCGCCGTACGGGTGGCGTGTGTTGTCGTCGCACCCGCGCAACACTACCGTTATCGCACGCGGGAAGAACACGACGACGCGTGCGAGACGGACAAATAAAAAAAAATTAAAAAAAAAGGCTCCTAGGAGAGGGACACGCGGCGACGGCACACACCACCGTCGTTGACCCAAGTCGGGATGAAAACACACGCACACACACGCGCACAACACCACTCTGGTCCGTGTACAATAGTAGTAGCGCGTCAACACACATGTGCGGCAGCAACACCACGTAAAGGTAGGGGCAGAGCCATTTTGGAGAGAAGGCCCTGTACGGCGGTGTACGGGCGAACGTAAGCGGGGACGGCCGCGGCGGCGGCGACACGGTACTACTCTAGTACGGCGACGCCACTTACAATAGTAGCAAACGAAAACTCGACTCCGCTCGTTAATACTCACCACCGCAGTCGGACGTCAGCTTTCGGTGGCCCCGTTTCGACGTCTTCGCTCGGCTGAAGGGGCTGCTGATGTTTTGTGTTGCCGTTGCGCCGTTACCGTAATCGCGGTCGTCGGTTTTTCGGGAACGTAGGTATACTTACTACGGGTGCGATTTTAATTTTCACCCGGGCGATAAAAGAATGGACAACTAAAAAATGTATATATATATATATATATATATATATGTATAAAAAAAAAAAAAAAATAATGAAAATTAAACGCACTAAACACTACATATCTCTACCGCGCTCCACTCGCTGATTCTCCTCGTCGTCGCGAACACGGCGGCCAGTTAAAAACTACGGAATACCTTTCGCCGTCCACGTAGTATGCGCCATTACGATTGAATGTTTTCACCGTGGCGCCCAGGGCAGCCAGGCCAGCCGACCGACAATTCTTCGGCACCGCACGGTATTACCGTGCGCTGGTTGTTCTGCGTCTAGTTCACGCGACCTTGCCGCGAATTATACTTGTTGAATACCGCTCAATATACACAATAAATTACAATAACACATGCATAGCCCCTTATCAATGGTGCAGTATGCCGTGTTGGTCACACTGTATTTACCGTTATATCGCAAAAAAAAAAGTGATTCTATCAGCAGCTGCCTGCTTTGGCGTATTTTTTTTTTTTTTATTATAGATTAACAGCTGCAGAGTTCATTTCCCGCGTCAAAAATATTATTTATTTTTTTTTCCTCTTGATGACAATGATGCTATACAACAAACGCAATACATACATATGCGATACATGTAAATTAATAGGTTTCAAAAATAATTCTTTGGGAAAATATGTCAAGACGATTGAATAAATTGGAGGGAAAGAAAAACAATTTTTTTTTTTATTAACAAAACTCAAACTAAATAATTTATAAATTTAATGTCTCAACAAAATAATGTAAATAGGTAGTAAATTTACACTTACATGTGTGCTAAAAGTATTGCAATGACTATTTTTATTAATTAATACAACAATTTGTTTCTATTTAATTTATAAATGACTATGTTTAATACAATAATTTACTAAAAAAAAAAAAAAAAATATATATTTGTGCTTGTTAGAATTGCTCATGGTAATATAACAATAAACATAAGATACACATTTATAGTAAGACCCGGTCTTACACATTCATTGAAAAACCAAAACAATCCTATATATTTGCAATAATTGTGCAAATTATTAATTTTTTAAGTAATAAACCAAATGAAAAAATAATTATTCGCCAATTGAAAAATACTTTTGAAATTTTTATAATATATGAATAAACAAGAAAAATGTACAGTGTTTAAAAAAAAATCCAACATTACAATTTTGTTTAAGCTTAAACCCAACAAATTGAGACCATAACTTTTTCAATTTAATTTTATATAATTTGAAAACCAATGTAAACTAAATCTTTCTAAACACAAATGGTAACACAATTTATTAAGTAGACAAAAACTTATTTATAAAAATAATTATATTTTTTTCCATAATATAAAATGTCCAATCACATATTAGTTAAAAATGAATTTTAAAATAATTAAAATTCTCAAAAAACAAATTAAACCAAAAAGCTTTTGTCCACGTACAGATTAAAAATTATGGCAATTTATTTTAATTAATTTGATAACATTTATAATCAACAAACAAAAATAATAACAAAAAAAAAAATTTATATTTAATTGCACTTGATAAGAAAGATCCCCTATAAACCAAAAAGAAAAAAAAAATTGTTAAAATATAATTTTTGTTTAATTATTTTTTTTTTTACAATAGATATGTCATTACAGTAATGTACAAGGAACATAATGATTAGACATAGGAAAAAAATAATGACTGTCATCATGTAAAATATAGGGCTACTTTGTTTAATCAATATATCATTTATCTAATACCATTATGATATATATACACGCATATATATATATATACATATACATATATATATATATATGCGCATAAATAGGTAAATCAGTTATAAAATATGTATACCAAAAATACAATATCCTTACAATAAATTACATGTTTTGTCATTGATTGTAAGTATGATCTAATAATTATATTATAATAAACTGTCTATAGCTCTGTTTAAGCAAAATATCTTAAATCACTTAATTCATACAAATACATGTATAACTAAACATAATATTATACAGAAAGAAATACCTAGTTTGATTTAAGCTAGACAATTCAAAATTAATTAAATAAAAACAATTTATTTATATAAACATTATTTTGTAGCCCACTTAAATTTTTATACACAATTTTATGTACAGAAAATAACATCATAGGAAAAGACCTATTCAAATATCAATAACAATAAAAAGTTGTAACATATAAATTACCTTTTTTAAGGGACGCCATTTATTTCTTGTTTAAAATAATTTAATTTGGTACGTTTAGTTGGTGGTTCTTGAAAATTGTCTGAATAATTAGTATCTGGTTCTTTGGATTCTTCAAAATTGTTTTCTTCTACTACTTCTTCTTCATCAATTTCTTCAGGAACAACTTGTTGGTTTCCATTTTCCATTCCATTTTCAGAAGATTCTTCATGTTTGTATGTTTTAGACTAAATAAAATTAAAAATATACATTTCAATAGATAAATTTAATAAGAATTCTAAAAATATAGTATTTTATAAGTAAAAAACATAAATTAATATAATGTTAGTTTCTTAAAAATATGAGACATATTTGTGCAAAATAGACAATAGCCTAGCAGAAAAAAATAAGTCATATCTGATAGAAAAAGATTTAGAAACAAATTAAATTAATAGAAATCATGAGCAATTTGAATGTTTTTTTTTATAAAATTTAGACAATAGTTAATTATATATATATATATACAGAGTAATTTGAATGTTTTTTTTTATAAAATTTAGACAATAGTTAATTATATATATATATATACAGAGTAATTTTATTGTTGTTTAACATTTATTTCTTCACAAAGTATTAAATTTTTAACAAACAAGTAGCTCTAAAATGTTACATTAGGAAGCTGTTTCACTCCCAAAAATAATCATAACATAACATTTTAAATCTGCTTGTTTCTAAAAATTTAATATTTTATGAAATGAGTATTCAACAATAAAAAAAAATAAATACATAAATCGAAAGCAAAAAAAAAAGTTAGATACATTATTTATACGAAGATGAAATACTTTTATTACTAACAGAATACATTAGAAAAAATAAACAGTTGAAAACCATTATTCAAGGAAAAAAAAAAATAATAGCTAGACAATGTTATTTGTAACAAATACTTAAAAATGAATATAATAATTAGACAGGATCAAAAGAGAATCAAAAAAAAGGCCATGCAATTTTTTTTTTAAAACTGGAAAATTGATTTTAAATAGAAGATAAACATCAACAATCAACAGCCAATAAGTCATATTACTATAATCAACAGAATCATATTAAATATAATATAGTGGGTTCTAGTTACAATAATCGCTGTTATTTAAATTTTTCTTTTAGATGTATCTAATCTTTGGAAAATTAATTAACAGATATAAACGAAATCAGGCATATGCACTATCAATATAGATGTATCAGCCACAAACAGAGATACCTGCCATATTGGCATATACTTCTATTTATGAAGGTGGATAAGTACATTTTACAAATATATTTGTTGATGGATATGTTTGTTTGAACCTTATGAGAAGTCTCTGGTTAAAGACATCTATTTTATTGAAATTCATGCATGCATAATACTGTTGTCACGTATTAATTACACATTGGTTGTTATCAAGGTGTTTTTACCCAAATGAAAGAGTTCCAAATGTTTTAAATTAATTTGTTAAAAGAAAGTTTGTATAATGAGACTTAAAGCAGTCAAGGATTTAATAAAATAATTATACAGATAACTTTTACTTATTGAAACACGCACCATACCAAATTTTAGGTTTTTTTTATATGTATTTTTAAAAAATAGATACTTTAAATGGTATTATAGCACTTTTATAATGGAGATTACAATTTTAAATAATAATTTTGGAACAATTTCTTAATTAAATATATACAACATTTAAGTAGTTATAAAAACCTGTTCAATATTTTCTTCGGAGGTCTTCTGAGCATCATCAATAATTTCTTCATGGACATCTTGAACTCCGAATTCACCAGATTCTATTTCTATACCTTGTGTAGGATTTTTTTGAGATATATCCTCGTCTACTTCATTTATTTCTACTTGTTTGTGATGGTTAACAGCTTTTTCAATATTTAATGCATGATTTAACTTCGATCTTAAATAACAAAATTTTTAAAGTTTAATTAGATAAAGACATGTACACTGAATAAATTACTTACGCATCAAATGTCTGATCTATTGTTTGCACGATAACTGGTGCTTGGGGCAATAAAGACTCCTTGAGTGGCGGAGGAAAGGCAATGAAGTTTAAATTGGTTTTTGTTGTGCTTCCTATGAAAGTATGTTAATAATTATATAAAATAATGTATATACTAATTTATTAGACAAAACTTTTCAACATAAAAATATGATTCATATAACATAATTTCAGTTGATCAGAATAACAACAAAAAGCCTATCATGTGCATTAGATAGAATTTTATAAAAAAAAATTGCAAATATTTCTAACCAATATTAATTTATAGGCAATATATTGTTTTAATGAATGTTACTTAATACATCAAATTTACATTCCCTATATTATGTCTGTTAGATGTCAATGCTCAATTATCCAACTTTTTAATAAGCTATAATTACCTGACTGAGATGTTGGAAGTCCATTATTCACTATTGTTATATGTCTAGATTTACTATAAGTTGTCACAGGCAAGACTAGTCGAGACTTTAAAAACGTCAATTGTTGAGGACTTTGCATCTCTGAGGCTTCATTGTTAGCTAGATATAAAGTGAATCATATTATAACTATAATAGTGAACACTTGACTTGTTAAGAATGTTAGTAAAATTTAATAGTAAAAGTTAATTAATTTATATTATATTCGGTATTATCAAAGATGTAAGAAGCAAAAAGATTTTTTAATAATATTGATCAATGATAGACAAAATTAAATTCGATATATGTTGAACAATTACGACATTGATCTAAGATTATTTAGTTTAGATTGTAACATAATTTTCTAATTGTGTTTCGATAAATACTATGATAGTTGTTCATATTGATCTCTGCTATAAAAATTAGAAAAATTAAAAATATTTTCTACTTTGTAGCAGCTATAACAGAATGAATATAAAAAGAAAAGAAATCTGCTATACTATCTATATTATGTGCAATTTTGAACATTTGAATTTAATATTCAATTTTAAATACCTAATGGTTCCAATAATATTATTACAGTGCTCAAATTAGTGTGGAATACCTCGCCTTATTTACAGATATTCCAGTATACATTTATTATTTGTTTGAAAGGGAGAACAGAATGGTGTATATTTTGTATTTACATTAAAATTTGAACTTTAAGCTCTTTTCTTTTATAATAGCTCAAAGCTTAATTTTAATGGACTCATTAAATGGATTTTCACTAATTGCAACTCATAATAAACCTAGTGTTAAATTTTGAATTATTTTCACTTGGCCACAATTTCTATCATAAAACCAAAAAAAAATTCTAAAAAACTTAACAATTTCAAATAGCTATAAATAACTGAATAATAATTGCTAGGATGTTTTTAAAATTGTACCTTGGAAAAAATACTGTACAAAGGAGATTATTACCCACGTTAAGTATTCAGTGAAATTTCCGGCTTCTATAATTATTCTTCACTGAATAACAACAAAAATATCAAAATCTAATATAACACCGTTATCTAAATATTATAGTTATTCCAATGAATTTTCTAAAGTTCTCTCTACAATTATGAACTATACAAAGAAAACTTAAAATAATCTCTTCTTTGCATCAACTAGACAGAATTTTTTAAATTAGGATTTAGTTCATTTTTATTAGAAACTATTACCCCAGAAAAGTTAATGATCTAAGTAAGTTTTCTAGTAGAAAAGTTGTTCTAATACAGAAAAAATAACAAAAACAAAAATCATAGTAAAATTTAAAATAAATACATATTATGCAAATAAAAAGTTAGCTAAAGTAATTTTTTTTTTTTGAAATTATCAATCAGTGAATTATATTTAAAAGGGCTAGGTTGAGTACAATAATTAAAAGGGAAGCTAATTTTTTTTCAAGTCTTACAGCCTCCTAATATTTTTTGTTAATTCGAGCACTGATATTATAATTTTTAAAATCTAAATATTATATGTCATTTAAATTTTTAAGTCAATATTAAAACAAAATTCAGTGCTATAACTAGGCAATTGATTTTGTGTCTGGACAAATCCATAATAACTAGGTATCAGTGTTGGCCTGGACAAGGCATCTAGGCAGTGATCGTTACCCGGGCCCCAATATTTTTTTTTCTACTTTAGATACACGGAGTACATAGGTACATTATAATTTATAAATAATCGACACACCAACAAAAACTTAGATTTTTTCTAAATAAACAAACAATAATGATTTGGAGAAATATAAGTACTTATATAATAGAAACTCCTCCCCCCAAAACACAAAATAACTGTTCGATGGTATACAAGTATAATATATTTCAGAAAGGAACTACACGTTCGCATAATATAACTGATTATATCTTAATATAGTCATGTAGATTCTAAGCACTATTTGTTTTTCTTATTTAAGCGATCATTGTTGTAATATTAACACTTATATAGTGTAATTTTTCTTAAATTAAATTCGACTGAGGTACTTTAGGGAGGTCATTAATACATAAGTGACATTTATTTTAATTTGTAATAAATTAAAATTTATTATATTAACTATTAAGCCTTAAAAATAATAATTGAATAAACTTCATCCGATGACTTAATTTATCTACTTAACACAAATATGAATAATGAAAACAATAATGTGAGTGGTCAGGTAGGTTGGGGTCCTAAAAAAATTTGATTAGAACTATATTATAGTCAACACATAGTTTATTTCAACTTATATTTTGTAGACTGATAAGTGATCACAGGAGGGATATAAATATTGATATATTAATTTAAATAGATAAAGGATTCCTTGGGGATTATTAGCCCATCATTTATCAAGATCTCCCATTCAGGACTTTCATTATTGGTAAGGCATGGACAAATTGTGAACCGCAATTTAGTTTTAGAGAATCAATTTCTCAATAAAACTGAGATTTGGATGGACAATTATAAAAATATATCAAAATTCTTTTTGAACCAATTCTATACAATGATGCTATTTTTACCATGAAGCTCACAACGAAAAGTGCATTTTGTTAAAATATTGAGCTACTAATAGTGTTTAAATAAAACAATATTAAAATTATATACATAATGTATTACCTTTTTAGCACTTTTAAACCAATCAAGTCTAAAAAAAATAGACCATACAGTATTGGGGATTTGAGCCTTACTGTTTTGTTATTTTTTTAGAAGTTTTAGTTAATAAATTTGGCGGGGGGGGGGCGTTGGGTAATTTGTAAAATTTACTATGGGCACCATGCAGAGTAGTTACGGCACTGACAATGTTGTAAATTAGTCAATATCAACATATTATTTACTGCTTGGTAAAAAAGATTTTAACAATATTGGTTAACGAATAATACCATTATAAAAAAAGTATTATGTGTATCAGAAATATACCATTACATATTTTTTAATATAAATAATGATATTGATTATGAGGACCCTACATATGAATTTGTTGACCGTATCTTACAAATGTATATCGTAGCAAATTTGAATTCAACAGAATTAATTGTGTGTTTTTAGTTAAAAAAGATCAGAATAATTTAATCTATAATCTAATTTAAAAGTAAGAACATTATATGTTTGTAAATAGATTTTTTCTAAAATTTTAATTTTCAAGCAAAATATCATTTATAAATTGATAATGTTCTTATCTTTAAACAACATATACATATTTGCCGTCCCAATTATTGTCACTATCGGTACGCAAGTGATTTATGATAGGTTCAGGTCGCACATGTATATGCGGCTTTAAGTTTGATAGTAGGTCAAATCAACTTTATATTAAAACAAATAGCCCAGAATGAATTATGTTGATCACAAATTTGCTATTGCATACATTTATGAGGTGGTGACAATAAACACATGTAAATCGTCCAAGTGTATTTGAAGAGTTTATAGCTATTTTATTTGAATAAAATTATTACCAGTAGATGATACATAATGAAGAACACCATTAGTATGAGAAATTTTATTTGGTGATTTATTTTGGTTTGGTGTAGAGTTTGCCAAACAAAGTTCTTCTTGTTGTTGGTCTGAAGAAGAGACTGGCGGAGATGGTGAAGTTTCTCTGGACAAGGAATCAGCAATTGATAATTCACTACCACCAGTAATATGGTTAGGTGATGGCGGAGCACTCCTAACAAATAAAAATACATTTTATTTCCATGAAACATAAATATTTATACAGGTTACCTTGAAGAAAGTCCAAATGAGTTATGAAGCCTGAAACTAGGCACTCCTCTTATACGTCTACGCCGGAAAGCTTGCTCAATTAATTTTTGTTCAGAGGAAGGATCTATTCTCCAAAAAGCTCCTTTTCCAGGCTCTTCTTGAGATCGAGGGACCTTCAGGAAAAATATAAATAGTAATACAGTCAACCATAAAAAAATTATGAAACATATATAAGTTTTACTTTTAAAATATCAATACTAAACAAAATATCGTTTCAGAACCTTAATATACAGTAAAAATAGATATTGAGATGAGAGAATACCATAATTTAACAAACAAAGTATATAAAATATTTTTAAAACTCAATTTATACCAATGCAATTCTTAATTGTTATTCACCAACTCAATAAATTATTTACATTTTAATTTATTTTATATTGCAGTTTAATTAATTTAAAATAAATTAATACATTGTTCTTTTAAGCTTTCTGTACAAATGTATTATTTATATGGCATGTAGCCTAAAAAAAATAAAACTTTATTACATATTATTATTCTTTCTGGAAGAGGGAATCAGTAGACTCCTATTAGGGTAATTCAATCTGTCAAACAGTATAATCAATTCTAAACAAGGCTTTGATATTGTTCCATTATAGATGTGAGTAGGGTCAACAGGTGAAAAGAGATATCATGATCCATGTTTTGCGGATGATTAAGATGAGTAAACAATAGACTTGAACAACGGAAAGTAGCAATTGAAGGAAATGGTCTTAAGATAAATAGAAGTAAAACAGTTTGAAGGACAAGACAGCTAACAGACAATAAGAGGTTATAGTCAACGTGTTTGAGGTTTTAAGTAACTAGGATCTTTTGTACGAAAAAACAGTGGATTTCATTAATGTGTAAAATGTATTTTGTGACAATTAAATGACACTTAGAGTAATGTTCTACAGAAGTGTGGTAAGACTAACTATGGTGTAAAATTCTGAGTGTCAGACGGTAAACAGAGAAAAAGTGGAGAAATAAATAAATATTTGGTTGAAAAAAAAAGATTTCTTAATTTTAGAGACTATTTTATATTTGTGCATTATGCTTATTAATCCAAACAATAATTGTACACCTATACTACATAAATAGAATCTATAACCATGGCATTAACTAAGATCTTAATTTTCAAACTGTGTTCACCCAAAATAAAATTAAACACCTAAGTAAAATACTTCATACACAAGTGTATTATTATTTCAAAACCAAATATTGCATAATAATAATATACTTTTATTTAAAACTTAATTAAGTTATATTTATTAATAATATTATTTTAAGAATCGTGGCTAAATAATATAATTGTATAAGTATAATTATATATTTTTTTTTTTATATACTTCATAATTTGTATTTATACTGAGAAGTTTACATATACAGAACGATTCACTAAGCGTACTCACCCCATTTTTTGTTTAAAATTTGCATACATTAAAATTTTGAATTTTGGAATTTTTAAGTGTGGTTTCAGCTGATATTTTCAAATACTTGGATTTTTTTACAACATTTAAGCAATATCCTGTGGTGATACCAATTTTGGTTTTTCAAATGGAACCTGTATTAACAATTCATTAATTAAAAAAAAAGAGTATTATTTTAATTGAAATTTGGTGATTTTCTTTGGCAAGATATTTCACTTTTAAATTTAGGTAGGTAGAGGAAGAGTAGTAGAGCACTTATAAAATGTCACGCGCCGTGCCGCTACACAAAAGATACTCCACAACTCTACCTTATCACCTAAACTTGAAAAGAAAATCGTTAACACCAAAATTTATTTAAAGTAATACTCTATCAATGTATGGAATTTTTAATAAAGGTTTTCATTTGAAAAACCAAAATTGGTATCACCACAGGTTATTCCTTAAATGCTGTGAAAAATCTAAGTATTCGAAAATGTCGGCTACACAAAACTACACTTAAAAATTCCAAAATTCAGAATTCAAATATATGCAAAATTTAACCAAAAAATAAAGTGAGCATGCTTAATGAATACATAATATGTACAACATAAAATTGCCATGTATGTAAATTATCAATAATTATTAATTTAAAACCAAAAGATAAGCAGCAAAATACTTTTAGTATAAAAATTGATATTAATTCAATTTACCTTAATAAAATAACGATTCAACGACAAGTTGTGTCTAATGGAGTTTTGCCAACCTTTATCCACAAAACGATAATATGGATAATTTTTGGTAATATAGGAATAAATCCCACTTAATGTAAGCTGACGATCAGCAGCTGAAGCGACAGCTTGTACAATGAGTTGAGCATAAGAATAAGGCGGTTTAGATTCATCTTTAGATTTTGCATTTGAATTGCTATTATTGTTATTTATAGGTGTTGATCTATCTTGAATGACAGTATCGGGAGGACTATAATTTGGTCCCGTAGAAGTTGACGTACCATTCCTATAATAATCACTAACAAACTGTTCACTACCAATGCTAACATCAAAAACAGTCGTATCTAATGGGCTAGTTTCTCCGTCTCTATGTTGTCTGAAAGAAACAAATACATTTTCGTACAATATAGAAATTACAATACAGATTTATGTTCACTGTAGATGGAAATCTTACTTATTATCCTCTGTATAAATAGCAGATGATGTCGGAGTAGTTATCACACCTATTTGACCAGGATTAGCCACTGCAGCTGCATACGCTGCCATTTGTAAATCTGGTCCAAGTGTATGTCTATTATGACCTCCTCTAGGACTAGTTGGACATGAATTAGCAGCACTAAAAAGTGAAATGAAAAAATAAAAATTAATTACAATTAACATGAAAACCGTTTAGATTTTCTAGGCGTTTCATTTTCATTTTATAATTATTATATAATTATTGTACTCGTAATTATATTTTTGTTATTTGTAACATTTGTTTTATTGTGTTTTTACTTTGTCTCTAATAAACTTTTCTATTAAAAATCTTGTTTCAATCTTCAAAAGAAGTGTTTCTTTTGAAGCAAATTTTGTCTAAATGGTGCAAAAAAGTTTTTATTTTTATTTTCCTCGTAGGGAAAAAAGTACAAAATATTATTAAAAAATAAATATTTGTTATTTTCAATTTTGTTTATAGTTTAAAGTTTTGCCTAAAATTTTTGCAGAACACTTATAATAGTACTTACTAGATGTAATAAAATTTAAACTACTTATTGTCGTTTTTTTTTGGTGGGTTGTTAAAATTAAATATTGAATATTAATTAAAATATCATAGCATTTCAAAACAAGTCAACTAGCATTAGCATTAATTTTACTTACATTTTATACAAATATTAACAGAATAATTCTAAAAATCCTTCCTTCCTAACGTCCAACCTACAATAGTAGCACACCTATTGACGGATTCGCTTTTCTTTCCAATTTAACTTAACAGAATAGGTATTCCTTAGAACATTTACTTAAATTAATTAGATTTAGAAATCTTTCTATAAATTTCATATAAACCATTTTTTATATATGTATCATCTTAATAAAAGATACCTACTCTACCTACTCATATATTTTCGTTAAAACTTTATGATTTATAATTTATCAATGATAAAGAATTTTTTTTATAGTTACCTTAAAGTGCCAGTAGGAGAAGGAAATGGACTCATAAATCTATTTTCCTTTGGCAGATATGTGGAAGTTTCTTGTTTGATAACTTGAGGAGGAATATTTATGCTCAAAGGAGCATAAGGTGTCGATGCAAGTGGTCTAGTTTGTGTTTGAATAAATGTATTCTGAAGAACAGGAGGTGGTGCCATTTCGTCTATCAACGAATAGAACACTAACCGAATGGTAGTGCTAGGAAATCGCATTAAACACCTATAAAAAAACCAAACATAATAAGAACATATTTAAATTAAATAGGTAAATATTTTTAAATAAGTAGGTACCAACATAAAAAAGGATATATTTATTTATCAAACTACATTTATTTTGGACTAAGTATCTAGTATGGTATTTATTTTACTAAAACATAGAAAATACCAATAATAATTGTCAATTAACTAGAGATTACAATTTCAACAATAAGAAATATTTTAGGCAATAATATTTTTGATAATTCAATTTTTACAAAAGAAAATATGCTGTGTACATAATATATTTTGAATTCAAAATTAATGTTACTGTTATCTGTAGAGTTCATACAAATATTAACCATATATATATATATATATATATATAAACAAAATTCGATAAGTAATTATCACACCATTTAATGCCAATTATATTCTTCCAGTTATTTTCTTATAAATTATTATAATATATGATTATTATAATGAACTGCCTGAAATTGGTATTTTTATCAGTTCCATATGTATGATATTATTAAATCTTTCTTTGTACCTATAGAAATAAATAAATTTTAAAAAATAAAATAAACCCATAAAATATATAATAAATCTGTGGCCTGATGCGAAAAAAGCCAATGGCAAATTTTTTTTCTGATTGTATAATATTAATTATGCATTTTATATTAAGTATCCAAGTTGTAAATACAAAATTAACCGATTTATTTAAAATTATTATATTAAAATAAAAATAAGATTTCTTTATTTTAGTATCAATTACTTATTACAATGAAAATTGATTATATTATAAATTACTAATTACTTGCATTAATTATTATGCAAGTTTTAGGTATATAAAAAATAGTAAAACTTCCAATCATAAGGTATAGGAATTTATAAAATGCTTTCTTTCGCATAAATGTTACTAATGAATTGTAGAATTGTAAAGAATATTAAACATTAGTTCTCAAATAAATTTAACGATAAATACTTAGTAATAACAGTCTCATTTACATTTATATACATTTATAGTAACATTTAATTTATTCGCCCAAAATGGTAAATATTATTATTTGATTTATGGATAGGAACCTGAGAAGTAATAATTTTGAAGTTGGAAATATTCATAAATACAAAATATAATATCGGTCAGTGATGAAACAATGTACATAAAAAAAAAAAAAAATGATAACTGTGATTAGTCAAGTGGGTATAGTATAATTTTGACAATGAGCAAGCAGCGGGTACACCCGAATTAATTGAATTGATGATTGTGGAATATTTTAAAAAGCCATTGGGGGGCGTTAAAATTAAGATAGAAATAAAAGAATAAGTGTTTAGACCAAGGGGACTCTCGTTATCATCCGGGACCGGCGTACTTCGGGGGACAGTTGCTAAGTCCTAAGTCACATATGTATTATTTAATGAAAGTTCGGACCCGGCGACCACTACTCGGACGGTCGGCCAGCAACGATGATAAGAAAATTATCTGTGCGCGTCGTATGCGTAGTAATATTTAATAGACTATTTCGAACTTTGGCAACAGGGAGACCTTGAAAACCCGTTACATACGCACACACTAGCGCGCAGCCATTTATAACCAAACAACAAAAACACGTTATCATCGATCGCGTTCGTAACAACGTCGTGTTGTTCCCCGTCCCGTTTTTATCATCTTATTAAAAAAACAAAATATTGTGTGTAAACACAGAGAGCGGTCGCCGGACCGAAATAATAACGACATAACGTGGCGGGCGAGCGGGTGATTGCGGGGGGGCGGCGCCGCGTGCGATTTCCGAAAACAAACAAAAACGATACCAACAATAATAATAATAATAAAAATAATAATAATAGAAAATTTAAAAAACCCATCGTCCTCGTACACGCATGACAAGCACCGCCGGCCTTTTCGTGCTCTTACCTTTTGGGCAACTGTAGGGCCGGGGCACCCTTCCGCTGGAACACACCGTCCACGAACACGCCGTTCTTGCCGTGGCACGTCAGAAAGAAATTCGGATGTTCGTATAGCACGTCCAGATGACGGCGCGATATAAAGCTCGAGTGGCCCATGTTTACGTCCACCTGGCCCCTGGAGCTATTCCGGCCGATCACAATGCGTTTCTGCCGGATCAGGTACTCCAGTTCGCGGCCCTCCAGTTTGGCTATGACACCCGTCACGTCCTGGTCCGGGGCCCATTGCACGTTTGTCGGGCTGCCGGGCATGGACTTGAGCGCGTGCAGCGACCAATCCGTGTCGGACATGGTCCCTAGTGTGCACGGTGCCCGGACGGCTAGCGAGTTTCCGTCCCGTGTATCTCGTTTTTACCTACGTTGCGTACCGCGCACGGCACGGCGAACACACGGTCGAATAGGGGAAAAAAAAAAAGAGCGTGTCGGTACTGTATAGCGGTATAATGGTAAACCGCTGGGCGGCGAACGAGTATACGCGGCAGGCACCCGGTGTGTGTGTGCTGTGCTGTGGGCACGAGAGACGAACGCGAATCGAGTCGACGACGCGTTGCGCGCACGAGCACACTCAAAAAGCGGCGGCGACGGCCGTACAGACCGTCCGACCGACAGGCGGAGAAAGACCGGCGGCGGTGCGGCGAGAGAGTGAGAGAGAGAGAGTGAGAGAGAGAGTGAGAGAGTGAGCGAGAGAGAGCTAGTCACTAGAGCTGCTGTTTTATTTTTCGAATCGGCGGCGGCAGCGACGACGACGACGGACAGCGATGTGAACGACGAAAAACCAAAGTACGACGTGTGTGTGTGAGACTACGAATGCGCGTGTGTGTGGCAGTGTGCGTGTGAGTCGGTGTGCGTAAGCCAGTGAGGGGGAGTGGGGGGCACCGTTTGTTTACCAGCAGATGACCGGCGGCCTCGGGTGGAGGGTGTGTACCACGTGACGATCGAACCGCTGCTGCCTGCTGCCGCTGCTTCTGAACGGACACGCGTCGTGTCGCCGATGACGGTACGACGTTATTTTTTTTTTTGCCAACTGTATTATCTCGGTGGTGCCGACTTTTTTGGGGTTATGCTCTTTCCGAGTCGGCGTTTTCTGCGCGATTTTCAAATTAGCAACGAGCGGTAACCGCGAGTACCGAATGCGTTTTAGCGTTTGCACCGTCCAAAAGCGATCCCCCCTCCCCCCCGTGAGAAACAATAATAATAATAATAATAATAACAGAACAGCGAACACAAACACTATAGTATAGGATATTATTGTTATTCGTTCGGAGACGAACGAACCGTAATAACAATAATAATAATGACGATAACACGAATGCACGTCATTCGGACGGTTCGTCGGATGCCGGTGAGGCCGGGACGGGGAAATATTATGGGAGGCGGCCGCGGTGTTCGCCGTTCGGTACCCGTGCGCGCGCACCTGCGAAACACACACGCGCACTGTGTGTACGTGCGGGCGCGCGCGTGTTCCGGCACAAAACAAAAATCAGCTGATCACGCCGAAGCCGGAGTCCTCTATTTTTATCAGGCCAGCGCGTGCGTGCGTGTGTCCAATGTAAACACGTCAAACACGTTGTAAGCACCAAGCCGAGCGGCGCGCCGGTCAAGGAGGTTGGAAAACGTTCACGCGCCCGAGGGGTTTTTGCGCGGGTGACGAGTGACGACACGACTACTCGGTCAACGCCGCGGCCGTCCCGCGTAGTTGTTTTTGTTTATTGTTATAATCACCCCCCGCACTACCGTTGCTCCGAAGCTCGCACGTACCATCCGAACACTATTATTATTATTATTATTATTATTATTATGATTATATCGTACGCTGTTTGTTATTATTATTATTATTATTATTGTTATTGCGCCATATTTCGTATTCCGTTTTATTATTATATTATTATTATTGTTATTATTATTATTATGTAGGCGCAGTAGTGCAGTATGTATAATAATATTGTACGCCGATCCCGACGGTGCGCGGTACAATCGGACGACGATCTAATATTGTTATTTACTAATATTGTCATAACAACATTACAGTCCAGCCTTGCGACGGGCGTACAAATTATTACATTATTATTATTATTATAATTACTTATCGAAACGGATGGGGGACGGGGGAAAATCTATGTACAAACAACGGAGGCGGCGGCGTAATTAAACATCCATCGGGTACGCGTAATTTAATATTTACGATATTGTTGTTGGCCCGTCGCCCGGGCACGGCCGCGGCGCACAAGCGTAATAATAATATTATTATTATAGCGGACAGGCGGCCGCCGCCGCGAGTCGTACACGCCGCACCGGGAGAAGCACTGTCGGTTGCGGTCGTTCGGACGCCGGTTTTCGTTTTTCTCGGGCGCAACGTCGCCGGGTCCGTCGTCCGACGATTAGTCCACGATCGGGCGCGGGTACCCGGAGACCGATTGGCGCGCCGCGCCGACCCCGCCGTCGGAGGGTTTTTCCCTCCGCTCGCCACTCGGCGCGACCGTCTGTCCACCGAGTGTCATTATAACAGGTGTACGGCGTGCGCGGGACGGAAGGGTGTGGGGAGCGGCATCGGCACCCGGACCGGCGGGCCGTACGGGTTTTCGCGCGGCCCGTTCGCGTTTGGCGCGGGCAGCGAAAAAAAAAAAAACACGAGGTAGCGTCGCGCGCCTATCCTATTTTCGCGCTCGGGAACTGGTGATTCCTGATAATAGAGTTATTGTCCGTTTGCAACAAGTGTGCACGGTCGTATTACGGCCGCCCCGTGCTACGCCGCGGCGTTATTACGTTGCCTCGCCTTTGCGGCCGCCGTTTTCGCGTCCCCCTGTCCCCTGATTCCGCGGTTTTTTTCGTGTCCGGTGTTTAATAATAAATGCTGAAACGCGTCCGTTCGATCGGCGGGCCTCGTTGTAATATTGTATTATCATTATTATCATTATTATTATTATTATTGTTATCGTTTCCCGTCCCTCCGTACACCATAATCTAATATGTTATTATTGTTATTATTATCGTTACGGTGTTCTGGGTCGTAGTAGTTGTAGAGTAACAACACTGCACTGTAGTAGTGATGACGATAACAATGTTGTTGTTGTTGTTTTCGCTTTTGGATTTTTACCGGAGAGATAACGCGGACGAGCCGCTACTACAATGTTATTATTACCGCTCGGGCGTACGCGAACCTTATCTGAAATAAACGTGCTTAATTAATTACACTCGTTGTCACCAGTCCGTGTGCTTGCAGCAATTATTTACCGATACGGCGCGGCGTTCGCTCAAAATTGTCGCGGCGTGACGTAATAGATCGCTGTTGTAGCCAAGGCCGTGTCTAACGGCGGAGGGGAGGGGGTGGGGTTCAAATCCCCCTTCCGGAAATTTTCCAAAATTATCTCTCGAGATATTCGCGCTGATCGTATTGTAATCCCGTTAACCGAAATAAAATGTTAACGTACCTATGGTACGACAGTAATTTGAAATATTCTCGGGAAAATTGTGCAAAATTTAACGTTTGGCCGGACCGAGTTAATGGCGAGCCCCGGGGCGAACCGGCGTGCACGGATACTTGGATTCGATTTTAGATTTTGAGCGAAGCGACGAAAACGTTTGTTTGTTTTACCGTGATGCGTTTTGTTTTGTTTTTTTTTTCTGTTCGTTCATAAACCACTTTTCTATCAGAAATTTCGCTCTAACTTTAAATGGACTTTCTTGTAACGTTTTCGATCGCCAGGAGGCGAGGATGCAATTTACAAACCGCCGAGTTTTCGACCGTTGCGCTTGGATATATTGACGTGGCAGGGTCGATTATCAGAGGGCTCTGGGCATTTTCAAAACCGTTCGTAAACCGTTAAGGATTATGAAAAGCGAACGTTTTCTCTATATTGAAGATGAAAATAAAAATTAAAAATACCATCGGCCATTAATTATGTTACGTTAATTATATCGACCGTTAGGTATATTCAATATATACCTAACAGTGTAACGTTTCGGCTGCGTCCGAGTTCCGTCCCGAATGTAAAATTTGAATTCAAGAACATGTGCTAGTTCCGTCCCGGCCCGTTTTTTTTCTTTTTTTTACACGGATATACTAATTCCGTCCCTTTTTGCATTTTCTACGCTATATTATGAATATATAGTACACAATTTACGACCACGACAACGATTTCGTATTATTTAAATACAAATTCGCTATTGCTTTCAGTAATCGCACTAAATAAACGAATTCAACCATACCGTGTATTGTTTGGAAATAAACATTGTATACAATTTAACTTTTAAACTTTCCAATCATTATTTGTGCGTCTCCGTACCTGGATTTATTATTTTTCATTGTACTGATATAGTGAAATGGTAATATTTTGGACGGAATCGGTATGAAAAAAAAAAACGATTATTGGAACGGAATTCAGACGCAACCAACGTTTTTCATAATGAATCCGGACACCCGCGTAATCGTCTACACGGATTTCAAAAAAAAAATTTGTGTTTTTTTTTTGTTTCTCGGGAAAGCATTTTTCGGCGAGTAACAACAATGCTCAGAGTGTATTTTCGTACGATGCCTCCAAAGCGTAAGCTACTTCATACCGTGTATGTCCGTCCGTCAGTATGCGATCTACTCTTAGATACGATTTTTGCGGATTTCGGAACACGATTTTCACAAAACGATTCGTTTATTAGCTTTAAAGAAGATTCTCCTCGGATTTTCGGTCAATCGGTGTACGAAAAAAAAAAAAGAAAACACCGGAAGTCTGTTGTAATATTATACTATACTGTCTACGCTCGTGCACAATTGATGTTTTTTTTTTTTATACCTGAAAAATTAATTGTGGCTAAAAAAAATTTCATTATAACATAATAATATTATTAGTATTTCCATAAAAAGATAAAACACGAGTTATTTGTAAGACAATTAATGCATTAATTGTCGGTTGTTTTTTTTACGCGAGTTGTTTTTTTAATTCATTAGGGGCTAATTCTGGGTACTGCGGTCCGTATGGGAACAAATTTGTCGATTCGCGGTTGCAAGCGGAAAAAAAAACACGACCAACACACTATTGCTATTAAAACCTCGCCAGTGCACGGAGTTTCACTCAGAATCGTATGTTTCGATCGCAATGGTCCATCGTCGCTTTCAGTGTATTGCGATATAATACTATACGACTATAAAATATGTAACCTATATCCCATACTTACCAATATCCCCGACGCCTACAACATGTGCCTTATTGCTTTGCCCGCGCGCTGCGAAATAATAACGCGTCCGACTTCCTTTTTAAATATTTTTTTTTTTTTTTTTCATTATCAATACTACTATACAATAGTAATTGTATAGGTGTATTGTACGTTTTCGCCGATGGATTGAACGGAGCAAAGAAAAAACGTCGAAAATACCATCGAGATCTATACAACGCGTATCAGGTATTTTTTTTCGTTTATTGAATTCCGGACACCCCTGGCCGTGTCATCTACGTGGGTTTTTGTTGAAACGATTTTTTTTTTTCTGTGTGTGCGCGTTATAAATAACCGTTTATACAGTGGCCTGTATACAACGTGCACACGATCGACAGCCGATACGGTCGTTTTGTTAAAAATTATTTTGTCTACGGGCAGGTAGGACGCGTACGTGGGTATACGCGTCTTTCGGTGGGTAAACACGTCCGGGTAGAAAAGGAAAAGAAAACGTCACCTTCTCCTCCTCCCAGCGCGATATTATTATTAGAGCTCGCGATGGAAAAAAAAAAAAAAAACAACAAACACGATGTAGATAACGTAAACGATTTGAGATCGGTATCTCGGCGGACGGCCGCCGCTGGTGCGGACAGGACGCACGTGCACGCCAACATGAGGTTTATTGACGTAATCGTTTTTCACTCTTCGCGGTGAACAGACCCGCCGGTCGCGGTGTGGACGGGGGGGAGGGCAAACAAACAACAAACGTAATAGCCGAGAATGCCGTGGCGTTATCGCGTTTATCCGGTCGTCGGATTTCGTAAACGAAATCCCGTCGATACGGATTATAACGGTTTACGGGCGACGGCTGCCGATTGGACGAAATAATGTCTGTGATAATGTCACAGTAGTACCGGCGGCGGGTAGCCGTGGGGGATGATGTACGCGCGTAATCCGCGCAAAACGAACACTCCGGGCAAACCAATAAAATATCCGAAAAACAATTAGATCAATTGACAGAGGTGCTAGAGGGACACGGGGGGAGGGGGCAACGGATTTGTGACGAGTATGGCGAATAGGCGATTTTACGTTCGCATGAATTACCTGTACAGGGATAATATGGCTATACCTGCGGTTATCATGCTGTTGTATTTTTCACGCTCGGTAATGTTATTGGCTTATTGATTGAAAAATCGGCTTTTTCTTCGGATCCGGCTTTCGCAAACGCTCCCAAGCTGCAGGCCCGTCTATACAGTCCGGGCGCGAGGCAGGCGCGTGCCCGGGGCTAGGCGATGGCAGACAGGGGCTATTTTATTTCTAGCACTACGCCAAAGCGTCCCGAAATTAAACACATTCAAACGGATCAAACAACATAATCATTTTGAATTATGGAAATTCAAATCGCACATAATGGTTAAGAGATGATTGTGTATCTAACGTGTTGGTCATGGCTTATGGTATGGGTGTGTGCCGTTTAGATGTTTTTACAATGGGCTATTGACAAATATGTGCCCGGGGCTATGATTGAGCTTAATCCGGATCTGCAAAGTCGAGTTTAGTGAAGGAGATTTTACGATTTATTCACGGTGGTTCATTTATTTGTTTAATTTTTTTTTTTCTTTGCTTCTCGGGCACGCCACTGTCTACACCTAAGTGGCCAAGTGTAATATTATTATTTCGGCCGATAGTATCGCGAGATATTGTTATTCGTGTTATTATATTGTGCGTCTACGCACCGATAATAGTGTATAGTAATTTTATTTTGAATAACAATACGATAATAATAATAATTTTTTTTTGATTTTGGTCGTCGTCGACGACGGTTCGATTGTATTATTTGAATATTATTGTTATTGTTGTGCGGGCGCGGTGAAGAGGTAGGGCGAAACGTATAGAAGAAAAAAAACAAATGGTATATATTTATAGACGCAAATAAAGAGGGGAGGGGGGTTACCTCTACACCGCTCTCCGTGCCGGTCGTAGTCCACGGGTGTTGTTATTTGTATGCGTATACCTACCTACATTTGTATTATATTATTATTTTAGATTTTTGGATAAATATCATCATAATGTTATAAAGTGTATGGTATATTTATATCTTCGGCGTGTACGGTGTTAAAACTCTTATCTTTTTTTTTTTTTTTTTTATATTTATAACTTTACAGAACGTTTTGTTACGAAATTAGAAGAAATTTTAGAATATTACAATAAACTTACATAGTAGTAGGGCGGATGACTTCTTCTAGAATCTACACGAGTATTTGTTTTGCGCAGCCGTGAAAAAAACCAGCTAGAAAGAAATTATTGTTACATGCTATGACGAAACCAAATCTTTTATGTTGCGTATTTTCCACGGTTTTCTCTATTTTTTGAGATGTTTTTAAGTTTTTTTTTATGCTTTTTGGGAGCTTTTTTGCGTTTTCTTTGCACGACTTCCTTAAAAATAACGTTTATCAAAACGAAAATCAATTATTTTAACATTCGAAGTCCGCGCCCACAAATTACTATAATGGCCGTTTTGTGTCAGCGGTTATTATAATGGGCAAATACATCAATCAATAAATGTAATCTCTACTTAATCAATAAAAAGTAGAAAGAAAAGGTTTATTAAGACAAAAAGTTATAATTTGGCAGTGGTGTATTGTTATATAATTATTTACATTATATAATGTAAATTAGGTAGACAATTGTTTTTTTTATTTTAAATGTTCTTCTTTAATTAATTAATTATTTAATAATACATTTGTTTGATTTAATTTCACAAATTTACATGAATCAATTTTAACAATATAAATTTGAAATGACCATGTCTCCAAAAAGCAACGCTTTTGGAAGAGACTCAGAGTTCTATACTTAACACAATGTCGGATACTAGGTACTGTTGTAGCAGTAATTTTTTCGATGGTATCAAATGATAAAAGACATTGGACTGTCACATTACGACAGTTTACACTGTCAATTTACATAGATTTTGGATGTACGTATAGCACTGCTTCAGAAGTTCAGAAGCGTTTTTCGTTAGCAATGGTTTAGCATTGTTTTGGGATATAAATTAAATAACTCTATGTATTCTACTTTCTGTACTTCCCATCTACAACAGTAGTTGCGTTCGCCCTCAGTATCAGCTATTTTTTTTTTTTTTTTTATATAAAACAACCTATAATCTTTGTTATAATTAAATGCAACTATGTTTATAATATATTCAGAACGCGTTAATTGCGTGGCAAGTAAATATAATTATATTAGATAATATGTAATTAGTTATTAAAAAATCTTCATCTTTAGAAGTAGTCAAATTATTTAATGATTTATAAACACCATACACAGATTTGTAGGATTTGAAAGAAGAGATTTTTTTACGAACATAGCGAATACTTTTTCGTATACAGCGGTTACATCAGATGTAGTTCAATTTTATTATAATGAAGTTGTGTTTTTAAAATATTAATTATATATAGCCACGTAGGTAAATTTGGCGTAAAGTGGACTATCGGGAAAATGTACTTTCTTTTTATTTTGGTACAAATAGTATATACCCAAAACGAATTTTTTTTTTTTTGACACAAATAGATATTTCTTCATTATTTGTATGTTAAAAACTATATTATAAAGATATAAATATTTGACTTTTTTCAGGAAATCAATTTCATCCAGTAATGTTATAAGACATCGTATTAATACATGTGTGCATGAGTCACAAATTGTAAATGCGCCTTTGTTGAAAATTAATAAATAATCAAATTTTGATTTTTTAAATCAAACAACGAATTTACTGTTATACAACAACATACGATCATTTTTCAACTGAATTGCAACAAAATAACAAAATACAACCGCTATTTCCGTAAACTTTCCGTTTCATTAAGTTTTATTAAGGAAACTGCAAGGAAAATAAAAATAATTTAACGACAAAATGCATCAACAAGATAAAATTAAATCTAAGAAAAATGCTACACTTGGAAATTCGAGTAATATTTCTGTCAGAAAAGTTTCAACAAACAAAAAAAACACATAGGAAAACCACAGATTGAGTACATTGAGTACCTACTTAATCTGTGGTAAAACCAATACATTATTTGTTCAGAATCTATTCGATCAAACTTCGGATATAGTGGTCATCAGTCATCACATTCATTACATTATATTAATTAGTGTGTAGATATACAAAAAAAAGATACGGACTACTTCGCAGTTCACACTATGGGTGGGCCAATGTTTTAGGTGAGAAGTTGGGAAGGTAAAGGGAAAATTTAATGTATATATATGTACGCAACAATGAACTATATTTGTAAGCAACGATAAACCATTGCTAACGAAAACGATTCTGAGTAGAGTTCGGTTAATAGTGTTGCTTTGTCAACAATGTATTCATAATATGCTATATTATGATGAAATAATTACATAGGCATTTATATTTTCTTTAATAATATTTGTTTAATATTGTACCTATTTTCTCGGTTTTTATACGGTTTTTCTCGATTTTTCCCAATTGATCGCCTATTTATTATGAAGACAGCTGAGAAAATCAAAAAATGGCCTTCTTAAAGTACCATTTCTATTAAATTTATTTCCAGAAAAAGTGCTATATTTGAAAATCGGACCAAAATTGCTGGAAGAAAAGTTGTCCACAGAACAAAAATAATATTGTAAAACCATTACCTACATTCCTCGCTCCGCTCAGAATCTAAAAGTTCGAGCCACGAGTAGTTGAAATATAACATTAATTGTTATCGTTTCCTATTTATTTCGTAGAAAAAAATATTTGTTTAACCCATAGGTATAGTACAACAGAATAATATAATATATTTTAAAATCCGGTACTATATTAATGGAGAGTAGTTTGAGTCAATCGATGATTACTGAGTGCTGGCTGTACAAACCAGTTAAACACGAAATGTCTCGAAAAATTCCGAGCGATAGGTAATGTTATAAACGATTTATATTTTGATAAAACAAATTGAACTTAAGGGCAACATAGTAAACATAACAGACCTATTATAATAAAATGAAGATTAATAATCCGATTTATGTTTCGTGTATAGTTTTAGATTTAGAAATATTTTAAACAGATTCCATCTCTTCGATCGTATTCGCCGCTGTTTTTTTTTTTTTTTTTTAAGAATATTTTATTTTTGTATTACCTATTATGTTAAAATTTATTTACACGTTTTGGCGTATGCGTATGCCGTATTTTTAATGCATCGTCATTTTAACGCATAACATGCAAGTATAATTTATTTGTACCAGCTATATTATAATATAGATGTATAATATTTTTTAAATATTAAAAATGTTGGGAAATAATTTTTTTTTTTAAATAAATTACTTAAAACGGTATATACCTATAGTATAAATATATATATATATATATAGTAAGTATATAAAAATCATAACGGATATAATATTATATTTACCAGTTTACCACAGTACTATAATATATTGTTGACTGTTTTCGAATCCTATCAAACAACTTTTACCGCGTTCTTCTATATAATAATATTATGCTCCACAAGAAGCAATAGTTAATAATACAAACACATTGCGTCAGCTACTTTAATGTGTATAATAATGCTCCTAGGCTATACCTACATAGTTTTTTTATAACGACCGAACGACTGCAGTATTGTAAAATTATTATAACCATCATGCACTAGGTTTTAGAAAAATATTATTACACCAGTAGCCTATCTAACTATATAGCGCATTGTTTCATTAAATATTTTTCGTACAAATTATAATTTTTAAAAATCATGGGTTATAAAAAGTGCCAACCTTATAGCCGTTACAGGAACTTTAAACCGTTTAAGGTGTAGATACAAAGATACTTTATTAATACCTACTGAAATTTCTGGGTACCGACCGTGTTGTTCGTCCTTACCTCACGATAGTGGGGTAATTAAGGAAGGGCACAGTTGGCCCACTCCCGAAATAGGCGCGATGCATTTTTCGTCCGGGCGATTTCCGCTCAACACTGTTCGTGCTATTTCCGCCCGTTATCGTAATATTTACTTGCTGAAATTGTGCAAGGTGGACTATTCGCTCAAAATTTAAAATTATATAAGTTGTATGAAATTGTCAAATTATTATAGTTTTGATTCTGATTTTTGAACAAATGATAAATGATAGATATATGATTATATTTCACGTAATTTTATACGTTTGGATTTTCCATCATAACTATAATATAATAATGTCATCAAATTCATCAATGGAAGGCTTGAGCTTAGAGTACGTGCAAACAAAAGTTAGAAAACGTATACATATGCCTTTAGATCAACGTATCAAACAAATAAATACAAATTTCGAAAAAGATAAAAAATTTGAAAAAATGTTTTTTAAATTTATCGTTTTAGACAATTATAAAACATGTATATAATATATTCGTAAGTTAAGTATTAAATTATAATAAGTTGAAAATTATGTACTCGTAATATAATATTTTAATATATTATGGAAGGGTACCCTTTCACGCATGTGGAATGAGGTATACACGTAGGACGTAAGATATAGTTTCCGTAAATTCTCTGTTGCGTATCCTAGAATTTTTTTTAGGGGGTAATGAGAGTTGATCAGTTACATATCACATTATGATAAAATAAAAAAACTATAGTTTAAGATTTCCGGTAATTTTTGGAGGGAGAGCTGCAACTCCCATTAGATACACCATTGGTACTAACTATTAAAATTTTAATTTAGTATCGGTACGAATTTAATATCAATGAATTGATAACCCTGAACCATGATGGACAGAATATACATCAAAATGTGACCTAATACTCGACGTGACTTTTGGCTTTTACCCATATACTTTAACCTACGTGGTTTTTCAATTAGAAAAGTTTTACGTTTTAGGTTTATACTGAGGACATTAACTTTCTAGAAACAATATTTATCAGGTTTGCAGTGTGGACGAGATTTGTATGTTTCGTTCTAGATTTTCGGTCGTTCTCCTGTTACCCGGAGAGAAATGGATGGATCAGTTTTCCACTGCGGGCCATGGACGAGCGCTACGTACCTACAAACTAAAACGTGTTCACTCGCTGTTGCTGTCTTCTAGATAAAAATGTTGTGGGGATAGTATAAGGCGTGTGGATGCGTAAACATGAAAGAGTTTTCGTCAGTTACCGTTCTCTCGTAAAATGGCGTATAAAACCATTACATCTACTTTGTCGCCCTGTCAATAATAATGTAAATAAATATCCATAAATATTTTTTATGGTTTTTATTTCGAGTTTAATAATAATAATTATTAATTTCTATTTTTAGATCGAATTTCTCGGTGATTATAATATTATATTGACAATAATATCCTACTACTTATCTGTTCTCACAAATTTTTATTATATTACGTGTGTGTAGTTGCCCCCTTCCCCATATCAATCAAATCGAATCGGACTGATTGTAAGTTTAAAATCTTCATTTGTAAATGTTTATAAGTTGATTTTTGGAATTTGTAAGTCAAATCCGTTCCGTCTGGTAATTTTTCAAAAATTGGAGATAAGCGCGTATCCATGCAGTACTACCAAAATACAAATCCAAAAACAAAATGTGATTTATTGTTATTTTGTTTACCCACCTATATTGAAAACTTATTCAATTGATCGAGGACAAAAACAGTCAAATGTATTACCTATATTCTTTATAAATTAAATCTAATTATGTTTATAACTTCGAATTATATATTTGAAATAAATGACTTTGTATTTAAATAAAAATAAATAAATAAAATATAAATGTAAAACTAATGAAACACATATAAATAAAATAATTATGTAAATAATACAAATACGAAGGTTACTTACTTCCTGCACGGTGGCGCCTGCGTTTTAATTCATTCTAGACGAACCGCTATCGATAAAATGGTTTTGTCTGCAGTTTTGCACTGTATAAAACTATACAATATATTATTATTCACATTTATAGATGAAATACAGACATTTTCGTTGAAAAACAAATCAGGATAACAGTCATAAACGCCTTGCAATTAATTTTTGTTAATTTTATTGTAAGAAAATAATGAAAAAAAAAAAGGCTTCAAATAGAATAGAGAAATGGGAAAACGATTATACTCAATACCTAATATTGTTAAATATAATTTATTTTTCGTACCACCGTGACGGAAATAAATGTGATTTTTGAAGTGAGTCGTATGGTACCCTACCATGCCGGAAGAATTAAGCAAACAGCGGATGCGGACACGAACACGAGAGTGGTCGAAATCTGCAACATCGCGAGAATGGTACACGAACGAATGACGCACCATTTGCGCATTGATGCTTAGGTGCATTGACTATCCGTAGAAATATTATGATAACGTTTAATAATTATAATTATTATACATACGTTCCTACTTAGAAATGTTATAAGAACTTTATTTTTTTTATAAACAACGCATTTTTTGCGCTGTGTTGAATAATCAATATTATGGAATTATCAAAATCATGAGACAACTAGACTAGGATGATAACTAGACTCGATTTAATATATTTATCAATTATTAGTAAATTCATACTTCATATTAGTACAAGTACTAATATTATAATGTAAAGACTAAACATACAAGCATTATAAACTTACATAATAATTATTTATTTGTGAGATACTAATTAAAATAAGATAGAATTTAAATATTTTTTTTAGTGTTTTCGTGGTTTTATATTTTAATTTTCAATAAATATTTTTCAGCTAAAATGATTTAATAATCTATTTGTTTAAGTCTAGAATGTTGTACGAATGCCGAGTTTTCGATTACAAATAATTGCCATCAATGAATTGACATTTAGGGTATAAGATTTACGAAGTTTGACTTAGGATCCTACGTTTGTAAGATTTGTACGTTTGTAGATGGTGATAATACATTATAGTGTAGCGGCTACACTAATACCATTCAAATATAAATTATTTGTTAAAGTTTAAAATAGAGTACCTACTCCATTTTAACACATGGTAAGTTCTCGATTATAAATCATTAAAACATTTGTAATAACAATTCACCATATTTTTTTCCCTAGATTTGTACTTTGGTAGCATTGGGTACGCACTTAGCTCAATTTTTTGAAAATTGGCCAGAGGGGAAGGACTTGCTTATGAATTTCTATAATGAATTGAAAAAATACTTATAAATGAAGTTCTTCAACTTAAAATTGGTTCGGTTCGATTTGGTTGATATGGGGGGGGAGGGGGGTCAAGTTCATACACGTAGAACTGTTCACAAATTTTGACTGTTTTGTAATTTTCAATCCGAACGCCATGCATTTTACGAAGATTAATTTTTATTTTATTTTGTCGTACTTATCCTTGTATCCAAATAACTTTAAAGCGATAAGAACGAGAGTAACTATATTTGAATTTTAATGGTGTCATTGTGTCAATTATACAAAAATGTACAATAAAATAGAACGCACAATGCACTTTGTAGATAAAAACATTAAATATATTTGGAATATTTAAAATTTCAAAAATGATATCATTATTGTTAGTAAATAACGAAAAATAGCGGTGACAGAATGTTTTTTTTTTAAATTTAGTTTTAATTATTATAGATTGAATGATGCCGGTACACAAAAAAAAAAAAAAACAGAATTTAACAAAAAATATCATGAAATAAAAAAAATAAAACAATAATTGTATAGATCCTCCAGAGAAATGTTTATGTTTATGCAATGCAAATCAGAACCGAATAAACAAGTCGTAACTCACATCAATTCTAAAATATGATAGTTATCTATATACGCGTTATATTTTATACTCATTATATTTATTTTAATTATGTGGCGATTATTTTTTCGTATATTAAGATGAGGGTTTTTCCAAACTTTTAGGAATTTATCTCTTTTCCCTTTTGGTTTTAACCGGTTTCACATTCATAGGTTATGAAATTATGATAATATATGATCTGCAAAAAAGTTTTAAATACGCCTATGATTAGGTTTTTCATAATTTCCCTTCACCACAAATCTACATTTATTGCTGCCTATTATTTTTCTGAATCTAGCCGGTGCTCGTCATTTTCGCTTATCGCGGGGACTTACCTATTTTTTTTTTTTTTTTTATTACGTCAACAACAATATTGTTAATAATTTATCGGAATTTTTATAACAATATTACACTTGCGCAAATACGAAATCGGTATTCATAAACGAAGTATAAATAGTTTATGGATTTGTATATCGGAATACAACGTTGAACTATATTACAGGGTTCTTTTTTTGGTGGGGGGAGGGAGGGTGGGGGAAATTTACGTTCTAACAAAATGTCCGAGGAAAAAATCAGCCAGATGCGAATTATCCCTGACTAATTTCGGATTGTTATTGGATAAATTGGTAGCTAAAGCGGCATTTCAGTTCAATACACTTCTTTTCATGCATTGCCAACGTAGTGTGGTGGTTAATTTGTGTTTAATGGTATAAGAATACCCATTCAAACATAATTTTGATTTATTTTATTGGACAAGATTAATTCATGAGTAGTTTATTATATGATTCAAAGTTCTAAAATAAAAATGACGCAAAATCGTACAATTGAATGAAAAAGCTAACGTTGAAAATCAAAATTGAATTTTGCAAAATGCAACTATATAGCTGGTATGTTACAAATCGACAAAACAGACCAACCGACTAAAGAATGTTGGTGGAAAGTAATACAGCGTATTATTATTAATCAATATTGAGTGCTGATACAGAATCATAACATTTGTATACAATGTAAAAATAAAATTGTACAAACTTTGTACAAATCTTCATAATATCGAATCTAATCAAAAGTAAAACCAATAAGAATTATAAATATTGTTGTAAATATTAAAGTATAATTCATTCCCATCGACTTGGGTTGGTTTTTGTTATCTAGCTATACCAACAGTGTACAGACCGGATATTTTTACCCAGAACCGGGCAAATCAGTTATAGACTCACAGTAGGTGTATAATATATACATAATCCATATGCGCATTTATGGGTCGTAGGAGCTTGGGTGTGCTTAGCGCCCTTAGTTTTAAAATCAGCACCTCCGAAAATTTGTCATGTCACTGTGAAAAAAATATGGTCTACAGAAAGGAAAATGATTGAAATAATAATAATGGTTTATTGGTTTCTGGTTTTCTATTCGTTTTCTAAGTATTCCTGTTGAATATTGTATTGGATATTTTAACAAAATAACAAGGCACTAATATAATGATATAATTTGTTTATTTATGACAACAGTTTTTCCAATGTTTTGTAATCTTTTATAGATTGTCGCTAGCCACAGCCTAAATACCAAAGAAGTTTACCTACCATACGTAACGATCAATTCTTGCTAACAAAGAACGATTTGAACTAAGTTCGTAGACATATTTTGAAATGACGTTATTATTATAATTTTCGTCAAAATCTGATCTTAAGATGCCGTTGAAAAATAAACTAATGCATTAAACTAATTTTTTTTTTTTAGACCGTTTACCACAACTTATAATATACCTTGTGTTGAATTTACAAGCATTTTTGTTTGGTTTAATAATTTTATTCACCGAATACCTACCAAATAAAAATTACGTAAAAAACAGACAAAGTTAAAATATGAGTATTTTGCAAAAACAACAAGTTTCCTGCATGATTTCTATTTTTTAAGAAAATATTAGCATCATATTCCAGGTACTTTAAGAGAATATAAATTCTAGAGACTATATCATCAAATTGTCTCTTTTCTCTGTAATTAAGTATGCGATAGAAGTTACAGTAAAATATAATATTGCATATGCATAATAATAAATACATATTACAATGAAATATTTAAGTAAGGGCATTCTATAAATTAATAAAAATCAACTTACGCTATGGTATGGAACTTAAATCAGTGATCATTTTGGATTTTATATGAACCAACGACTGAGCAACTGTTCTATACATATAATTCAATAGTTATTAGATGTATTACAATAGAAGAGAGTGATTAGCACCTATTATACTTTATAGATCTTTTGTTTGTGTGAATTAGGTTTTTTTTTCCTGGAGGGCTTCGGTGCCCTCAATTTTTAGTTTAAATTGCGCTCCTGTATGTATTACGCTATAAATGTACCTATACCATAACGATGAACAAAAATCGATAATATTTAAAACGATTTTATCTTATTTTTTATTTTTTTTTTTTTACGAACGAATGTGCAAAAGAGTAATATAATAAATTAAAGTTAACATTAGACTGCTTCATCCACAATGTAGAAAATTACTTATGTTTAAAACGAAATGGAATACGACATATTAATTATTACGGGTGCAAATATTCTAAAATAATCAAGCGAAAATTTCAATTAATAATTATGAATATCTTTTGGAGATATTATACAGATTTTAGAGAATAAGTATTCAATGGAAATTGCCGTCTTTGTTTGATTTTCTTTTTATTGGGTTCCGATAAAAACATCAACATCGATTTTTATAAAATATATAATATTGTGCATTCTATAATAATAAACATAAATGCATTATTATTCACATTCCCGATTATTTTACCCCCTCCCAAACATCTTGTTTAAACATATTTATATGTGATCAATTCTATAATATCTAACTATTTGATTCAATATGGTTATTAATCCATTTATTTTTTTATAGAATATTGTGCTATCTATAATCGAATTCGAATTTTTTTTGTATATTTGTTTTATTTAAAATATAATAATATAATCTAATTTACATAGATTAGGTAGAGATTATATTATGACAAATAAAAAATTATAAAAAGAATTACAAATTTATAACCCACGCATTATAATATGGATTGTTATTTATTTTGTCGTGTACATTATAGATAGGAACTCTTTAAAGGCGTATTATCAAGATTTTGATTACAGTCAATAAAATTATTGTTGTTTATCATTGTCTATTGGAGTGTTTGGTTAATTTTAACAATTTTACTGCGAAACCTATCGATAGTCAGTATAAACATTTATTTTGTAAAAATACATTATTATTTTAAAATCAATGGTATAAATTGTAACTATTG